ACGCGCTTTTTTAGTTGAGCTGCCGTTCATTTTCCGTTTTTTTTCGTGGCATTTTGGCGTCGTCATCCGTCGCTGTCGTCGTCGTGGGCAATAAATCTTCATTTTCGCTATTAAAATGTTGTAATATTTTCGCTTGTTTTTTAACGCGCTGCCGATTGTCCTCGTCGTTCTGCAGCTAGCCGAAAATATATTTTGAGTTTTGGTTTAAGGACCGCACAGCCAAAAGAGCCATAAATAAAAAATAGAGAATAAAAATTGAATTGCCCGGCCTTAGTTTTTTTGTCCGCCCCGTTTTATTTATTTAGGGGTGCCGCTTAGATTTTGTGTGCTTCTAAACGGATTTATGCCCGCTCGTAATTGATCTTTTTCAGCGAAATTGCCCCGGCGATAAGCTATTCGATATCAAGTCGACTTTAATTCGAATTTATCTGAACGGAGCGACTGCTGATGTCACTGCTGACGCATTGCGTATACGCAGCGTGGCGCTGCCATTAGTGTGTGGTCTTTCAAAGAGTCAGTGGATGTCGGTGAATGCAAAATGCATGCAGCTATCGTGCTGCGACTACCCTTATTGCATTAAAATATTTGACACAATTGCAGCTTTATGGCAATTTGCAAATTGCATTGCCACCCGTGGAGTTTCGCTTTTGGACCTGGGTTGACTTTGTCAGGTGCACACAGAGTTCAGAGCTCACATTGTGTGAGCTGTGTCATTTTGAATAATTTCCGAGTGCGTGACAACATATTTTTTCCATCGCCTCGCATGCAAGTCAATCAATTTGGTGTTGGGAGCGAGAAATATTGATAAGTAATTTTACTTTACGGGTTTAAATAAATTTACCATAAGCTAGGATTTAAAGGTTGCTAATACATTGATTTAGTAAGCGTATTATTTTCAGGAATTCCCTCCTAACGATTAAAGCCGGGTTCATAAATCAAACTGTCTAAAATGGCATACATAAATTTTCATACTGGAAAAGGCATTTGCGATGAAATTAACACGCTGCGGCCGGGAAAACGTATCGCTGGCTGTGATTAATGCAACGCGGCGTATGCGTAACGTTTCGCTAGCTGTCTTTATTAATGGACGCTGATTTGCACATAAAGCAAGGGAGCATACATATGAGCTGCCGGGCGATAAAATGCGGGGAAGGAGAAGAGGATTTGGCCAACAAGGTGCTGGGATTAAACTAGATAGAAGTGAAGCTCAGGAGCTCCCTGGTCTCCTGGCTGTGGCTTCTTGGCTGGAGCAGGAGCCTGAGCTCTCTGGGCATTGTTGTAGAGTCATTAAGGTGTAAATTATACCACTAATTAGCCATTAAGCAGCAAACGGCAGGAGGCAGCGTTTAAGCACGTACATGCCAAAACAAAACGAGTTCTGCGTGCTGTGAGGGACCGGGAACTATATGCTAGCAATAAAATTTAATGAGCATATATAAAATGTTAGAGTGAAAAGTAAATTCGAACCGATACATAAGCACAGAAAGAAAATTTGATTCGAAAAAGGCTCTTTTCTACCTTATTTCATATCAATAAGAAGCCAATGTCAAATTTATGATTCATGCATATCAACTTGACATTTTATCATTTCATAGAAGTTATAAAAACACTGTTTTTTAATACCAAATGTAGTATTTTTTAAAAAAATATTGTGAAATAAGATAAAATTAATATTTATTCATATCAAAATGATATGAATAACTTGATCTTTTAAAAATATTAAATTAACTTGCATATCAATCTGATCCTTTGTTAATTTTTTTCTGTATATGTGTATTGAGCTTAAAGGTCTGCCAGAACTATCTGTTTGTCTTTAATCCTTTGCTAGAAAAGCGAACCGAACAACAAAGCAAGTGCGAGAAAAACAGCAGAAATAGTTTGAAAAAATATTGAATTCTTGAGACATAAACAAAGTGAAGAGGAGCTACAGCTATAGATATAGAACTCCGGACTCTAGACTATTGAAGCAGAAAATCGAAAATTTATACAAATATGTTGAAAGAGCAGGGAAAGCGGGAAGGAGCAGCAGGGAAACCGGGAAAACAGAGCAGCGCTTTGGCGTTCGGGAAATGTGCAGCGGCGGCAGGGCAACAAAAGGAGCAGTAGTCCTTGTCTATGGCCAATGTGTCCCAATGTGTGTATGTGTGTGTGTTTGCCATGGCTAAATTTGCATTTATTTTCTGAGGGTATGTTCAAATGTGCAACGAACTGTGCTTGAGTGGAAGAAGACAGGCGGAGAGCCAGCGCAATCAAAGACGAAGAACTAAGCCACCACTGGCGTCGAGATCGCTCCTGCTCCTTTTGCCGCTTTTGCTGCTCCACTTTTTGCCATTTCGCCCAGCGGCCAAATCGTGTCCATTGCATCTCCCAGTGCTCCTTTGCTCCCTTTTGCCGTGTCCATCTCGAGAACAGCACAAGACAAATGTACTCGCACAGCTGACCCTGCAGCCAAATCCCGAAACCGAAACCCAGCACTCGGAGATCCATCTGAGCAGAGGAGAGATCCACATCCACAACTGCCTTTGATTGCTTTTAAAGTGTTCTTCGCTTGAAATTGAATTTGCCATTAGTCGTTGGCAACTTGTAAATTCAAATAAGCTCAGCCCTCCAGGATCCTCATCCTTTACTGTATCACCACCCCCTTCTGTTTCTGTGTTTTTCATTGCGTCATCCTGCATAATGAGCTGCAAAATCTTTGCTCGGCTTACGTGGCGTGTGAGTGACATTTAATTTGCCGTCGACAGCGTGAGTATAAAACTTACAAAGCGCCCTAAAGGAAATCCACCCTTAAACTAGTTTAATAATTGGGCTTTAGTTTCAGCGGAAAGCGCAATATTTACACTTTCTTTTTATTATACCTAAAGGAAAAAAGTTATTTAAATAACATTTTTAGTTTATAGCCAAATGGCTGTTTTAATTGTTTAATTTTTGGACCACTTAATGAATAAAAATTAAGAGAATGTAAAATAATAACTACAAATAACTTGAAACTCCTTCTAAAACAAATGAAATTTAATTTTTTAATTTAATTTAATTGGAGAAATTTTAACGAAAATTATCTATTTTCAAACATAACTTAAAACAATTTGGATTTGGATTTGCCTCTAAAAAAGTAAACTTTAATAAGCACAAAGAAAAAAACCTAAAATAAAAAATTCTCCTCTAAATAAATTAGAATTTATTAACTACTTCTTTTGTTCCAATAAAAAGCGAGCTAGTTGATAAGAAAGGGTTATTTTCACACCATCCCTTGTTCCTTATCAAATCGCGACTCGTCTCTTGTTTCAGATTTGGCGCCCGTCCCATAGAGATTATTTATTGGATGGCAGACACACAGCTCGTAGGAGCACTAAAATCCGGAAGTAAACCGGATCCGGCACGCGTTTTACAGCTAATAATAAATGACCCGAGGTTTTCAGCCGGGCACGTACGCATAAATTTCGACAAGGCCGTTGGAAATCCCTTTTTCTTTTTTTTCAGGTCAGGTGGGCTCGTGCTTCCCCGTTGGCCCATAAACATAATGACCAGCTATTACGGCCGGTCGACTCGGCTTACTGGGGCCGCAGGAACACATGTTTGTCAGCCCAAGTTATGTGCCAAGTGTAACATATTTTAAATAATTGATGAGCGAACCCGACCCGGCAGCTGTTCCTGGTTCTGTTCCTGCTCTTCCCCTCTAGATATTTGCATGGAAAAGCCTTTGGCTGCCCATCAATTAGACGCACTCATCGCCGTCGAGCCTGCCTGCCGACATGGCTGTCACTTTTTGCTGTCGACGCCAGAGATTCAAAAGGAGGGAGTCCGCCTGGAAATGCCTTTGGCTCATCCGTTTTCTTGCCGCAGGTGGTGCATACATTACAAACACTTCAATTTCCGTCTGCCAGTCAGTTCAGTCGATGGCGAAGCCTGATTCTGAATCAGTATTTTTTCCGAGAAAGAGGGACCTTCCTTCCACCAGACAACTGTAATCAAAGCAAATTAATTATCTATGTCCTTCGTTGTACGCCGTCTTTTTTTCAGCCATCTCGCTTATGGACTCGTCGTACCTTTCAAGCCTTTCATGTCCGGCACAATGTCGTCTGCCGTTGTCAGGAGGGTCCACTCAGTTCCGTCTGCCTCCACTCGATGGCGGCAAAAGGCAAGAGTTAAATGACGGCCATTGATGCCTGGTTTATAATTCAATGTGCAGCCTCCACATACTCATACCCCTTCCTTCGGTAATATCGGGAATATCTTCCATTCCTTCGCAAAGGAGTCTGGAAAAAAGTGCAAATGCCAAAACAATGACAGACACGGCAAATAAAGGACTGGCTGGGAATTATAGAGAGAGAAGTGCGAGACGAGGCTGCTAGATTGGCTTTCGTCTAAATTTTTAATTAATATTTCTGCTGGTGCACTGGGAAAAGTATATTGAAAGAAAAAGAATACTTTTAAGTCACAGAAAAACAACAAAAAGTTTTTGTTAATTTAAGAAAAAGGTAAATGATCTACGAAATTTAATCCTTTTTGTCGGCACACTTGGAAAAATATATTGGATAAGCTATAGATATTTTCATGACCATAAAAAATATTTATTTTCTTAGAACACTTTTTAGGACATTTCAGGATGAATGAAATTTATTTTATTTTCTTAATTTCAAAAAAGGATACATGACTTTCAGAGCCATTTTTAAGGAAATGTTTCACTATAATAAAGGATTTAACTACAAAACAAAAGAGTTTCAAATATTTTAAATGTTTAAAGCTGATTTATGTAGCTTTTATAAGAATATTTTACAGGAATAATGATTTAATAACAATGAAAGGGGCTATGAATTTATCTATAAAAGAAAATATATTATATTTATTTTTGTTATTTACTCTGCAGTTTTACATGTTACTTCTCCAAGTGACTTTCTCTTCTCGAATTAAGAGTGCAACTAATTAGGTTAGTTAAGAAAATCCCTTTGGCCATGGTGAAACCAGATCAGTTGCCCCGCTTACTGTTAGTATCTTTTCAACATGCGGCTCCCAATCACATGTATTTTGCTTCTAGTTTTGGGGCTCGACTACAGTGCCTCAATGTGGGTGAAGAAGTACGAGGAGAACTACCATCGACCCACGTACCGCAATCATCGTCACAGTTCCGATCAGCACGTGAACTACAATCGCGAGGCTCTCGAGGCAAGTCGAGGCCACGTCCCTGCGTTGGAATCCCGCAGCATTACGCCCTTCAATGCCAGCATCCACCTGTCATTCTACGTGAACATCCTGAACGAGGGATCCGTGATCTGTGCGGGTGCCTTGATCTCGCACCGCATGGTCATCACATCGACGCACTGCTTCCTTCCCGGCCAAGTTGATGCGACCTACGAGTTTACGGCAAAGAAAATGACTATCCTGACGGCCATTGACTTCGCACCCAATACGGAACCGCATCAGGTGAAGGCCTTCTTCATGCCGGTCAACCGGGAAGATCACTTCATCAATCATGTGGCCCTGCTCGCCTTGGATCACAAGCTCCAGCGGCGCAAGTATCGCTATATTCCGCTGAATCGCAGGAGACCCCAAATGGGCGATGAGGTGAAGATGGTCTACATTGGGCCACCCACTTATAAGGTCTCGTTCTACAACACCCGGGTTTTCGATTTCGAACGCTGCCATATCCATTATGGTTTGAAGGACCTCTTCCACATATCCACCTTTGAGCCGGACTTCTTTTGCGTTCGGAATAAGAAGCACTCGAAGAAGAGCACCTGCAGCACCAGGCCAGGAGATCCCTTAATTGTGGACAACAGGCTGGTGGGTGTAAATATCTATGGGGAGCATTGCGACGAGGATGATGACTCTACGAATATGGACATTTACCTGCCCATCAGGGTGGTCGTACCCTTCATCCAGATGGCCACCGATGCTCTGAGGGCCTTCACATCCTCGGGTCCCTACAATGCCTCGCTGCAGATACCGCTCTCGCCTCTGCTTCAGTCCCTGGCCGACAAGGTTCCCAACGTCTACGTTGGTTCTAATATTCCCCATTTACCCTTCGACGATGCTTTGATGGGAGGAACTCCCGATGACGGCAGGGACTCACTGGAGCACCATATCAAGCATGCTGATGAATATTACTAAGTAGTTGGGTGTACAAAAACTTAAGGATATTAAGAATAATATTTGTATTTTACCCAAATACGGAAATAAAATGGAAACTTTTTATTTTAAATACACATAGCGGTTAAATCGATATGCGCATGGTAAATTTCATATCGCTTTCACCGTGCACTACCGATTTCTCTCTCTCGGAGATTCGAAATAGAATGAGTGGGAGGAAGAAAGACATATTCGAAATTCGAACTGACCTCTTGTTTACATTTCGAGCTTATCAAGTCAAAATATAACGTAAATTTGATCATCGTTTCATATCATGTTTTTTTGGGTGTAAAATTGGCCTTTTAAATCTGTTATAAGCGTTTCAAATTGATTTTCTAAGCTCCATGGTAAGGAAATACCAAGTTATAAGGTCAGTATCAGAGGCTTCTTTGAGCAACGATGCTGCGTTTACTTTGGATCCTGCAAATGCTGCTGGTACTCGTTGTCCTGGCGAATGCTTCAGGATCCAGCAAGACCCATTCTCATCGCTATTTGCTGAGCCCCTATAGAGCGCAGCACAATCCAAGGACACAGATGGATTACAAACGAAGTGCTAGTGCGAAAAGTAAGGATCAGGCGGAGGTATCAAATGATACACCGCATTTCGGGACCTCCAAGGAGCCCATAGTAAGGCTGACCAAATCCGGAAGGAAGGTGCAGCTGCATTTCCTAATGGTTCGGCTCTATCAGCACAACAAGTTCATCTGCATGGGAACTATAATATCCGAGAAGCTGGTAATAACCGCATCCACCTGTTTCGATGAAGGAGGAAACGATCTGGTGTCGATGAAGATGTACAACGACAAAGTGCTCGATGGGCACAAGATCCCAGTGAACAGGACTTTCCTCAAAGGTGCCGATCCTCTGCTGATCGCCATCGAACTAAACACCGCCCCGCCCAATTCCAGTGTATTGGGCGACACAGTGAAGCTCTGCGATACGGAACTTCAGAACTACAGTCCCGTCGAACTGCCCCTGTGGATTCGGAGTCGCCACAGTATTCACTCGCAGATAACGTACGTCAAGCCCATCCAGGAGTGCCGGCATCGCCTAAAGGATCCCAGGGGCGTTGTGGCCACCGGTTCGATGATCTGCGCCAGGAACATGAAGTACACGGCCAAGTGCCAGAATGCCGTGGGGAATCCTTTAATTTACCGCGAAGAAATCTGTGGCATCAACGTGGCGGGCCACAATTGCCCCGCCTTCACGGGAGTCGATCTGTACATTCGAGTCTACGATGCCCTCGAGTTCTCTATTAAAGGCATGGAAATCATTAAAAGCTCCCATATTGAAGATACAATATTGTAATGTCAAATAAATATTTACAATTGATTTCTTTAAAGTTTAAGGAAATGTCTCTTACTACGTCCAGTTATCCGATTAAAGCGAAACACCTTTTAAATAGCGTAAATAAATAGCCATTAAGAAATCCATTAACAATCATTATGTGAAATGTGACAAAAAGTCAGTTGCAAATATCGCCATGTTGAAAGTGGTAATAGTTCTGCTTTTGGCCTGGGTAACCCTTATTTTTGCCGAATCGGAAAATACTCCATCACCTGTAAAACATCATAGGATGCGGTATAAAAATGGCATCTGGCGTCCACACTTCGGCTACAGGAAAAGTCACTACGCAAGTAGTCACGGCTAAGTCAAAAGATTATAAAAGTACTAACCCCGACTTACTGAATAAAAAATGTAAATACCAGACTTTTGTTATTTGAGTTTAGTAATAAATGTGGTCATGCTAACAATGGGTATATTTTCTCTGGCCTTTCTGGGTATGAGCAACGTAAAAAATCTAAGAAGTTGTAATATAATATTTATAAAGTAAAATAATAACTACATACTACAGAAAATAATTAATTGCTCATAACAAATAAGGAAATATTGAAAAACAAATGTGGTCAATATTATTTTTAGAAAAATAAATAACATCATAATCGTCTTATTTATTGTTCCAATTGGTTTATCTTAAATTAAACGATGCCCAAGATCAAATAGAAACAACTTTGTGTGTGCGCCACACAAATATGACATTAAATTGTTCTGCCTCATTTCCGTTCGGCTGGCTGAGGTTCAATCAAATTAATGAAAAATTGCTGCCTGCCAAATCAAAGTTGCCCACGAAGAAGAGCCATTAAACGCGCAGACGCTTAGCAATATTTTGCCAGGGGAAGTCCTTTGGCTCAGTGTCATTGACAAAAACCCCGGCCCCAGAATGAATGAGAAGAAACTGTACAAACACTGAGATGAAGTGGCAGTGGCAAAAGAAAAAAAAGAAACGAAAAACCTTTTGTACTGCAGCGATAATGTCATCAACTAAAGTACTCCGTCGGGCATAGTGAAAAGTTCTAGTCAATCGCCATAAAGCACCATATAATGTGACTGGGGGGCGACTGGGGATCCTGGAACTCGGATTCGTATTCGGATTCATGGGATGTTGACAGGCGCATACAAACTGTGTAAACATCATTAAAATGGTTTTTTCTACACCACCCTCACCCACCGAAATCGAAATGGAAAATCATTGAAATTATATTTCTGTCCATGTGTTTCCTTTTTTGATTTTGCTTTTTGATCTTCGTGCTGCGATTTGTCCCCCCCTCCGCGAAATGAGGTCCTTGAGGTCCTTGCAAATTAGCCGCATATCACTTTATGGCAAAAGCACTTTGGTAAATTAAACTAAATAATTCAAGGGCGCGGCCGCAGTTCATAACAAACAAATTTTTTTCTTTGTTTTTGCAAATATTTTCAAGCGACCCTCACGCACTCATAAGCGAATATGTGGCTGCAGCTGGAATATGGACATGGAAATGTTTGACAAGAAAAATGCGGTCGTCTGCTCGAGGGAGAACTCAAACAATGCTAAGCGACTAAATGATACAATACACAGAAAAAAACAGAAGTATAAATTTTAATTTTTTATTAAAAATATTTGAAATTTTTTAATTTTTTGCATTTAAAGTAGAGTAAAGATTATAATTTAAAAGTGTTTAAATAATGGGAGATCATAATATAAAATAAATATATTTAGAATAATTATTTCAATTAGTCTCTTTAATAAACGGATAACATTTTCTTTTATAAATGTTCCTTACCTATACAAAATCTATTTTTAATTGATTCCCTTTGATTTTTTTTTCCCAGTGCCTTAAAACGCATTTGTATGTGTGCGCACGTCCTTGGCCCTCGTCTGTGCATGTGTGTGTGTGTCTGAGGGGGTGCGTAAAATTTTACGATAATACGCAACAATTTCGAAATGAGTGCACCCTGCTAAGCGGCCTGGTCTGCTGAGCATTTCGAGTGCAAAGAAAGCAATTTCCTCAATATTCTTTATGGCCAACAGGAGCCGCCAAGGGAGAGAGAGAGACAGAAAGCTACAAGAGTGAGTGAGCAAACAGGGGGCACTGCTTGCTGGTTTTTTGTTATTATTTTCAAAGTTCCATAAGCCGGCTGCTAATAAAATTTTAGAAGCCTGTGCCGGGCTATTAACATTATCATAACGCACACAGTCATGTGTATGAGTATGTGTGTGTGAGTGGCCCTATAACACCCACACTGTCACACCACATAGACGCTGACACACATTTACATGCCACTTAGGCATTGTCGCCCATTCCTTTTGACTAGCGTTGCGTATACGCCGCGTTGTGCGTGCGCCTTATAATTCATTTATTGGCATAATTTCATTTTATTTTTATTTGTTTTACGGCTCTTGCGATTGCCTTTGATAGGAGATAGGCGAAAAGCAAAGCGAAAAGATGTGAGAGAAAAAAGGAAGAGCTTTGGCAAATTGAAAACATATTGAATATCGAATTTTGTTGCCTTGGCCGCCCTTGAATTTCGCCGAGCCACTTAATTGCTAAGCTGCACACGCGACCCGGCATACAATTAGGTATCCTCGGGCAGGACACCCTAGGAGTAACCTGGGGAGCATCCTACTGGGCATCCTGTGCATTCATTACAAAGCACTTTAATTCGCTCGAGCTTGAGCGCATAGATCACGCCCGGCTTAATAAATTCCCACGCCGAAAACAAAAGAATATCCTCGGACGTCGCTGCCACTCAGTGGGGGCGTATGTCTTACCTGGCACCAGCTGGAATTGGAGAGCTCCGGCTCTGTCTGCACACTTGTCTGTTGTCTGTTGTCTGGTCGGTGGGGACGTGACTGGAAAAATGCATTTCCGCTGCACGTAAAAACCAGGGAAAAACTAGCAGAAAAAAAAACAAACCGAAAAGCAAACCGAGAGCGAAGAGGAAAACGAGAGGCACGTAAGTCAATCAGCAACTGAGCAGCAGCCACAGCTCAGCGAAGGACCAAGGACCTAACAACCCAAGTATAACCCTAATGCAATGCGGAAGTCACACTCCAATTTGGCCCAGGCATGGCGCCTGATTTTGTTGCTAACTGAATGAGTTACTTCCGCTTTGCCTAACAATTTTAAATAAAATCACATCAGGGGAGGTGGGGAACATCCTCTCCAGCCAACAAACTCGGACACTAACCAATATGGACAATGGGTGTGGATGTGTATGAACAGTTGTTACCATCTCCCCGTTTTTCCATTTTTTTAGCCGTTACTCGTGAAGTTAAAGGGTATATTGTATATTTTTTAGAAAGTATGAATAATATGTCCATGTCCGTTTGTCCGTCTTTCTGTCCGTATAAACGCAGAGATCTGTCTGGCGCCCGCAAACTTAAAGATTTCGGAAAGGTATAAATGCAATTTTGTTGTGTTTAGTATTACCTAACGAAAAGTAGAAGAAATTTTTCATATCGCACCATTCATTAAAAAGTTATGAGCAAATAATGATATTCAAGCAGTGCAAGCAGTTTATTTGATACATGCTTTAGCTGAGTAACGGGTATCTAATAGTCTAGTTAGTCGACCATTAAGTTCTCTCCTGCTTCTCCTGTGAATATAGAGAGTAGGATGTGTGGCTGTGGCTCGTAACCGACGCGACGCTGGCCTTTGAAATATTTATGGCAGCAACAAAAGGCCATAAAAAGGCAATGCCAATATGCTGGTGAATCTCTGGCTGCTGGCTGGCCATTCGGTAGCCAATTTAATTCACTCCGGCGCAAATCTCCCGCCGGCCATCAACTGATTGACATAGGAAATAGTCTATATTTGCAAGTCCATCGTATTATTATGTTTCCAAACGCGAAATCAACAGCAATTATGATGTGGGGGAAAATAAAACAAATCAGTATATAATGAGTGGGTGGAAAATTGTGCAAATCATTACACTCAATTAATTGCTTGCGAAAAATATGAATTGCAAAATATTTCCACGCTGCTACACACACACTCAATCACTCACACATACAGTAAATAATGCAATTATAATGCAAAAATAATTTAAACAAATGAGGCCGCTTTGCATTCCCCGTGGCAAAAGTCAAATTCCAATTATTTAATAAACGATGTTTTTGCTATTGACCGAAATAGTTGCGTCCATATCAATAACATTCAATCACAATCCAGTGGATAAAAACTTGTGAATGTTTGATAGCGAATAGCGAACTGCGGCAAGGGGCTATGAATGAAATATCATCGATAACATGTTCGTTTCCCTTAACACCTTAACCCCCCTAACACCCCTTAACACCCGAAAACCTGACAGCTCATGGGTAATAGATAGTTTCGTTTGCTGCAATTAACACCTTGCTGCGCTGCACACACAAATATTTGCTAAACTTATCGAACATTTATCAATGACAAGTGTGACAGAAAACGATGATATGGTATATGGTATGGTATGTTGGCCAGCGAGTCACGAATAGGGCATTCAATATCACATGTGACGACATACAGAGCTTTTTAAAATTAAATACAGAAATCAGTGAAGTGATAATATGAAAGGCGACCGAACAGAAGTCAGTAATACTGAGCGTGAAGTCGCAATCTCAGCGATTTAGTTTCGCTTTTCGGTCCGACTTGTGACCACTTTGAACGCCATGCGGAAACGAAACCGAATTATAATCGGAATCACTTCAGTTATATTCACTTTGTATATTTTCCATGTTCGCCCCTAGAAAATATAGTCGGCCTCGCCGCTGCATTTTCTATATACTTGCCTTTGTGATCTGTCAGCTGTTTTTCGTTTTCCTATTTATCCGTAATGGAAGCTATGATAATAAGGCAGTGAGTGAAGTGAGATAGTTGTGCTTTTAAAGTGCTAATTAAATATCTCCCATTTCTGAATCAAGTTCTCTCATCAGCCGTTGCATCATGAAAGTGAGAGTAGAAAGCACTTTCTGGAATACCGTGAATTTATCTCGAAAACACCACAAAGGTCAGAGGATTTTTACCAGTACAATCTGCACTTGAGTGATTCTTTGGGAGTAATACGAAAACTGCCCTTAACGAAGCATACTAGGTAGTAATAAAAAAAAGATAAGAAAGCTCTCCGGTCATAAAAATTAAATATTTGTCAGATTTTTACACCCTTTTTTAAACAAAAATAAAAACAATGAAATAATATTAAATGTAATATTGACAAAAGATCGGATTCATATGTGCAGCTTAATTTAACATTTTTATATGAGTTAAGATTATGTTCATCTCATATTTCTATATTTGTTCAATAGTACATTTGATAAAATATTAAGTTGATATGTTTGAATCATAAATTTGACATTAACCATATCGGCTTTTACGATTTTAACTGGGAGCTTTAAATTTTAACTTTAGCTGTACGACCCGCTCTTATAACCTCCCGCCCCCTTGGCAATCCGATGTGAGTGTGGTGATCAGTTTCCACAACGAGGCGCGTTCGATGTTGCTGCGCACCATTGTTTCCCTGCTGCGACGAACGCCGGAGGAGTATCTGCACGAGCTAATTCTCGTGGACGACGGCAGTCAGGATGGTAGGTCGGCCATTGACCCTAAAATTAACCCCAACCCACTACTTATCGCACTTATCGCACTCTTTTAACAGTGACCCTGCTGGATGACCTCAGGCGTTGGATGGAGGAGGTTTTTGGTGGACGGATGGATCGCCTGGGGCTCATCCTTCTAAAAAACCAGAAGCGCATGGGCCTGATTTGGTCGCGCAACAAGGGCGCCTCCTTGGCCGAAGGACATTATGTGCTCTTCCTGGACAGCCACTGCGAGGTGAACGATGGGTGGCTGGAGCCCCTGCTGGAGCGACTGGAACTCAATCCCCAGCTGGCAGTTAGCCCACTACTCGACCCCATTGACCCGACCACCCTGAGCTACCGGAAGGGCAATGAGCTGCTGAAGGGCGGTTTCGACTGGTCGCTCCACTTTCACTGGCTGAAACGACAGTTGGCTAAGAAGGAGCTCCCCGAGATGGCCTACAAGAGTCCTGCCTTTGCCGGTGGAATCCTGATGATGTCACGCGAATGGTTCTTGCAGCTGGGAAGCTTCAATTCGCAACTGAAGGTGAGAAAAAAGTTCGATATGAAATAGGATCAGGTGTACCTTATTTTATATTAACAAAAGGCCGATATGATTTATGTCAAATTGATGATTCAAGCATATCAACATGATATTTTATCATATCATATGAACAAATAATGTAAAATAAGGTAAACATAATCTTTACTCATATGAAAATGATATAACTTGATCTTACAAAAATATAAAATGTACCAGGACATATCAATCCGATCTCTTGTCAATTTTCTTTCTGTGTAAACCTAATTAGCCAGTGTCAAGTGGGCTAATTGGCAGTGTCACTCTATTTTTCTGTCACACTTCCAAGTTATCCCCTTCTCTTGTTCTTTATCCTTCGCAGATCTGGGGCGGCGAGTCCATCGAGCTGGCCATTAAATTGTGGCTTTGCGGCGGACAAATTGAGATCGTGCCCTGCAGTCGAATCGGACACATCTTCCGGCGACTTCATGCCTTCGACTTTCCCCCGCAACTCGACCAGCAGTTGAGCCCCGCCCAGGAAACCTATCTGCAGTGAGTAGTCGGGGATTAGGTGTGAAATGGCCGCACCGCACCGCCTCTGGTATTTTTCAATTTATTCCAGCGTCCGGCGTTCGTTTAATATAAACATTCCAATCGCATGCTGATTGAAGGACTCTCTCCCCCCCCTCTCCTGTAGCAACTCAAAAATCATTGCCGAGTCCTGGCTGGACGAGTATAAAAATATGTTCTACGCACTGAGGCCGGTGGCCAGGCGAATTCCATTGGATCACACCTACGACGAGATGCAGAGGCTGCGCAGGGAGCGCCAGTGCCAGCCCTTCGAATGGTATCTGCGGCATGTCAGTCCCGAACTAAGGTCAGTGCACTGGGGAAATTAATAACCTAAAAGTAAATAGAATTAGCTAAAACTTTATAGCATACTATACATACTACATAAGCTTTTAATGGTAAAAAATAAATAATTCTGCGTCCTAAACTTTTTATGACAAAACAATACATATGTATATTTAAATTGAAAATTTGTTTTCTCATTGATAAAATATTTCATTAAGTCTTTTGGTAAGTGGTAATATGATATTAATTTTATATATCCACGGGGGGTATTTTTTCGGGTGAAAAATAAAAGGAATTTTCGTATTCAAAAAGTATGCATCAAAGTAATTGTTCTGATTTCACCCCCCACAACAAAATCCTAGATCCTAGATCCACTGTTATAAATAAATTATTTTTAATAAATAGATATTATTAGCAGACAAAAAATCTTATAAATAAATATGTTCAATATTTACAAGAAAGCAAAAAGGATAAAATTGGCTCAAACATGAGAATTGTATCCCATATATATTTATTTCAAATGTTTTATTTATAAATATATTTTTTTATATTAGAAGACTAAAGTAAATTTTGTTTGAATATTTCTTTTCTGTGTGTTCAGTTATCTGAGTTATTATTAATTTAAAAAAAATGTCCCTTGGCAGGATTCACTTTGACGAGCTGTCGGCGACGGGAACGCTGCGGAATGAGGATCGGTGTCTGCATGCCAGACAGAGTGACTCCCAGCTGATCCTGGCGAGCTGTTATCTTAGTGACATCACCCAGTGGAGGATGCTGCGCACCAGTGGCCAGCTGAGCACCCAGCGGGAATTGTGCCTGGGCGTGGGCCACCGTATGGGGATAACCCTACAGCCGTGTGGCAGGAATGAGACCACAAGAAACTCACAGCGATGGCTCCGCCTGGGCACCCACTTCCTGCACGCCGAGACGCACCTGTGCCTGGATAATCCGCTCAAGGAGCGGCTGGAGATGAGCACCTGCCGTTCGCATGCCGTCTCGCAGTCCTTTCAATTTGCATTGGAAATGGATGCCAGCTAATGATACTCAATACTCAAATATCCCCGAAAACAGATCCGCTTAGTTCTTGATGGTTGGTTGAGTGTTTGTGTGGGCAAACCTCTGGGCTTGCAGGTAAATCAAAATGCTGACATGTTGTGCTAATCTCTGTGAAACATTTCCGCTGCCGGTGGAGCAGCATGGCCATAGATTACAGAGGCGGCGGCAGTAAATTATGGCGCCATAGATATAAGAAAAGGTGCTCCCCAGCTTCTTGCTACTTCCTTTATTTTTTTGTTTTTTTTTTCTGCAGCCTTTGTTGGCGCAGTCGGACTATCAAGACTCGCAGCGTTTCCTGTCGCATCCGTCACACGAGACAGGACACAATGGGGGGTGGGTGAGGTCCTGGGGGCGGAAGGATAGGGAAATGGGGGGCGTGGCCAGATAAAAGCCAGCGACGCCGCGCGTATTGTGCGGCTTGTTTAGGAGGCCCTGTCATCAGTCAGCGAACAGGGAACTGCGAACGGCGAACGGCGAACAAAAGCAGTTCCCTTCGGCTGCAAGGAGTCAGTCGCAAATGTAATTGAGTTGATGACAATGCCACTGACTGCCCGGCTCGCGCTTCCGGCAATTTTGATGGCCTCCGGATGCCGGCGACAAAAAGCGGCGACTCCGGAAACAAGACCAAATAAAACAGAGGAACAGCAGCAACTGAAATGCCAACTGAAAACAGAAGTTCATCGTGTGCCAGGAGCTGGGAGCTGCGAGAATTTCCAAAGTGCAGTTGTTGCAACTTAAGATTTGTTTTGTTTTCACCATTCTTGCGGTAATAAAGCGTAAAAGTTAATTTCGTATCGCAACAATGGGGCAACAAGTGTGTCCACAGGGCTGACAGCCATGCGACTGGCGACTGCAGCAATATTTCCCTCACAAGAGCCGCGTGCAGCTGCGCGTAAAAATCGCATTTTTCATGGAACTTGATAAAAACAAAGCAACAAAAAAAACTAGCAACAAGAGAGGACGCTATAATCGAGTAACACGACTATCAGATACCCTTTACTCAACAGAAAGGCATTTACATATTTACAATATCTATAAAAAATGTGAGCGCCAGGCATTTTTTAAGGTTCTCCGTGGCGATTGTGGGCGTTAAAGTGGGCGTGGCGATCAGCTGAAACAAACTGGCTCTGCGTAGGAAGCCAAAGAATATGTATGGTTATTCTTAACATTCTAGCTTTTGTAGTTTCCGAGATCTTATCGTTCATACGGACAAACGGACAGATACGGACATGGCTGGATCGACTATATCTTCTTCCTGTTACATACTTTATCACAAATACAATATATCCTTTTGCTCTACGACTAAAGGGTATAAAAAGCCTTGCGAAGTCTAACAAGTTGCTGCTGCTTTGGGTTTGGGTTTCGGTTTGGCTCTTCTAGTTTCCGGAAAGTTATGGCCGCATCCGCCCGCGACATTTTATTGTCGTCCTGCACCTGAAATGCAAGTAACAATAAAGCGGCGGACTCTCTCCCTCTCTCTCTCTCGGTAATAAAACGGCGAAGCACTAGAAAATTTAATTTTCTATAAACTTTGTCTAGGTAACCGACTGACTCGCTGGACCAACTAAATTGCCGGGCCACTTTAAGAATCCTTCGTCATTTGGCTGAAATGCTGCTGCAGTCCTTGACTTGGATTCGCCAAATTTGTATTGCCTTTTGAAAAAAACGCTGGATTGCATGCTTTCGAAAAGGCTGTGCAATATCATCGAGTAAACTAAAAACCGGGGCTCGGCTCAAGAACGGACCTTAATTATGAGCGGTGCCATCAGCCAGCCGGGCAAAACTTGATTATTCATTTGAAGACTCATTTTATTATCTGCATAAATCTTTGCCGAACCCGGCAACCAACTTTCTGTTTACTTTGTAGGGTTCTGGGGTTCTGGGGGCCGAAAGAAAAAAGACAAAATGGAATCCATCATTCACTGGCGTGGCCGCATTTAAAACATCTTGATTAAAAAACTAAAAGAACTGGACGGGGGGCGAAAAAGCTAGAAGAATGGCGGTCGGTAAAATGGTAAAATGAAAGCCAAATGCAAACTCAGCGCATTCTAAGTGCGCCAGCGGAAAAACAAAAAAGGGCAAGGAAATTCGAGTGAAAATAAAATAAAAACGGAACGAAATGAAGGCTAAAAAACTTATAAGCCGCGAGCGTAGAGCCAAGTTGCGGAATAAAATAACCGCTGGTGGGGAAGCGTTTAAAAAGGGATTTCAAAATTAACGTCCATCAGGCGGCCAGGCGAACAAGAAGGAAAAAAAGTCAATTTGAATGATTAAATAGCAAAAGCTGTGTGTAAAAGTTGTGTCGCCGTGGCGTAGCCATCGACCCCTTCAAAAACCCAACCATTTCCAATCCAAATCCCGAGGCTTGCGCCCACCGGTTCCCAAAAACAGAGAAAAAAGCGATTAGTGTGGTCTTTTGTGTGGCTTAAGCCATCGCCAACTCCATCGCCTTTGCCTCCACCTTTTTTTGGGCACTCTCTCAGGCGGATTTACATTTATTAATTCCCCTGGCAGCTGCCGAAAAAAGGGTCAGGTTTCGGTTCGGGCAGGGATCTATGTATATGAGAGGGTAAATAAAAACATGTGAACGTTAGCGCAAAAGGCGATAATCCATCATTTTTGTCACAGGTTGACTTCGACGAATGAACAGTGGGGAAAGCACTTGAAAAACTTTATTTTATGCGCCTTTAATTAAATGCATTTCAATTAAATGCTTTTATTAGACTTGGTTATAAAGTCCTGAGAACAAATCTATTTATATTTAACAAGCTAATATTTCCTACACACCCACTGTAGTTTTTCTTATGGCAGAGACTTGTAATCCCTATCGCATGATTATGCCAAAAATGAACCCATCCATCGCAGCACACGAAAAAGGTTGAGCTCAGTGTCCCTGCAAGATGGGTGGTCCTTCAAGCCGGATCCCCGTGAAAAACAGAGTGTGTGTGTGTGTCATGCGGATGGATTATCATGCCCATGACGCCCAGGAGCAGCCAAACAATTTTGACGCAACGCAATGAAATGATTTTGATGAAAAATTAAAAAGCATTTCAATCACGTCGAAAGTTTTCTGACATCACACAAAAATTGTTGCTTCTGGCCGTGGAAAAGGGAAAATCCAGAAAGAGCGAGGGGAAATTTCGAGTGGGTGTAGTGTGTGTGGATGATGTAAAGGTCCCCAACTCTCTCATGTCTGGCAGTCATTTATTTAGATGCTAATTTAAGTGTGCGCCAGGAATAATGCTCTCCATTTTTGTGTTAAAACGCTGCAGAAGTTGTGGTTCAAGGTGATGTGTTGGTTATTTATCTGAGGGTTTGGTTTCGGGGGATTTAAAATTTGAATATTATGAAAATTAAATATGCGCTGGAATGTTCACAGATAAGTTTAAAATGTACCATGACCATTCTCACATTTGCAATTAAATTTCCATCAGATACTTTGTAAAATCAAAGGCTTGAAAATTTAAATGAAAATTATATTTAATTAAAATTTAACACATTTTCAACTAAATTTCCATTAGATACAATGATCATAGGATTGCAAATTAAATTAAAAAATTAAAATTAAAAAAACTAAAATTAAAATTAAAGAATCATTTAAGCTTAATGCATTACTTATATCTTCTAAGACCTTTCAATTCATTTTCCCTGGCACTTCCGGTTTCCATTTTGTTAGTCAGCCACAAAGTATGCAATGAAATCAAACGAATGGCCAAGATGGCGACTCTGGTTGCAGCCAAAATTCAAGCAATTTACCGCTATTGTTGGCCATTTAAATAGGCAATAAGCCTGCATTAAGAATTAAAGACTTCATTAAATCCGCAGTACTGCACATTAAATAAACATAATTCCGCCTTTTGCCATTTTCTGTTTGCTTTTCGCTCTGTCCATTGTCGCCGTCGTCGTTTGGGGCGATTTCTTGGTTTATTTTTTTTAGCCACCGTTGTTGTTATTGTTCATGGTGCTTAATTCGCATTTAATCTCATCAGGTTGGCGACGTCCTCGTCAGGGGTGCAGTGAGCCGTGGCCCCACATCAGGACATCAGGACATCAGGGCGACAGGACAGCCCGCCGCAGATTTGATGGGGGCCACGGCTGCCGCTGACGCAGACTGCGACTGCCGACTGCGCGGTCGACGTCGACGGTGAGTGCCGGTGACAGGTGAGCATTGCGTTGGCAGCGGCAATAAAAAGCATGTAAATGAGGCGGAGCTTTGGCCCAGGCAGAGAACCAGGCCAAGAGACCGAGCTCAGCTATCTGCCGGCTGCGGTTATATAATGTTGTGACAAGCCGTCCCCGGCGACCGAAGGTGTTAAGCCAGCGGATCTGATCTCTGTATCTATCCTACACGGTTAAAAAACAGCTGAAGGTAAGGCCTCATACTGGCAAGCAATGGCCCTCATTTACCAACTAGGCACTTTTGTAACTAGAGAAAAAAAAAATTTTGTATTTATTTAATTTGTTTTTATTATTAATTTTTCCGTAATATAGAAATATTTTTTTTTCTTCCACATTTTAGTGAGTCATTTTAAGATTGTTTTGATATTTTTTTTAATAAGAATTTATATACTTATTCACTTATGATTCCTCAACAATATGTTTATCATGTTAATATATACAAAATATTTTTTAAAAATTCTAAAACAATATTAATTTAATACCAAACTTCAAAAACAATAAATCACTTTATTTTAGTAGTCATTTTAACACTGCTTTAATATTTTTTACTAGGAATTTAATTACTTATTCATGTTTTCTCAACAATAAGTGTTATTGAAACAATTCTAAAATATATTTTATTTATTTAAAAATTGTAAAAACAATAAGTATTATATTTTTTATAAAATATTATGACTAATCAAAAAAGTATGACCCTCCTGCGGGAATATGCTTAGAAAGTATAAGAAATAAATAAAAGTGATCATTACATCCTTTATTTTTTTGAGTGTAGGACTGTGGGGCGTGAGCCAAGGCGCGTGCCACCTTTTTGTTGTTTTTTCTTTTTGCTCACCTCTGCCGGCAGTTAATCAGAGAAATTAAGCAAAGTACTAAACGCGGCAGAGCTTGGAACGCCAGCTGAGCAGCCCAGACGAGACGAAGCTGACGACATCCAGCCAGGACATCCAGCTGTGCAGGACAATGGAAGCCAGCGGGTGGACCGAGGACCCAGAACCCAGAACCTAGAACCCGCGGACCAGAGACCCAGAACAAGTAGTGATTGCCCCGACAATTGTTGTAGCATTGGGCCAACAGTTCGAGCAACAAGAGCAAACATTCCAGGCCAGCCAGCTGATGAGGATTGGGGGGATCAAGAGGGGGTACCGGCACCCCTCACACGCACAAAAAGCAACGCCGCTGGTTGTTGCTATTGTTGCCATTATTCTCGCTGGGATGGCTGGCGTCGCTGCCGGCGTTTTGCCGCCGCCGCCGCCGAGGCATCGAAGTATTCCTCAGCCAGCTCAGCCAGCAATCAGTTGGGCACTGGATACGAACGCGTGCAGTGTGTGGATTTTCCAAATTGGCCAAAAATACTAGAATAGAATCGAAAAATCAAACCAGAAAATATATAGAAGGTTCGCTCGGAAACGTTAGAAACGCCTGTTTTTTGTGCCCCAAAATTTATGCCATTCGCTTGTCAATAAAAACCAACAAACAACAAAAAAGAAAAACCCCCGGAGAAACGTAAACAGAAACAGAAAAGAAAGACATCATATTGAATTTATGGTGTAGGTGCAGCGACGTGCGGTCCTTGAGGATGGGATATCCTGCTGGTGTCCTTCTTGTCGTCAGGGTGTGTCACACGGCGTCGATTTGGACGTGCCCTTCTCTGCACCTTCTGCTGTCCTTTTATTGTTGTCTTACCTCTTACCCGGGACTCAGGACTACCTGGCCACAATTACCGTTATCGGGCGCAAAGGACCAAATTGCTTTTCGGTTCGTTTTCGGTACCACACGGCGTATGCTCAACGTTCGTAGTATTGCGCATGATAATTGAATTTTTGTGGCGGCTGCTTTGTGGAAATCTCCTAATTGGAAATTTGTTATTTGAGTTCGATGAACTGTGAACAGAAAAAGAGAAAAAAGTAGCCCTAAAATCGTTGGAAAATTGAAAATGTCCCTGGACAATCAAGTGAAATAATCAATAAAGTGTTATAAAAAATATATTAAAAAAATCATGGAGAACGCTACAATAATGCTGAATAAAATCAACTCTAGCAGAATGGAGGAAAACAGCACCTCCTACTTCACCGACGAGGAATGGCTGTCCATTAGCAGCACTTTGCCCTGGATCGTGTGCTTCTTCTTCGGGGTTATCGCCATCACTGGGTTCTTTGGCAACCTGCTGGTCATTCTGGTGGTCGTTTTCAACAAGAATATGCGATCTACGACCAACCTGATGATCGTTAACCTGGCCGCCGCCGATCTGATGTTCGTCATCCTCTGCATTCCCTTCACGGCCACCGACTATATGGTCTACTATTGGCCATACGGGGTGTTTTGGTGCCGCAGTGTCCAGTACTTGATAGTGGTGACGGCCTTTGCTTCGATCTACACCTTGGTCCTAATGTCCATTGATCGATTCCTGGCCGTGGTTCATCCCATTCGATCGCGGATGATGCGAACGGAGAACATCACCCTGATTGCCATCGTGACTCTGTGGATCGTGGTGCTGGTCGTCTCACTGCCGGTATTCTTCGCACACGATGTGATGGTAAGTTGTGGGAGGTGGTGGGAGTATTAGACTGCCTGCTGTGCCTTAATCTGCTGCGAAGAACACGGACCAGGCAAATTTATTGCTTTCCATCATCGTCACCTCGTTAGATTCCTCTCGCTGCACGTCATTGCCGGGTTCTTCAATATATAGATAGTCTGGTTATAGATCGTAAGCCAGAAGGTGAAGATCTTATAGCCCCACCTACCCACCAACCGATCGACTGATCCTTCGTGATACAAATCATTTGCTTTTACTATTATAGATGCCCCCTATTAAAGTTGCCCCTTTTTATCTCTTGTTTCTCCCGCTTTGTGTGTTTATATTGAACATTTTCGCTAGATGCGCGGCGCCCGATTTGTTTTTGTTACTAATTTGCTATTTTGAATTCATAAATTTTTAATTATAGACCAGATAGCCAGCGAGAAACACTTGCCAACTGGCGGTATCATAATGCCCCTACCCCTTCTTTTCCTCCTTTTCATGAATTTCCATTCCAATTTCAACTGTTGATCCAAAAGCACGTAAATCATGACCCGTCGTAAGTCCTAACAAGTGGTCATTATGGAAACTTTGCTTTTGCAAAACTGAACTCCGGGCGCACACTGCGTATGATAAATGTGTTCGCGGGTGGCGACCTTGAAGAGCTCCTGGCGGACTTTAAGCTTTTATGATCGATGCGAAAAGTGCGAGAAACAATTTAATTGCTGAATAATCGGTTGAGATCTGCATTGTTTGTATAAGATCAGCGGGCGATATCAAAAATAAACAGATATGAATTTTAGGGGGTTTACTTTCGATTTAATAGTTTTTATTCTATCATATAATGTTTCCTTTCTTACAATTTCTTAAGGATTTTTACAATCGTTACTTTAAGATTACAAATTAACAAATCACCTAGGTTTTTTTTTATTGCATATATTTCTGATTTCAACAAGAATATGTTTGTAGAAAAAGAACAATTTGTATGAGCCCTTTAATATCACATTAAATATTTCTGATTTCACCATAACGCATATTAACTACAAGTCATTGCGACCGGTCAAAGGGTTATTTTCCTGTTGACGTCACATATTGGGCCAGAGGCATTTTCCCGCACATTTCCCCCTGCCAACAAAGCGAATGGCACATCGCACACGACCAACTTTTTATGTGTGCCGCTGACTTTTCTCCTTTCCTTGGCCAAAAGCGAAGGGGTCGCGGTTAATTAAACGAATCCCATCGATGAGTTATTTTATCTATGAGATGCCGATGGGCCACTGTTGCTCCGGCTGTTTGTTATTGTAACCTAATATTTTATTAAATGGCATTTCACGCTCCGTTATTTTTTTCTCTCATTGTTTACGTTGGGGTAAAAAGGGAAAGGGAAAGAGGGTCGCTATGGGTCGCATTATTGTTTGTTTATGTGTTTGCTTTGCTTTGTCTAAGGATTAAGCTGGAAAAATACAGGCCAAATTGAATGCTCATATGTGTGCTTTGCTTTGTTATCTGCGCTGCCGTGCGTGTGCAAATACAAAGAAAGAGGCGATAAAAAGGCATAATTAAGTCATGTTTGATCAACATGTTAATTAACAGTTTGCTATTAATTATTTCCATATTACATAGGAACTCAGCAGCAGACCAACTTGCACACGAACATCAAATCGTCGTACATATACAGAAAAAAAATCTATATGAAAATTGGACATTTCTACCATATATGAAATGATAAATGTCAAATTTATGATTCAAACGTATCAACTTGATATTTTATCATTTCATAAAATATTAAATTTAGTATTGGTAGAACAAATATTGTATTGTAAGATAAACATAATATTATTCATATCAAAATGATATGAATATCTTGATCTTTAAAAAATATTTAAATTAATATGATCTTTTGTCCATTTTTTTCAGTGTAGGCACTCTGTAAGCGAATGCCATTATCTTTTTATTAGAAATCGATAACTAATAATCATAAAGGCACATATGTCCGACTGCGTAACTAGATATGCGATCTCCAGGTCATGGCATTGATTGACAGCTGTTTGATTGGGCTTTCTCTCAAATCGAAGCGAAATGAAACGAGGGAAAGGCATTAATGGCTTGTCAAGTCTATTAAGTCTTTGGGTTTTTGTGGAGAACAAGCGAACGAAATTAACCCATAAATCAGCGGAGGGTCTGAGAGGGTCTGGCCATGATTTGTCTACTTCACTTGGCCTTGGCCACTTGACGCTGCGCAGATTCGAATTTCCCAACTCAATCTCATCTCGTTCAGTGTAACGAAAACAAGGGCGGGTAATAAACAAACATTTTTGTAAGCATTTTCCTCGGCATTAATGGCAAAGATTTTTTAAATACGATTTTCCACACGCATTAATCGATGGAGAAAGCGACGCGGTGAAGAGGCGGAGATTGTAAACAAAAATGTAAACAAAAGGCTGCAAATATTTTTACGATACACCACCAGGCAGTTTATGACCCTCTCGTCTAGCCAATGTTCGAATATAGCAATGCCCGAATCCCGTACCCGAAACCCATCCCAAATCCAAATCCAAAACTCCGGCAGAACAATTTGTCAGCCAAATGTCAGCGACAGAGAAACAAAGTGAGATTGCGAGTTAGTTGTCGACTAGTTCGGACTATTCGTATGACAGTTTAGTTTTATTTACGATGTCTGGCTTTTGGCTGTTGGCTGTTTGGTCGTCTGACGTTGCTTTGCTGCCATGCAACTGTCACCGGCAACATGACGTATCCGCAATATTCGATACTCATACCCCTTTCATTTTTGTATCATTGATTTCCGCAGGTGCAGTATGATGCCAAGAAGAACATCACCTACGGAATGTGCCAGTTCACGGAGAACGACTTTATGGGACCAAAGACCTACCAGGTCACCTTCTTTACCAGCTCTTACCTGCTGCCCCTGATGATCATCAGTGGGCTGTACATGCGCATGATCATGCGGCTTTGGCGCCAGGGTACCGGGGTTCGTATGTCCAAGGAGTCGCAAAGGGGTCGCAAGAGGGTCACCCGCCTCGTTGTCGTGGTGGTCATCGCCTTTGCCTCTCTTTGGCTGCCCGTTCAGGTGAGTCCAAAGTCTAATAAGTCGATATAAGATCATAAAACACAAGATATAAATAACATAAGGAAATAACAAAGAACATACACCCAAATATACTAGGTTCAAATTAAAAACAAGAGAGAACGCTATAGTCGGGTGCCCCGACTATCAGATACCCGTTACTCAGATAAGGGAGTGCGAAAGAGATGGAGAAAAACTTTTATCCGCCGTAACTTTTTAACGAATGGTCCGATTTAAAAAATTTCTTCTACGTTTCGATAGGTATTGATAAACACAATAAAACTGCATTTTTACTTTTCCAAAATATTGAAATTTTTAAAATCGTATATAAGCGATTGTGGGCGTTAGAGGGGGCGTGGCACCCTTTTGAAACAAACTTGCGCTGCGTAGGAACTCCTAGAATCTGCATGCAAAATGTCAATCTTCTAGCTTTTATAGTTTCCGAGATCTCAGCGTTCATACAGACAGACAGACAGACAGACAGACAGACAGACAGACAGACGGACAGACAGACGGACAGACGGACATGGCTAGATCGACTCGGCTAGTGATCCCGATCAAGAATATATATAGTTTATAGGGTCGGAAACGCTTCCTTCTACCTGTTACATACTTTTGCACGAATCTAATATACCCTTTTACTCTACGAGTAACGGGTATAATAAAATAAATATAATTGGAACTCTGTAGTATTATTGTTATACTAAATAATATAAAGTTCATATTTTATGGTATAAACTCTATACCGAAAGTATTAATTTAGTACTCATCCTTTTTAAATATATTTGAAACTAAATAGTTTAGAATTAATGTACGAAAAGTTTATTTTCTATGATCATTTTTGTTCATTCATTCTGTTCATTCAAATCATTCATTTACGATATTAAATGTCTTTGCTAAGAACAACATAAATCGAAATTTAAAACTATTAATTAAAAGCTAACATATCATTAACCCACTAAAATTCATTAATACTTTTTGTCATCTACATATTATTTCTCGAAAATCCAAATGAGGTTATTAAAATATATATTTCTTATTTTCTGTTAACTTTTTTTATAATTTTTTCACAATTTGTACATTAATATGTTATTATTTTTTGGTATTATTAAACAGCTCATCCTACTTCTCAAGTCGCTGAATGTCATCGAGACGAACACGTTGAGCAAACTCATCATTCAGGTCACTGCTCAGACACTGGCCTACAGCAGCTCCTGCATCAATCCGCTGCTCTACGCCTTCCTCTCCGAGAATTTCCGGAAGGCCTTCTACAAGGTGAGTGGCTGCAGCCAAGTGGCCGAAGGACCAAGGGTCCTCGAAAGGGACAGATCTGAGTGCTGGGTCAATATATCGATGATTCGACTGCCGCTTGATTTATTTTCAGAGCATTGTTTTTCGCTTGCATTTCATCATAATTTGTGAAGTGAGCCATCGCACTGATTTATTGACTGACAAACAACAAAAAAATCATATAGGCCTTCGTTTTTCCATCCATAAACATTCATTTCCGCTCAAACGCATTTCCATTTCCATGCCTAATGAGTTTTTAAATGAGCCAATGTTTTGATTTCAAATCAAAAATCTAAAATGCAATTAAATAATTTACGTTATTAAGGGGAGCAGAAGACAACCAAATAGAATCCATCTCAAAAGCAGCTGCGCGTGTTTCCCCATTAAATGTTGGATGGGCAAGCGTTTTTAATGAGTTAAGTGCGAAAAACGCGCATACGCCGCGTGGGTCGGATTTTGAGCATCAAAATCTATATATTTAAGATATAAATATGTAGAATTTACAGAATAATTTCAGAACTGGATCATCATCATCTGACCGATGGACCGTCCGTCCATCTTCATTTCTCTATTTATATGGCCGGCAAAACAGGGCAAAACAATCCGACGATTCGCAGCTGCCGGGGCATTAACACAAAAGAGCACTCTTTCCCCTGGTTATGGATGAAAAATATTTTCCATTATTGGACCAGTGTGTGTGAGTGGAAATCTTTTGTCTTGTCAATTTAATGAAGTGCATCGAAGTAGTTTACGAGGCATTGCAATGAGTAAAATTCCTTTCTCTGTCTGGCATTCCACAATTTTCCCTCAAATTGCACAGTAATTGGGCTTTAAAATACAAAATGATTCCGTTTCGGTTTGGGCTATTTAAAGAAATGCCCGAAATTAGCAACGCATTGAGACAATGGGAAATTACAGGCTTTACATTTTTTGTGGCTCGCTCTTTTTATAGCCATTCCCATTTCCATTCCCCCCGCTGTAAATTCATTGACATCCGTTGATGTTCCGCCCACAAAACGGGGGGCCCAAAAAAAAGTGAAAACAGACGGCTGACAGGCTGCTTGCACACAAAAAAAAATTCTATGTGAAATAGGGTAATTTCTACCTTATTTCATATCAATAAAACATTCAAACATATTAATTTCATATTATATAATTCCTTAAAAGTTCTAAAAATACGGTTTTTAAATACCAAATTGAGTTTTTTTTTAAATATTTTTTTCCTGTGCTGCTTTTGGAGGCTCATTCCAATTCAACTCACTTTCGGGACGCATTAATTCTTTTGGTCAGCGACCATTTGCATAAACACAAAAAGCGTTGCGGGACGCAAATCACTGGACAGCCACGCCCACCGCGCCCCCTCGCTTTTCAGCCCCCCCGGGGGGTGGGATTTTGCTTTACTTACTTTTAATTACTTTAGGGACAAACAGACACAAACTCAAGGCTCAAGGAAAACAGAGAACAGAAAAGTAGACATTGTACTCATCGATCGGCGAATTTTACTTTTGCCGAGCGGCAACATTTCCTTTCAATCATTTTGTGGCTTAATTTTAATATTTTAATTTGTTTTCCCGCTGCGGTGCGTGGTGGGTCCAGGTCCTTCGTGTTTTTCCGCCCAGCTTTTCCGAAACACTTTGCATATAAATTGTGTTCCTGGATTCTGGACTCCGGATGCTGTCTTGGTTTGCCTTTCGCTAATTGATGTGTTTGTCAAGTCATTAAATTAGATTAATTACGTTAATTAAATTGCTGGCCTGCGTTGTTTGTATGCTTTTTTGGGCTATTTTGTTCCTGGAATGCCCTATTACGGATACCACGTGTTTGGGAATATGTCAATCTGATTAATTGGCCGCGGGATTGGCCCTTCTATATTGGACAAGCATTTATTCATGTGCCGAATCGGTCGAATTCTCCATTGATCTCTCTCCCCTTTTCACGCCTTGCCAAAAATCCTGTAACCCAATTATGCCCGAAAAAACAGAGCCTGCAATCCGAGAGGTTCGGCATAAGGACAACGACGCATCAGGATGTGAGTTCTGAGAAAACTACCTATTAAACATAACTGTAAGGCGGAGTTAATATTGCTTTATGTATATTTTTTCCGATTAAATAACTAATTACATTTAATAACAAATAAAAAATAAATTTAAATCTAATTAATTTTTAGTATCACCCTTTCCTATTTCTTTTAGATTTTTGTAAACACAATACTATTTTATTTTATTTTTTTAATCTATACAAAACGGTGTAATTTAATCGCTTACAAACATATACCGAAGTAATAAAGCTTTTAGGGCTTGCGGCTTTATTCTTTGTTGATATCTCCATTAAAATGTTTGTTGTACAAATACAGCTTCATTTTTTCACTATCTATTTGGATTAAAAGTACATGTAGATTAATCAAATATTACTACGTATTTTTCGTTTATTGTTTACGCATGTTTTTTACAAGTCTCTAGAACAAATTAAGTTACATATTAGTGATAAAAACCTATATTTTTTGTACAATACCATTTTTAAAATACCTAGATATTTACATTTTGGTTATAGGCAAATATGCCGCAAATTTGTAGTTAACTACCGGCTTTAAAAGCTTTCCGCTGTTGTCCGTAATCGAATAATGAGAGGGGGCAGAGCCCAGACAATGCGAATGCACAGCGCACCTAGGAAGCCAAAGACCGTAACTGCCGGCGGTTCAAAAGCCGTAATTCATTTCCCCAGAGCTTCGCTATCTGCAAACGGAGTTACTCCGCTGTTGTTGTTGCTTTTGCTCCTGTGACGAGGCACTAATCAACAATTTCAGGCAGTTCAATCAAAGCGCAAATTCATAAATCATTTATATGCAAACTCTCACCCCACCAAATGGGCAGAGGGATTCCAGTAGTCCCAGTTTTCAGTTGCCTGGCAACTGGGTTTCTGACTGCCGGCATTTCAACACCTCAAACCACTTTAATAATTGAATATTGAATCAAATCTAATCATTCAAATGCAAAGCGACGGCAACAATCGCAGCCAGAGGCCTTGACAAGGGAATAGCTTTCGCCCCGTTTCCATTTCCAATCCCCAAACAGCCAGTGACTCTGCATCCAAAAACACACAGCACATCATTAATCAAATATTTTTGGGCCGATTATTTGGTGAATGGAACATTCACTGGGCCATCAGTCCTTTATTTATTTTTAGCATTAAATTCTGCCAATTTTCCATCACTTTCCCCACTCCGTTTTCTTCGTTTTCTCAGTCTCTCTCCTTTCGTTCCTGCAGGCCATTAACTGCTCGTCTCGGTATCAAAACTACACATCTGACTTGCCACCGCCACGAAAGACGTCGTGTGCCAGGACCTCGACCACAGGACTCTAAGGATAATTTCCTAAAGGAAAAGTGCGGGAATCAAAGGCAGAGCCATGTGATTAACCGATAGGCAGGCCACTGAAATTGCCTTCATTACGAGTGAATCTCCGAGGGCAGGACATATGTATGGATGTCCTTAAACAGGAAGAGGAACCAAAGAACCAAGGGATCAAAAGGACTGCAAGCGATCACTGCAATGGAGTGATGCCCTTCGAATGGCTAGATTTTAATATGAGTACTTTGTAAATAGAAAGTAGAATTATAAGCTAGAATTACCTGATTGTCTATTAATGTTCTATACTATTAGTCTAGCAATATATCTCTTCTTCTTTATCACTTAGAAAATAATATAATAAAGATAGTATTTAAAAATAATATTAACATTTAATGCTGATAAAAGGATTAAAAATATTCTTAAAATCCCTTTAAATGTTTTCAATGTGTAATGCAGTTTTAAGAGAGCCTCATTATTATTGTTATACAGATAATGCTTATCGCGGAATATAATTTGTTACAAGCTCCCTTCGGTGTAAGCCAATATTGATGACCATGTTACCACAGTTTGTTATTTGTGGAAACCATTAAAGAATTAACAAACAGAACAGCACAACCTCATATGTAGTATTTGATTTGTTCGGAGTTGTCAGCCTGCGGCTCGTGAGGCAATTGGCCAAACTTTTTGCCAGTTGCATAAATGTATGCAAATTCGGCTGCCGGCATTCAAATGGGCATTTAGTGACGCGTGAAACATGAAATTGAAATACTTGTCGAATTTTCGCGAATCGCGGTGCCATCGATATCAGGCGATGCATTTGTGCAACACACTGGCATTCATTTGCCCAGCAACTCGGACAATCATTTATTCTTGGACTTCTGCTGTCAAGCACTTGATGTACTGGCCTTTGACTCATGGAGGCGGACAAATGTTAAGGACAACCAGTAATGCCATAAATCGCATCAGTGCTGCCATTTTGTCCTCTTTCCGGACAGATCTGTCCTTTTTTTAACGGGTTTATCCGGAAAAAATTTCAAACATCCCCTATCCGGAAATCTGTCCTTTTTTCAAAAATAAGGTTTTGAGTGTTATTTTTGCCAGTCGAAAGTGTGTAAACCTGTTTTTATATGCTAAAACGCCTTTTTAACCATCAATCTTACAGTTCGGCACTTAAAAAATAATTATTTTTACAAATTATCAAAGAGACGTAAAGCAGTCGATGGATTTTCTATATAGTACGATTTTTTCTGTAGCAAAAAAAGAGGAAAACACTTTAAAAATTTCTCAATTTTTACTCTCTGCTTTTTTGTCAGAAAAAAATTTCAGATTTTAGCGACTCTTATTCGGGTTTGACGCAGATATTGCATTTTTTTGTATTACCAATATAGTTACTTGAAATGCTTTTATTATTTTAATAATTTTAGATTATTACGTATACGCACAAAAATTAACCATGGTAAAATGATCAAACAAAGAAGGATGTGAGTCGGGCGCAGTAGGTCAATCCATAATTGAATTTAATATAAAATCCATTTAAATTAAGTAATTATATAACCCATTGGTAAAACAGAAAAATGGAGGCGCATTTACTTTTGTCCCGTTTTTTGTCCTTTTTTAAAATTTTTTGTCCTTTTTTTCCCTGTTTTTTTTGGGCTTATCTGTCCTGTTTTTCAAGCTGAGTGATGGCAGCACTGAATCGCATAAAAGCAAAATGAAGACACTTGAAAGTAATACTAATGCAATCTATTCATTTTGTTTAACATAATATAATTTGTTTAAATCCCTATATTTACCTGTAACTTGGTCAAAAAGGTTGCCAAATTGAAAAGAATTTTCACATTTTTCATAAGGGGTTACATCATGATTTTTTGCGAAAAATGGCCAAAAATAGAAATATTCAGGGTTGAATTCCAATCAATTGTGAATTTAATTACGAGTTCTACGAGATATGGCATTCCAAATTTGGACCATTTTTGTCATAATTGCAGTCAAAATACGGATTTTTTTTGGGTTTTTATTGTTTATTGTTGTGTTTTTTTTTTTAATTTACAATAGGAACTTTCATACAATTTTTGTACAACAAAAAAAAAGTAATGATCTTGAATTTCTTGAAATATTAAAATCCTTTATCTTGATATTTGTTTCAATAAACTGTTGATGGATGCAGTGGGATGCCCCCAAGCGTAGATAAAATCCTGCGGACGCCAGTGGCCGTCGTCGCTAAATGACATGAGTAGTACTCCTCTGCGGAGGTCCTGTGATGTCGGCGAGGACCTGACTTTGGCAGCTTAAGATGCTGATTGCATTTCGCTCTCCGCTGGCGACTGACCGGAATTAATTATGCGGTGTCCATCTTGCGGATCCATTCGTATATATGTAGGTATATATCTGCGTAGGAGTATTGGCTACGCTTTTCCGCACTGCCGGGCCCCTCGCACTTTTGCATAATTTATTCAATTTTAATAAGCGGCCCCGTCTAGCGTTGAGGCGTTGGAGGCGTTGCTTTTTACACCAGGTAACGTAATTAATGCGTATCAGTCGCTGACAGGTTCCTCTCCTCGGCGCGTTCGCAATGTAATCAAAATTTCAAATGAGCTGAGCAAGGAGGAGTGCGGAACCAGGTGTGTCGTTCAAGGGCTCCAAGTGTCTTTGCAAATGAGGCGGGAAAATCAATGGATCGATTCGAAACTGAACTGAGAGGCGAACCCCTGGAAGTCGGCAAAATAAAGCTAGGCAACTAAGTATTGGCGCCATAAAAGTGAACGCTTCGCTGGCCAAACTTTTGTTTGCCTTTCTTTTCCTGCACTCGGAAAATAAATAGGTTTCAGTTTAGAAAAAAAGTTCAAAAATGATGATTAAGACAACTATGCAGGCATTTACCCCAATTTACTAGAAAATTTTCATAAAATGTAGAAGAGCTGTTTCTAAAGTAACTTTAAAACCTTCATATTTGAAAAGTAAAACATAAGTTTAACATAATCCTAAATTAATAAAAAAAATAAAATATATAATATATTATATTATATTATTAAAGAAAAATTTATTACATAAATAATCCTGTAATTCGTAAACTTAATTCCATTAAAGGGCTTTTCTCTCCTTTTCTTTAGTTAAGAAAATGAGATTATATATTTATGGATGGCCAATCTTCTTGGATTCTTATTTCTCTCAGTGCTTTCTTGGGGTAGCCGCTGGCCCAAAGGATAAGTCATTTCCCCACCGAGCAAATAGCCAAACAATAACGCCAAAGCCGAGTAGGAGAACAACAACAACAATAACAACAACGGCAAAAACAAAAACAACGACTGCTTATGCTGCTGACATTATCATAATAACAATAATCATAACTGTGAGTGTAACAGTTGTCGCAGCCAGCCGCTCTCTCTTCACCCCTCTCTCCCCTCACTCTCTCTTTGAGCTTCCTCCTCTGCTGTTTAAAGTATTAAGAAATTGCGGCATATCCTGGCAGTTACCGTTACGTGGGCGTGTGTGAGGTGGGGAACGAAATGGAATCGGGACTGTTACACTACTGACCTAGTCTTGGGGTCAAGAGAGAGAGAGAGAGCGCGAGAAAGCAGCCATTTAAGAGAGAGCTAGCTTATCCTGTCAAAGAGAAAGACTCCGAAAAGTGGTGAATTCCCAGTTAACAGCGGCAGAGAGCAAAGGAACTCATGGAATTGGCACACCACCCACGTAGACTGATTTTCACGGCATTCGAGTCGCTCGACTGCAGAGCGTAGGTCATGGCGGCCCACATGTCGGCTACGCAACGCCCACCTGCTTTCCGGTCAGTCACATGCTGCTAATCCGTGGGGTAAAAAAGGGGGAGGGACTAGGGTTCCTTGGCCAAATGAAGCGTAACCAAATGCTGATAGCCCAAATGTTGCAGTTTATGGCCAAGGCATTGGCCAAATTGCCTCTTGGCGTGCGGCATAATGGCGACAATAGCCACATTGTCTTGCTGCCAGAGCGAGATGGCACTCGTTTGGGTTGGAGGAGTGTGTGGGTGTGAGAGAAAGGCTAACACACACACATACGTACTACCTTTTGCTCGATTGCATAATGCGGTCGCGCCAAAACAGAAAAACAACTTTGAACAGCTTTGCAGTTCATTTCGTCGTATGCAGTGCAACTTCCCTTTTCTTTTTTTCTACCGGCTTTTTGTCGTTTCGCGTTGAACTGGCAAATTTCCGGCAAGCTTTGCATGCACACAAAAGCCATCTTCCTTCCCTGTCGCACGCACACCCACACCCGCACTCACACACACACACACTCGAAACGAAAGTTTATCTGTCAATTTCGGTACACAAACACACGCAGGCGGCAAAACGGTAACGCACTGAGCGGATCTCTATACCCTATTGATGGGGTACTATGCAATATATACCTAAAAATAACCTCTATTAGTATGATAAAAAAAACGTTTCAGTTCGTAAATGTAGTCTAAATAAATCATTATTAAAATCAGATTTCAGTTCCTCTTAAGTTTTACTTGAGTGTCCTTAGTCCTAATAATCACCAATTGATTTGCTTTCAAACCTGAAAACATTTTAAAAAAAATTTTTTTTTTTTTAAATGCTGCAGAAATGATAAATTGCTCTCATTTAATCAATATCTTATTTATGCTATTTAAACATTTCACCCTAAAAAGTATATTGACAAACCGTGAAATACAAAAAATTCATAAAAATCTTTTAATAAACTTTTTTAAATTTTTCTAACAAAACTACCTTTTTTTCTTAATAATACCTAATAGATAATATATAGATGAACTTATTTTCTTCAGGGCATCTCGCATTCACGTAAGCCCCCGGTTAGTTAAACTTTTTTTCAGTCCAGCACTTCGACGATAGTTTGAGGAAGAAACATTTTGTCAACTTTAATGCGCTTTGTTGTTAAGACGGCAAAAGGAAGAAAACGCTCAGGAGCCACGTTACATGCAGCCAGCCAGCAAAGCAGGTAAAAGCGCAAAAGTTCGAACCGATTTGCATATAGTTCAGTAATCCAAAAAACGAATTTTTCGGTTAGTTGGCAAAGTACTTGGCTCAGCTTTTATGCATTTCAAAAATCAAACATCCCATTTCCATTCTCTTTCCCGATGAAGCGACACTCTTTTGAACTCGTTTTAATAGGAGATTTTATTCATTAAACAATATGGTTATTATTTTGATTACAATTGGGGTACACACAGAAAGTGTTGTTTGCATAATGGAATTTTTAAGTAATTTTGATTAGGAATTAGCCAGCAATTGGTTAAGGCGCATACTAATGCCCACTAGCGTCCTTTTTTGGCCAGGTTCTAGTTTTACCAGCGTCATAATAAATAAATGATAAACTTTGCCCGAAAACTGACAAGAACATAATTTCCGTGTCCTGCGAGGGTCCTTGTCGAAAGCCGCAGGAATTAATTGCGGGTCGCTCGTTGGTCCTTGCTCTCCTCGTTAAACTTTCTACCAGATTAGGAAGTGCGGGGCGGGGGGCGAACCTTCGTTTGCAATAATTTAAATATTAGTTACACATAATGTAAAGCATAAATTAATTTTGTATTCGCCAACTATTAAAAAACTTTTCATTCGCTGGGCTCCAAGGCAAGTTGAAGATGAAGACGAAGTACAAACGCATAGAAGAGGGACATCCGTTTAAACTTTCTCCGCAGCTCGGGGCAATTAGTTATTCACGCTTGCGCTTGTCTTTTGCCGCAAGTTTAGCCGCTGCCAAATTTTCCTTATTTTTTCTTAGCTGCAATTGGGATTAAACGCAAGATAAATAGTTTGGAGAGTTATAGTATCGTATCCATATCCATATCGTATCGTTTCACATCTCACAGGCGCTGCAACATCCGGCCGTAGACTTGATTCCGCTCGTAGCTGCTGAAGGCCTCGCGGAAACGCTGCCGCTGCTCGCCACTCAATTTCGCATGGAAATCTTGTGCAGCTGTCACGAACAATGCAATTTCGTGTTGACCCAATTTTCGGGCCATCGCCGGTGCCGCTGCCACCGAGTTCCCAGCTCCGATGCCGAGCACCAGCGGAAATAGTTTAATCAAATGCAGATTTATGGAGGCGGATAAAAAGATGACGCTGAGACCCCAGACGCCCTGCTGCTCCGGCTGGGCCAAGAACGTTGGCAGGGTGCAGATCAGCCAGTCCTGCAGCATCTGCAGGTACGACGAGTCGATGGCGGACCGAAAGACCTGCGGGGGAAAAAAGAGAGGAGGAGGCAGGTTATAGAGCGGGTTAAGAGCTGAACAACGAAATGGTTAAATAAAAGCCAAGCCGACAATACGGAAATTAAATTTTATTGTGCTGCTCGAAAGCTGCCTGCACAGAAAAATAAATTGACAAAGGTCAAATTGATATGTGCAGGTTAATTTAATATTTTGTAATATTAAAGTGATATGAATAAATATTACGTTTATTTTATTTTACAATATATGTTCATATTTGTTATGTGCAGGTTAATTTAATATTTTTTAATATCCAAATGATATGATATTGATCTTATTTTACAAGATTTTTTAAAAAAATACTACATGACAAAATATCAAGTTGATATGTACGAATCATAAATTTGACATTAATCATATCGGTTTTTCATTGATATTAAATAAATTTTAAAATATTTTTCTGTGTGCCCTTCCCGGGGACCACGAAGGTCTGAATACTTTGTGGCAGAAAGTTGGCTAATGAAATTCCACAGCCTGGGAATCCGGCCCTGCAAATGACAGTGCAAATTGTGACGCTACGGGATCTCAGGATTCCCTTGGCGAGAGCCGAGTACCCAACTTGTTTTTATTAATTTCCATGCACACGCACCCACCAACCGACTGGCTAACCTTGAACCTAATGAAAACATTTTATGGCCGCACAGTGGTCCTCGCAGTCTCCTCGCATTGACCCACATACACATGCTCCATACTCGCACCTGGACAGGGGCCAAGCTGTAGCCATGAATTCCATTAATTTTCAAGCTGCCAAAAATTCCACAGACGCACACGCACATGTGGTCAACGAAATGGGCAGTCGGCAGATGGCGGCGAGTGCTTTACCCTTTCGACTTGTGGCCAGGGCAAACATTAGCGCTGCATTGGCCCCATTCCGTTCCGGTCTCCAGGCACAGACATGGGACAAGGACGAGGAGGTCCTGCTTCTGGACTCGTAAAATTAACCCCACGACGGAAAGCAGGCACGCACGAACGGCCAACGTCTTTGCCTTTTACCTTTGCTAGATCTTTGGCCAACTCACCTGATACACAATCATGGCAATAACATCGCCGTGCGGTTGATTTATGGCCAGAAACTCCTTTATGACCTTCGTCAATATTTCATTCGGTGGCACTAAATCACGAATAATTTGGCACAGCACTTGTCCATAAATCCAGGCGGCATCTCGAGTCGATGATTTAATACAATGCAAAAGTATATCGACTTTATCGTTTTGCTGGGCGATTATCTCCGGGTCATCCTGGACAATTCCATTCGACAGCTCCGTATTCTCCAGCTGGGCAGCCGAACCTGAAAAGGCAAAACGGGAAAAATATGTGTAAGTCATCTATACACAGAAAAAATAATTCGATATGCAATTGGGTCAATTCTACCTTATTTCATATCAATAAAAATCTGAACATATCAGTTTTATATTTTAGCATTTCATAAAAGTTATAAAAATACTGTTTTAAAATATTTTTTTTTAAATCATCTCAAAATTATATGAATTACATGATCTTTAATATCAATTTGATCTTTTGTAATTTTTTGTCTGTGTCGAAAAGCAGAGAAAAGGGAAAGAAAGTGAAACTTTCTAATTAACAGAGCAGCCAGCCTTCAAGGCAAATGCCGATGGCCATTATTCACATGCTTGGGGTGCTTCACACGACAGTCCTTTCCTTCCCTTCCCATCCGGAACACACACGTACATAAATTTGCATTTAAATTTTATGGATTTTTTGAGGTCTGACGCTTTTTTGGCCAACTTTCTCCCATGACCAAGGCATCAAATTGAAAACTAAACAAAAAAAAAAGAGAAGCTCGCATAGATTAGAGTTGTTCGATTAAGCCCGCAGGAGGAAGAAAGAGGATTAGGAGGCGGGGGAAGGTCACCAGAAATAAATGTGCGTTCCCTTTGGCCAGGTGAAAAATGATGGTGGCCAGAAACAGAGAGACCAGAGACCGCTGAAAGCCACAGCTTGTGTGTGCTGCTTAGTGCGGTTTAGCGGCATCGAATTATTTACAATGCGAGTGGATCCACCTTAGCCACCTTGTAACCACCCCATAACCACCACCCACTATAACCCACCAATAACCCAACTCAGCCGCCTTCTGGCCGCGCCAACTTTGGCTTTGGCCTTTGTTTTGCAGCTTAACATTGTTGGTCGTGGCTGTTGGCCTGCGGGCAGCTTGTTTGGCTGGCTGTTGCCAATTTTGGCATTGTTGTTGCCGGCTTTGAGCGGGGAGGATGAAGTATGGCCAAGTGACCAAGTGGAGGCGGCACGGAGCGGCAGGGGGCGTGGCCCGGCGCCTGGCCACAATTATGCGCGCCACGAATGCCGCAGGCAATGCACGAAAAAAATATAAGAAAAAACCTAACAAACTCTAAAATTCGTTTAAGCAAGACCAAGCTGCGGAAAAAAAATGTATTTACTAACAAAAAAAATGCAAACATAGGCTATTCCATAATAAAAAAGGGCAATAGCACGAATAATTTATACCTCATCTCATATTTTACTTTTTATTATATTTGAATTATGAAATTTTTAAATGATTTTTAACCAATTTTTCACAAAAAAATTCCTAATTCTATTTTAATAGGGTGTCCTCTGTTCATAAAATTTTTACCCAATCAAATATTTTATATATATAGTATAGTAGTAGTAATACTTTATTTATATTTTACTACACATTTTATTGATTAATTTTGTTTATGATTTAAGTTCCAATTTTTCACCGAACAATTCCTAATTCTATATTTTATGCCCAATGAAATTATATCACAATAGATGTATTATATTTATTTTTAAATTATACCTCAATATTTTAGTTCTGAATTTAATTTTTAATTAAACCATTACAATTTCTATTTATTATAGGGTATCCTCTACTCAAGGGATCCGCTGTCTTTTTCCCCACGAGCATTTTCCAGCAACTGGGTGACCAATATGGCCGCAAATATTTATTATTGCGTTTTGCAACTTTGAGGGCAAATGTATATTCCCTTCTTTTTTCTACCGACTTTCCCTATTTTGCTGTTTCGCTCCTTTTCTTTTTTTCCCTAAGCCTTCACTCTCCACTTTTTATTCGAGGCAAGGGCAAACCTGCATTGTCTTTGGCGACGCGGTCTTTTGTTTATTTTCGCGTGGAGCCACAACGCTTTAAAAAAGCAAGCAGGCGGAAAAAGAGCAAAAAAACGCTGCCCGGCAATGGCCAACTTCCGCTGGGATGCGTTTTCCAAGCGAGGATTTGTGTGTGTGTTTTCCAGAAGGGCCCGAAAATCGAGGCAGTCGCCGCCATTTAGTGGCAGAAGTAAGCATCGCGAATGGGCTGCTACACAAACATTGACGTTTCTCAAAGGATTTGCGTGCCGTGGCCATGGCAAAAGGGACTCAGCAGTCGGCAGTCGGCAATCCTGCGCACTGACAAAGTGCAAGGCAAATACGCAACGCTCCACTTCCAATTTCAACCAACATACAGCCGCGGGCATTCTTCGACATATTTGTGGACCGACTTGCATAATTTCTGGCCCAGTGGAGTGGCCCAGTCGAAAGCTGTGCTAAGTTTCCACGCAGCTCCCCAGGTTGAATGGGTTGAATCGGTTAGGAAACAGAGATCCCAAAGTCAGGATTGAAAAAAACCAAACTTTTTGTATTTGCCAGCCTTAAAAATGGTTGACGACTGTTGTTTTTTCTGGTTAGAGAACGAGAACGGGCAAAGAAAACATGTTGGGGTAAAGGAATCGATTGGCTTGGGTTGTTAAATGAAACGAGACTGAGCGGATTACGAGTGACCCGCATCTAGGCGATTTCCATAGGCACTTATGTACCTTCAGTGCCAGCTAATGAACTAAACAAGAATAAAAACCCTTGAGGAATAAGCTGCATTCTAATCTAGTGTTTTTCAAGACAATTATGGTTAAAGGGGTAAAAAAATAAATTAAGTTAATAGATGTTTTGGGAATAAAGTTATCGATATTTTCGATATTTTCACACTATATATTCGATAATATCGATGGTTTGAAGGGAAAAACACATATTAAGTATCGAGAAAAAGCTAACTGTCGATATTTTTTTAATGTTATATTTGGAAAGTATAATATCATCATGATCTAAGAGGAACAAGTTCTTAAAAATATAGTTTCGTTTTGCGGATCTTTATAAAGTTTATCTCAACAAATAATCCCCTAGTCTTATACAAAAGTTGTTTAACAAATACCATTTAGTTGTCTCTTTTACCATTTTGTTTTGATACATAACAACATTTGTGCTTTCTCGATTTTCAAGAACAAATGCTCTCAATTCAAGAACAACTAAACAGAATCTGCTTGAATGTTTATCTCCGTGCAAAAGTGACTTGTGGATAAATATTATGCAAATGCCCGCTACATTTTGGGCTTATACATAAACCCATTTACGCTCATTGGAATCCAAAAACTGAACTTGTGCCCCCGAAAACCACCGAACAAACATTTTGGCACAGGCGAAATGAGCGCCTGACAGGAGCGAGTGTGTGTGTTGTGCGTGTGTGTGCGACAGTTGAAACGATAATAATTGTCCTGGAATTGCGCTAATAACAGCAACAGGGATAATTGTTGGCCAGCAGAGACAGCAGAGATACGCAGCAACAGTCGGTGGAGTGTGGAGTAAAGTGGAGAGTGTCCTGTTGGCCGGCGACAGCAATTAGCCTTTCTCTGGCAGGGGCACACACTCACACTCGCATTCACATTCGCACGCCCAATGCATTCATGGTCATAATGATCAGCGCCAAACTGTTGACCCGCAAACACACAAAGAGCGCCATGGCCATCTCATCTCATCCTGGGGAGAGAGCATTTAAAATGGGACAGTGAACGCAGGACGCAGGACAGCAGGCAAATAAAGGATATTGGGCGCGTAAAGAGAATAAAGTTCACTTGGCCAGCGAGTGTGTCCTTTGCACTAATGCCGCCCTCTGTCAGGATGTTTGCCTTTAAATTGGCGAGCTTCCTTCCGCCCTTCTTCTGCTGCCATTTGAAATTGGGAATTTCGGCTTGCCATTTCCATCCCCTTTGTTCAATTTTCTTATAACAACAGAAGCAGCAACAGAAAACCCGTTCGCGGCCCATGCGGCATTAAATGAAATTACAAAATATTTCGGAACCACCCAATGTTCTCCTTCTCATGCGTTTGCCCCTCCATTTATTGCTCCCCTACTTTTTGATCTTGGTATTATTTGTATACCCTTTACGCGTAGATCCAAAGGGTATATTGTATTTGTCGGAATGTATGTAACTGGTAGAAGAAATTGATCAGAATCACTAGCCGAGTAGATATGGCCATGTCCTTTTGTCCGTTTGTGTGTCCGTATGAACGTTGAGATCTCGGAAACTATAAAAGCTAGAAGGTTGCAATTAACTATGCAGACTTTGGGTTTCCTGCGCATCGCAAGTTTGTTTCTTCAAAGTGACACGTCTACAATCGCCTTGAACAACTTTAAATATGTCTGGCGCCCACATCTTTTAAGATTTTGGAAAAGTATAAATGCAATTTTTTTTCTGCTTATAAATACCAATCGAAATGTAGAAGAAATTTTTCAAATCGGTCCGTTCATTAAAAAGTTATGAGCAAATATTGGAATGCAAGCAGTGCAAGCAGTCTCTATCCCCCTTGCACTGCCTTAAGCTGAGTGAGGGTTATCTGATAGTCGAGTTACTCGACCATAGCCTTCTCCCTTGTTGTTATTTGCTTTGGAGCACAACCACCAATACCCTCTTGAATACTCACCCACATACATGCAGGACAAAAGCAATTTCAATGCCGGAATCGAAAATTTCTCATTCTCCATTTTAAGCAATTCGAGTGCAAGTTTTTCAATTTTATGTCGCATCTGCGGTGTGACCACGACTCCGGCAGCTCCAACTACCGCCTCGGATGCCGATGCCGATGGTTCCTCCTTTCCAGTAGGCTGACTACCAGGAGACAGCACTCCGCTATTGACCACCATGCGCTCGAGGCCCTGGGAAACGACAAAAATAAGGCAAAAAAGAGATAAATAAATACAATAAGCAATATACATAGGCGGTGGGAGTATAAAGGGAGAAACATCTCATAGAAATAGCAATGCGGCGGCTCTCTCTCGATTCGCTTTTGAATTTTTATCATTGCATACTTAAGTGGGTTTTTCAGTAATGGCCACGCTAATTGAGTGGCAAATTGTTATTGTTATGGCCGCTGTTGTCGCTGCGCGCCATTGCGCTTTCTCCCGCTTTCTCCTCATGATGATGATGATGATGCTGATTCGGATCCCGAGTGCGGCCATCAAAGCAAAAGGCAGCCACAGCGGCAGCGGCAACAACAAGGACATCAACAGGACAATTGAATTGCGTGCAAATTTCATAAATTGCTTAAAAAGTCGAATTTAATTTTCGTCCACCGGAAGTATGCAGTGCAAAAACAGTTTTTAATTACTTGCTGCTCTCGCTCTACTCGTAAACTGCAATTAAAATCTCAACTCTGTATTAAATGGCGGCAACTGAGGAATTTCTTTATACAGCAGACTGCATCGTTTAAAACCGAATGCTCTACACTTTTTCATTACGCTCAATTTGGAAACGGTCATCAAACGTTGGCCATGTGTGCGGAGGAGGATGAGGAATTCCTCCTGCCAATCGCTGCTCCTCCTCCGTCAGTTATGACAGCACTGGTTGCTTTTCGCTGTTCGAGGTTCGCCAACCGGCCGTCTGACAGTCCCGTTGCCGTTTGAAAATTGTCAATCAAAAAACCAATTAAGCGCAACGTGGACTGCCCCGTGGACTAAGCCACACCACAGCAGTCAAGGGATGGCGTTTGCCCCTTTATTCGATGGCAGTCAGATTTGTTGCCTTCAGCCCACCAGTCGGCTGTCGGCTGACAGTTAGTAAGTGGCCTGATGGCGGCTAGACAAGGCTGACAACCATTTAAGTGGCATGCTAAGTCCCTCTGCGTTCCCCTTCTTTCGGTTCTCTTCTCCAGTTCTCCAGTACACCCAAAAAAAATCTTGATAAGAAACAAGATCGATTTTACATTATTTGGTATCAATTTTGACTTGATATGCTCGAAATGTAAGCAACAGGCCAGTTCGAATTTCGAAAATGTCTTTCTCCCTTCCACTCATGTAACTTTTAGCGATATCACGCTCTATTTCGAATCTCCGTGAGAGAGAAATCCGCATTGCATGCACCCAAAAAAATTGATACGAAAAGTAGATATATTTTACATTATATAATATCAATTTTAACTTGATATGGGGCCAGGTAAATTTAATATGTTCGAAATGAGTATTTCATTAAAAGCGATATGGGTTTTGCATAACCAGAAATTTACATGCACTTATCGATTTTACGGGAATATGCCAGAAATTTACCATGTGCATATCGATTTAACCAGGCGTGTTTTTTTTTGAGTGTACTCACATGCAAAACGCACAGATACAGCTCCTCGTTGGCGGTCGTCTTCAGGAAATTGTTGGCCGCTATGATTGTATTTGACAAGAGATGACATTGCGGCACAAATTTCGATGTCCACTCGATCAGGCTGTAATTGAGCGTCCAGACCAGCTTCGTGTGCTCCACGCTGAACGGCAGCGCGCTGTAAAGATATGTATAACCCAGCGAAATATGTAGTCCAGTTTAGTAGAAAGCGATTCTGCGTCCGGCATGTTTCCATCTAAATTAATTAGAAGTCTGACGACCGCAGAATTGCATCCGCCGATGGCCAAATGCAGCACCCCACTCCCTTATTGCTTTTCGCGCTTAAAATTACAAAATAATTAGTTCGGCAGCTCCGCCAGCTCGCTGATTAGTTGCCGTGGTCGTCGTGCCTCCCCGAAAGGCAGGGCCATCCATTGATTTTATGACCAGTGCGTTGCCGCCGCTGCTGGAGCTGCAATTTTGCACTGAGGTTTTGGCATATTGGTTTGGAATACGCTGCGTATGCGCAATAAAATTTGTTTGCACTCCAAAAGCCAAGCGGGGAATTCAAGGTTAAAGCCTAAGTTTTGGCGCATTTCTCCTTAAAACTTGTCGAAAGACAGTATATGAAATTCCATCAAAAGCCGCAGCTGCTCAGCCAATAATTAGAATTTACTGGCGAGCATAAACAAGCAAATGCAAGGCAACACCAGAGGCCGGGGGTTTGACTTTGGAAAATCTATCGAGAGCAGCGGCAAAGTTTCAATGGCCATGGTTCATCGATGTTCTGCACGTTGTCGAGTTATGGCAACTTCCTCTGCCGGTAAAGGATAACAGGGATGAGGGGAGAGTGGAGAGGGGTATCTGCTTCCGGCGCAGTCCTTGAAAAGTTTTTGATAACACCCTAAACAGAAAGGGGTGGCGGCCAGGTGGATTCACCACCGGCAGAAGCAGAACATCAGACCACAGAGCCCAGATGCCGATGAGCCGAGGTAACTAATGCGAAATGAGAACTTTTGCCATTAGTGAGTGGATCTGTGGAACAGATATAGAGATGCCAGGAGAAGGAGTCTGGAGTCTGGGTTGATGAGTTTCAATTCAAGATGCTACCAGAAATACATAGGTATAGGTATGGCTTTCAGCTTTCCGCTTTTGGCTTTCGAGCAGGTTCCACTTTCAATTCAATCCGAGGGTACTGCAAACAGGCTGATAATTCCGATGGACCCGCTGGATGAGGGGTTGTTAATTGCGCAGAGAGGCAAATTATGGACAGCAGAATCCGGAATCCGGAATCCGTATTCCGGCTTCCCGTATATCTCCACCTTCAATCCCTGAACCCACCTCTCATCAATGATGCCATGACGATTGATGTAGCCCACAATTAGGGCTCGCAACAATGCCAGCTCCTCGCTGAGCCGCCCCATTGTCGTGTTGGTCTTGCTGCAGCACTCCAGCAGGCAGAGCAGCCCCTGCAGCGTGGCGATGCGTATGAAGCTGTGCGTGCTCTTCAAGTAGACGTTGCCAATCAAGGAGCACAGGACCTGCAGCTCGCCCAGGCTGGGGATCAGGAGGGCTTGGCTGCGGCACAGTAAGTAGATTATATGCTGCAAAGTACAGAGAGAGAGCATTAGCATCGAAAACAATAGAATGGCAGAGTGCTGCAGAGGAAAAGAAGCAAGAAAGTTGAAAAAAAGGGAGGGGAAGAATAGTTAACATTTTCAATAGGTATCTACTAATTAAAAAAAATATATATATATGCTTAACAATTTAAGAGTCAAGTAGGGTAATTACTAGAAATTATATATATTGGATTTTTTTAAACTATTAACAAAGAAATAAATAGTAAGTAACAATAATATGGTAATAATTAAATTAAATTAAATTAAATTAAAGAGTTAAATAAGGTAATTATTTAAAAATTAAATATATGAGAATATTTAAAAATAATAAAAAATAGAAGAAATAAAAAATAACAAAAGTATGGTAATATTAAGTGTTAAATACTATTTGATTCTTTAGAAAAAATTAAACTATTTTAAAGGAAAAGTTCCCTAAACTTAATTATAACTTTAAAACCATAAATGTTAGGTCTTTCACATAGTGATTTTCAAGGTAATTTAATAGATTTGATATTTTTAATAAGTAAGACAACATTCTAAATGCTTTTTATAAACTTCTTACAATGCACAGCTGCACTTACTTGATGCGAAATAGTGTCGTCCATGGGCACTTGCTCCTGCAGTTTGAGGCAGCGCTCCTTAATCCATTTGATGTGGTCGCGGCTCTCGCAGATCTCGCAAAACTTTACCAAATTGGGGAGCACCAGGATGTGATTCAGCTGTCAGGCGATGGAATGAAATTTTGGGAAAGAGTTATGGCAAGTTGCAGCTGCAAATTAAATCACTGCCAGCTGAGGGAACCCCAGGGATCGCCAGCTGCAGCTGCACTGTAATGTTCGCGAAGCGGCTTGCATAATCAAATTAAAAGCCATCGAATGGGCGATGGGCATGTGCAATGTGCGATGTGCGAATGCTGGCAATGCACAGGACGTGACTGCCGCTTTTTGTTTGACAGGACTGGACGACTTACCTCGATCATCTGCTGCAGTACGTCAAAGACCAGCTGCGTGCTGCTGCGAAAGTCAATTCCCGACAGCTGCGTAAAATGGCGATAGTTGCGCATTGCCATGTCGGGCACATCCGCATCCCCCGACTGCTTAATGTCCGCCGTGTTTTGTGGGTCGACACCCCCTGATGCCTGGGCCTCCATTTGCGCCCAACTGAAATTGAGATCGTACTGATTGGCCGCAAAGGTGCGTGTGCCAATCACATTGTCCTGGGCCGCCAGCTGCCGCTCCAGATTGGGCTGATAGAAGACATTGCACGCATCCACCAGCAGTTGCACCTTGTGCAGTTTCTTTAGGCTGCGAAAAAAATAAATTCAAAAATATGAAGGAAACAGTTCGGTTTGTTATTGGCGATAAGAAAAGCCTCCCTACACAGAACAAAATTGAAAAAAGCTCAGATTGATATTTTTTCATATCATTTTGATATTAATAAAGATTATCTATTCATCTAATTTTACAATATTTCTCCATTAAATAAAAATTTCATATTTTAAAAATGAAAAAAATCGACAAAAGATTATTGATATTTTTCATATCATATTGATATTAATAATAATTATCAATTCATCTAATTGTACAATATTTCTCCAATAAATTCTAAATTTGGTATTTTAAAACAGTGTTTGAATCATAAAATTTAAATTAATCATATCGGCTTTTTATGGAAATGAAATAAGCTAGAAATTTCCGTATTTTATATCGAATTTCTATGCAGTGAACCCTCCCATCGATTAAATAGCGCATACGCACTGTTGACAGAGCAGCAGGAATGGCAAGTAAAAACTATTTGCTTGTAATTAAAAACTAATTTATAAAGTCAACATCGGGCGACAGGGATTTGTCAGAGAGTTTCGTGTTACCCAGAGAGAAAAGCCAACGGCACACACACATATTTTAAAAGCCATTTCTGGCCAGCTAATACGGAAAATATGTATTTCGCACAAATTTCCTAGGGGTTGTCAACAGAGAGTTTGCTGATATTTCAGCTTCAGCTCCTTTTTCGTTACACATTTTTGCCGTTCCAGGCAATTGAATCGCGTCGACTAGCAGGAGACATGAAAAAAGAGTTTGGCACTCGTTAACTTTTAAAATTATTTTCATAATTCATGTGCTCACGTCACGCCATCATACCAAACCGTATACCATATACCAAATATGATGCAATATTCGTGGTCCCACCGACAAAGACTTTTTGTCGCTTTTAATTAAAAACGCAGACATTGTAAAAGCATCCGAAAACTTGTTTACCAAATTGTTTTTGCCCGCTCCCCATGTTAACAAATTAGTTGTGCATTTAAAGTTGAAGGATTTTTTCGTAATGGGTAGCGATATAATATGTGTGTGCCATACAGCACACAAACTACAGCATAAAATCAGGATATACACGCTCATTCACAGACTCAACTTTCGGTCCGTTCGCATTTAATTTGTACTTTTTGCCATTTACACATTAAAAACTTTACCCACTGCTGCTCTGTGAATTTTAATTTTCATAAATTTCCACCCTGAATCCTGAATCGTGTATCCCATTCCCGAACCCGAAACTCACCTAATGCTGTCACAAGTGATGCGCTGCCAGCGTGTCGTGTGATGGAACTGGCCGTCGGTTTGGCCCACAATGGGGAAAGTTTTGTACGTCATTAAAAGTTCGAGGATGGCCTGCAGGCAGACCTGCTTGATCTGGAACTGCTCCTGCTGATCGACCATGTGCTCGTCGTACAGCTTATTGATCAGCAGCAGGCAGGTCATGAAGTACTCCTCGAACTGCTGCCGGGTGGTGAATCCGAAGATGGATAGTCTGGAATGTGGAAGAGTGCAAGTGGCTATAAGTGTCAATTTAATTACCAAGAGCCGACACAGCCGGCTGGTTTGCTGAATTGCTGCTGCATGCTATGCATATGTGTAAGTAATTAATTGAAAATTGGAAATTTCTGCATAAAATGTTTTCAGCCAATGCTTGAAATTTTAATTCAATTAGTCCTGGCCTCTTGAAATATTTAAAATATGCAATGCACAGAAAAAAATTGGCTAAAGATCAGATTGATATGTGCTGGTGAATTTAATATTTTTTTACATTATTTGTTCAAAAATTAATACATTTGGTATTTTAATGATATGATAAAATATCAAGATGATATGTTTGACTTTTATTGATATGAAATAATGTAGAATTGACCCTATTTCATATATGACAAAATATCACATGGATATGTGCTGGTTAATTTTCTATTTTTTAAGGATCAATATGATATGAATAAAGATTATAAACATAATATTTTAAATTATTGGTTCAAAAGAACTACATTTAATATTTTAATGATATGATAAAATACCAAGTTGATATGTTTGACTTTTATTGATATGAAATAAGGTAGAATTGATCCTATGGTATGAAACAACGTAGAATTGACCCTATTTCATATCTAATTTGTTTTTCTGTGCATACATGTTGGTAAATATAGTAGTAAAATGTGAGCAGGCCTAAAATGTCAATTAGTCTTCGATTACTTTAGGCTGTCGGTGAAGCAGTAGCTCCAATTCCCCCTTCGAATGGAGCCCCGGGGTGACGATGGTGGTGGTTTCTGTGCAATTAGCAACAATGCTTCTGGGGCAAAGGCAGCCGTCCGCATCCGCATCCCCATCCGCATCCACATCCGCATCCATATCCGCATCCTGGCATGACGTGCCTTTTGTTGTCAGCCATCTGCAACACGCACACATGCATTTATCTCACTTTGCTGCTCATAATTTGTTTATATCGCTCGCTGCCTCGACGGCGGGCTCTTCCTGCTGTTATGCTGTGTCTTTTAGCCCCGGCTTTTATCCCTGCTCGTATCCTAGTATCCTCGTATCCCCACATCCCTTGGCACTCCCTTGGCCAAAATGCAATGGCGATGCTGCTATGCTGATCCTGCGCAGAGTTTCGTCTAATAGAGTTGTTGATGTTCCGCTCCGTCAGCCCTTTGGGGATTTTGTCGTTATCATTCTCGCAGCTTTCCTCGCTGAAGCTCCAGTTCCTCCCATGCTGATGTGGTTTTGATGTTTGTGCTCTTGTCGGTCGGCCAAAAGCCAGCTCTGGATTGACTTTCGCCGGCTGGGGCGACAAAGTGCGAGCGGAGTGCAAGTATGCATGCCTTTTCAGGGGGTGAAGTCAAGTTTTAGGCTCCGGACAGACAACCAACCGACCAACCAACCAACCGACTGCCACAGACATCTAGCCGTGTACAATTATTCCGCCCAATTCCTGGCTGATGACGATTCAGCTTTCCGCATTCAGCTGACAGCGTAATGATGACGACTGCCATCGAAACAATGGAGCAATGGGGAGATGGGGAAGCTGGTGAAGCCTGTCAAGTGACAAGGACGAGGCAAACAAGCCAAGGACAATGACGATGACAATGAAGTCTTACGGCCAGCACTCGTACATATGTGTGTATAAGGATGTTTGGTGTTTCGATGTTTGGATTTGTGCTTGTGTTTGTAATAGAACAACAGGATGTTGATGTTTCCAGTTGCGGTTTAGCCGTCGTCGTCGTCGTCGCTGTTGCTGTTGCTGTTGCGTCCTCATCATCGCTCCATGTAGCTGCCATGCGCTCGTCAGCGCTGTCAGAGGATTGTCAGCAGCTCTGCTGTTGTTGTCGGACACAATGACACAAGGACACCAACAGCAAAAGCCAGAACAATGCAACACAGCCTGGCCGATTGATAAGGGAAGCGACAGTTGACCAGCCGGACAATGAAGCCTATGGGCCTCCAGGTGACGGACTCCCAATTTGACTGGCTTAAGGTGTGACCCAAAGGATAAACGAACTTAATTAGCAGGATGCGAGGGATCTTTATGGATTTTCATAGAAATTCTTAACACATTCTTACCGTTTAGGCAGTTTCTCTGCCGCTGCGCTGCGAGCGTTTCGTCGCACACGTACGCTGTAAAGCAGCTGCTTCTGCTGGCCACCGCAACCTCTTTAAACCGATGGTTTAAGCCCAATGAATAAACCTTATCTCTTTTGAATACCAGCTACCTTAGCTTTAAAGGACCTACTGAGCCTCACACACACTCACCTCTTGACAAATTGACGCAGGATATCCACATCGCTCAGACTGTCCACCGGAATGGAGGGCAGCTTGCCATCGGCCTGTTGCTCCTGCTGCTCCTCTGGCTGCCTGATGAGCTCGTGCGGAGTGACCGCGTAGGCATAAAACTGATGCGTTCGCAGCAGCGAGATGCCGATGGAGGCCACCAGCGACTAAAAGAGTCGAGTAGAGAGAAAGAAAATGGAAAGTGCTCCTGGGTCGATTGGTTGGACTGACAAATGACCAGCCGAATGTCACTTACCAATGCCACTTGGAACCCGGCCAGATCCTGTCCGGCAAACTGCAGTCGAGCATCCTCGCCGACGGAGGTTCCTGCCAAGAAGACCCGGCCGCTGTCCAGAGACTCGATTTCAATTTGCGTTTCAATCAATTTGGCCAGGAAAATGGCCTGCGGTGCCGGTCCCTTGGCCTTCTTGCTGTCGCTCGTTCGATGGCGACGATAGAAATTGGTGTGCTGCAGCATGCACCGAACCACCGAGTCCAGCAGATCGAGCAATTCGCATCGAAGTTTCGGGTCCGAACTAGAGTTAAGCTCCCGCCAAACACGAGGCTGCTGCAGAAGTGCATCCAAGGTGGCCAGCAGCACGCCCAGAGCGTCTTCTTCCGACTCCTGTCGTGTTGGCTTGGCCAAAATCCGTTTGCCCCAACCGGCTAGCCAGTGCAGGTAGGTCAGCAGCTGCGGCAAATGCTCGGGGCGCAGCAGGTGCTCGACCACGAACTTCTCCATCAGCCGGGCATCGATGTAGATGAGTGCTGTTTGCTCGACATTCCGAATGCAGGCCATCAGTGTGGTTACCGCACGGGCCACATCCAGTTGCTCCCCGTTGGGTGGTGACTGTATGGAGTCCGTAGTGGCCACCACCTTTGCCAAAAGCAGGGAGGAGGCCACACGAGCCAGCGGCGGGGGTTGCATGTAGTTGATGTGCGGTGCATGCTGGATGCACTTCTGCCGGAAGGCGGACATCATGGCGGCCAGTGAACCAGAGATGGCATGACGCAGCAACCTCGCCTCCTGCTCGGCGCCCAGACTACGGAGCAGGCGATGCAGCTTGGGCTCTGACTGGATCTCTAGGAGCAGCAGCATTAGTTGCTTCTGCTGCTGCGGAGCATCCGCATGCTGGGTGGCGAATTTGATTAGCTGCGGGAGAAAAATGTTGTTAAAGGAATCGGGGGAAAGGAGGCGGTAGAAGAAAGGAGAAAAAGAACAACAAATTAGCTGTGGCAGTGGCATAATGGCCGAGTGCTTGTCCCATTTACCTGCGCAAAGAGCCAGCTCTCATCAATTATGCGCGACGGCGTTGCAGTCTCATTGTCCTGGCGGCACTCCAGGTCCTTCAGTCTGCGATGCGAAGCAATGAAACATAAATAAAAGCATCAAGGATAATGAGAGTCTGCTGATCCGAACTTGGAGTACTCTTCGGTTCGCTTTCAGTGGATGGTGGGTAGTCGTTGGGCAAGGAAGGGCAACCACTTACACAAGGGTGGTTCAGATTTAAATATAATAGCATTTGATAAGGGAGGAAATGGTCATAGGATGCTTTTATCTATCTATCTATCTATCTTATTTAATCAGTAACTGATAAATTCTTAAAAGGACAATATTATTATTATAAAATATCAAGATTTAAAAGATTTCCAGCTCCCGTGGTTTTCGTACGGAAAATAACTTAAAACTAACTAAAATTGATTAAATTAAGAAAAATAAAAACAGTTTCTGAAAGTTTGGAGTACTTTTAAGATAAGATTTAATGTCAAACAATTTGATAAAGAAGGAAATGGATATACAATACTTTTATCTATCTATCTTATAAGAACAATACTTCTATAATATGGTAGGAAGATTTCAAGTTAAACTTTAAATAGGGATGGAAAAGAAGTTGATTGAATTAACAAAAATAAATAGTTCCTAAAAAAAACTTTTACTTTTAAGATACAATTTAATGTAAGACAATTCGATAAAGGACAAGAAATAGGTTAAAACTAACTGATAATAATTAAATTAACAAAAAAAAATAGTTTCTAAAAGTTTGGAGTACTTTCAGTGTGAGTTTTCTTAAGTTTTAAAAGTGTCACAACTTTTTTTTGTTTTTTTCCACTTTTTTTCCCAAAGGAAAACAAGAAATGTACCTATCCACAGACCTCTTCCCTATATTATGTAAAAACTAAAATATTTTTTAAGTAACTTACTGAACCACCCTAACATGCAGCACTGTAATCAACTGAGTACAAATTGCCCTTCCCCGAGATGAATAATGGCGGGGGATTTACTTACAGCAGGGTTCGCAGGGCGTCCTGGTCCTCTCCGCCGGCCAGATCTCCCTCGACCAGCCGCTCGTAGATGGATTTCCTGGCCGACGGACCGCTCTGGGCGCTCAGGCGGCGGGCCAAACGCTCCATGGGCAGCTGCAGCGAGCGCTCCCCTTCGTGCAGCTGGTGCAGGCGACTCAGGAGCTGCAGGGCCTGCAGGGTGGCATCCGTATCCGCATCGCTGCCAGCATCTCCAGAGGCCTCCCGTTCAGCGGGAGACCCACAAAGACGTCCCAATAGCCGAAGGACGATGCGAATGGATTGCTGGGGGAAGAAAAACCTTTGTTATGCAAAAGTCGCTCCCTTCTCTGGCAAAACTTACCCTGCTCAATCGATGGGCATTCCGGAACAGGGCCACCTGCAGTAATGAGCCGCACTCGGGACGCTCTTGGCATAGCTCGCTAAGGAATTCCAAGTGGTCAGCAATTAGGAAATTCAGATATCCGCCGTCGAACAAACGGCGCACTTGTTGCGCACTCCAATCGCAGCCCTGCAATTAGTGGACAATCGTGATTTGTCCGGGTGAACACAGTATAGTAATGGGAATGAGGATTGGGACCTTGCCATTAGCCAACAAGTGGCGCATGTTCGAGTGGCAATCATTTAAAATTATGCCCGCCAATGAACTGTGCTTAAAGTAAGCCAACCGTTTAAAGGCTCACTGTCGCCGGCGGTACAGTGAACCGAAAGCTGAGAGCTGAGGGCTGAAAGCCGAAACCAAAAACCCGATGCGGTGAACCGCAAAATTGCGAGTGCGACAACTGTCAGCTGGAAAAATTCGCATTGTCGTTTATGGAGGGTTTGGGCATCCGGGCGGCGGAGGTTTGGGGGCTGGCGGCCCGGCAAACGCTGTCGTCTGCCAAATTCAAATTAAACTAATGTGTCTGATTCGCCATTAATCCGCTGCCCTCTCTTTACTTAGCTACACTGGGAAAATAAATCATGTAACAAATAGTCTAAAAAATTATCGAGTTTATAAAGTTTGTCTTAAATATAAAAAAAAATTTTGGTGGAAGCTTAAAAAACATTTTAAAATATTTTTAGAATCTAAACGAAAGTTAAGAATGCTTGAAAGAGAAAACTTCTTCTCATTTTAAAAAATATTTAATTATATATTTTTTTTAATTATTACATTACATTAATTATAATAATAATTTTTTTTTTTTGTTTTTACCTTATTTAAATTTTCTAAGGTTTTTTAAATATTTCATTAGGTATTCACGAAAGTTTTTTATAAAATTAATTTAGACTTTATATGACAAATGGTTAATTTTATTTAGCCTTTGTTTTAATTAAAAACTTTATTTTTATCCAAGACTCGGAATAAATATCATTAATCAGAAAATCGCCTTAATTATTATCTAATTTTTTTCAAGCACTCAAAAAGTTATTATTTAGAAAATCGTCTTCAAATGATAATTATTTAATTATTAATTTAAATAAAATACCTAAATAAATATTTCTTTCAGTTTACTTACCACATTTGCACGACAAACTTCGCGTAGCAAAGCGCGCTGCAAATTTCGTTTCAGCGGCAGCTGGGAGGCCTGCTCCATGAGGGCCACCGGCTCCTCCAGCCGCATGGCCAGCACCAGCCTCAGGCAGGCGAGCAGCACGGCATCCAGTGAGCCGGATCCTCCTTGGCCGGCGGCACTCATCAACAGCAGGCTATAGTATTTGCACAAAAATTCAGACTCGGCCAAAACCAAACGGAAAACCGATTGAAGTGCATCCTTGTGACGCGAGCGGCAGCAGACGTTAAGCAGGGCGTCCACGAAGCGCCCGGCCAGCTGGCAGTAGGCGTGGCCCGCGGAGGAGGAGGCGGCGGAGGAGCTGGGATCCAGGCCCAGCAGGACGTCCAAGCAGGCGAGCAGCTTCTCGCTGAGAACTTTGGCGAAGTAGTTTATTTCGCTGATGGCCGATCGACCGGCGGAGGAGGATGCGGCCGCTCTGGCAGCTGCAGCCGCCGAAGACGTCGAAGGCGCCTCGTCCTGCCAGTGAGGAAGAGCTGCCGATGTGGCTGAGCTGGGCATCATGGCCTGCAGACGTCGCTCGGCCGTTGGATTATTTTTCAAATAAAGTTTTATGTGATTCACCAGATAAATTTCCTCGGTCTTGAGGATTACGTTGGCCAGCATAACCATGGCCAGAGCTAAATCACCAAAGTTGCCGACGCCCTGGAAAGGAAAATAGAAATTAGAGAAAAAACAAGAGAGAACGCTATAGTCGAGTAACTCGACTATCAGATACCCGTTTCAAAGGATATATGCATACATCAAAGCGACTGCTTGCACTGCTTGAATTCCAGTATTTGCTCATAACTTTTTAGTGAATGGTCCTATTTGGGAAATTTCGATAGAAATCTGCAAAATCTTTAAAATGTGGGCGTTAGAGGGGACGTGGCACTCTGAAAAAACATGCTCGCGCTGCTTAGGATCCTTAAGGACCTTCATGGTTAGTCCCAACTTTCTATTGTTTATAGTTTCCGAGATCTCAGCGTTCATACGGACGGACAGACGAACGGACAGACGAACGGACAGAAGAACGGACGGACGGACAGACGACTCGGCTAGTGATCTTGATCAAGAATATATATACTTTATAGGTTCGGTTCTTTTTACCTTCTACATAATTTTGCACGAAAACAATATACTCTTGTATTCTACGAGTAATGGGTAAAGATATGTAAGTTCGTTGGCTGATAACTGCTTTCGTTGTTGACCGCCAGTGCAGTAAAGTGTGAAACTTAGCATAAATTTGTGTGACAAAGTTGCCAGTGCCAACATCAACATATTTTCCGGCAGTAATTAGAACCCCCATCCCTGGCACATGTGGCGAATGCAATTCCATTTGCGCCTCGTACATATATTTTAAATAAGCTTTTTTTCTGAACGCTTCCCTGGGCTCCTCGAGTCAATGTTTGCACGCAGAATGTTATTTAAGTTGCGGTGCAATTTCAATTTCAATTAAAATTAAAATGCTGCCTCCATAAACTAGTCACCGGCATTCCACAAAAACACCAAGCGGAAGGCCAGGCCAAACTTAATTACTCATGCCACCTGAGCGGCAAAGACTGCGTTAAACTCTCATCTCATCCTTTTTATATATTTAAGTGCATGTCCAAATTAAATAAACGATAATTAGTTAAAGTTTTTAAGCTGTGCGCATAACTTACAAGCTAAATGAAGTTGAATTGCCGAAGGCAGTAAAGTGTCAGTTGGCCATTAATACGAGGGGATAAGGATGGGGATGGGTGACCAGCGGGCAAAGCTGTTAGACACGTGGATGCACAGGAGTCAAGTCCAGTCAAGTGCACAGAAAGAAAATCGATATGAAATTGGATCATTTATACCTTATTTCATATTAATAAAAAGCCGATAACATTAATGTCAAATTTATGTTACAAACATATCAATTTGATATTCTAACATTTAAAAGTATTTATAAAAATACTGTTTTAAATCACCAAATGTAGTATTTTTTGAAAAAATTTTGTAAAATAAAATAAACATAATCTTTAATCATATCAAAATGATATGAAATGAGCACATATCAATTTCATAATTTCTCAATTTTTTTTCTTTGTGGAGTAAGGTTTTCCACATGCAATTGACTGGCCTGCGACAAGTACCCAAGAACCCGAACCCGAACCCACCCGCTAAACCAACACACCAACGCCCATCGGTGCTAGTGAGACTGTGTAATTAAGTTGGTTTTAACTGTAGCATAACGGTTGACTGGTCTATGAGGGGGGTAAAAAGGGGTGGAATGGCTAGGCGAAGGGGCGTGGCTGGCCCTAAAGGCACGGGCTGCATGCAGCCGACCCGACAGTTAATGCATGTGTAGCTTAAATGCGCATTAATAGTTGAAAATGTGGCGGCGTTGAAGCGTAGGTATTAAAAATGTCACGTATACGACATGTGCCACATTAACTACAGCGCCACATGGATCAGCAACACAGCACAGTGGCAACAGAGCAGGGGCCAAATAAAAAATTGCCCCGTAACTGCAACTAAGTGCATTCGTGTGTATGTAAATGAAGGAAGGGTTGAACGGACGACCGATGACAAATCGTTGATGAGAAGTTCGAGCTTCGAGGGTTTGAGATGGGTTTCTACAGGTGTCTCCAAACTAACTGACTGATGGAAGCCCAAGAAATGAATGCAAATCGGTTCGTCATCTTAGGAACTTTGAACAGCTGCCGTCGCACGGCAATTTAATGTCATCGAGTCGAGTTCAATTTATGCAATTGCAGAGGCGTTGGCCCTAAGTACCAGTTAAGTCGGCCATCGTTGCCAAACTGAGAGTGCTGTAATTTGTGGCATTACTTCAATTATATTATTAAGTGGATGCCAGGCACGCCCGATGACACCTACTCAGGACATTCATATATGTCACATGCATTGGCATTGGAAGCCTGCCAAACCGGCGGCGGCTGATAGACAGCTTTATGTTCATTTGCATGTCGGCCTGGAGATTTTAAGTTTCTGTCTGCATTCATAAATATTACAAATTTCCTGACGCCTGACGCCTCCAAGTAAGTGTGTGTGGCCATGTATATTTAATCGGGATTTTCGCATATTTATACGGACAGAGGGACGGACGGAAATCTGCCGGAGTCTTAATTGAGCGGCTGACGGGCAGCTGTGAATTGGCTGAGTGCCTTGTCAAGTCTTAGGCCATATAACCCACCTGCTCGATGAAGAGCTGCAGCAGCTGCAGGAATCCCTTGCTGTCGGCCAGCACATGGTTGCCGTTGTTGCGGAAGCAGCTCTCCAGCAGCCGCAGATCTCCGGCGGAGTGGAGTCGCCAGTGGTGCGAGCAGAGGCCACGACACAGCGTCCCATAGACGGCATCCGCATCCTGCGAGGCACTGCGATATGCCGGCGTGTCCAGTTGCTGAACACTCCGCTCGAAGAGGAGGAGAAGGGCCAGGACCTGTTGACTCGCTCGTGACTCGATGAATTTCTCCAGCATGCCCAGCACCACTTCCCGTTGAGTGTCCAGTTCGCGTCGCTGCGCCAGCAAGGCCTCTCTGGTTTCCGGTGTGGGGGCCGCACTCAAAGGACTCTGCACCGCCGTTCGTCCTGAGTTATGGGTCTCTGTGGTGGTGGTGGTGGTGGTGTTGTCCAGCGCCTCCTCCAGCTGGCTGTGCATGAAGAAGAGCTCGTAGCTGAGGGTTTTGAGCGCCAGCAAAGCCACCTCGCGCACCGATCCGTTGGCCAGCAGATTGTTGGTGATGCTGATGATCTTGGGTATCGTGATCAGTTGGCGGTCGCTCTTGTGCGTCAGCTGCACCAGGAATCTCAGCATGGGCGGAACAATAATAAAAGCATTTCTGGAAATAATAATAAGGAAAATATTAGTAAAATAATAAAATAAAAGTATACAAGTTTAAAGAGAATATTATAATTTATGTAAAGTATTTTACTCACCTATCTATTCCGCTTTCTATCAAATCCATGTTGCTCAGTATCTGCTCGAATATTACATTCTTGGAATCGAGTATGCTATAGGTTACATTCAGCTCCAGCAGTTGGGAGAGCAACCGCAATATGGGCGCCTGAATCAGCGCATTGGATTTCATGAAGAGCTGGAAAAACAAGGGAAAGGGAATATGTAACATGCAGGAATACTAGCACTCGGCAAATTTTTGCCATTAATAAAATATCAATGGTTGCACTTTGAACCCAACCCCATATTCACCCACACACGTAACAGATTAAGTACTCCTCGCTACCCAGGATGGTCGGCATTCGTGTCTGTGCATTTTTAATCAAACAAATTGGCTACAACTAAAATTAATTAGCCATCGCTACTGGCCACCGTTGCGTTTTTACAGTGGGAACAAATAATGGGAATTTATTTAAAGAAATTAAAGGAAATAATTTAAAGCATTCTTTAAAGGTGGAAAATAAATTTCGAACGTTTAAATAAATATTTATATGGTTTAAAGTTGAATTAAGTTCATAACTAAATTCAAGTTTTATTTATTGCTAGAAATTTAAATAAATATTGCAAGCCATTCTTAGCAGTACAATTATAATACAATTACAAGCAATTCTTTATAGATGGAAAATAAATTAGAAACAATAAAATATATATTTATATTATTAAAGAAAACAAATTTAAATTATTCTTAATAGTTGGAAAATAAATATGACACATTAAAATAAATATTTAAAGTTTAAAATAATTCTATGCTCTTGCAAGACAGTTATAATGGAACTTGAGGACTCTAATTTAACTATAAATTTTGCATTAAATGGCAGAGAGGTTTCTCTAAGTGCACTTACCGTCAGACAGTATATGACCAGCGGCTCGAATAGCTTTATAAGCCGGGCACAGTCGCCCGCCGGCGGAGTGGCCGGCTGCAGGCCCTGCACAAAGAGCATGCCCATCGCCTGGAGTGGGGCAGTATCAATTGGTGGCCGTGCCTCTCCGCCACCTCGCTGGGGTCCCTCCTCGGGTTTTGAATTTATTGTTGGCAACAATGTGGAGCCGGTGCTGGCGCCGTGACCCCTGCCCTTGGCCCTAAAGTAGGGACGTATGAAGGCGGCATGGTGGCCACCACCTCCTCCTGCACCTCCAGTTCCAGCCGATAGCTGCAGTGGCCGCACTTGGCTGGCATAATTTTGGGCGAATAAATATTTCAACAGTTGCCGCAGACATGCAACGCACTCGGCGGGCGCATAATTTATGAGCTTGGTCAAATAGTGGAGTATTTCTTCGATTAATTTCAGCTCCGGGGGCGAACTACCACTCGCCATGCCCTCCAGGCACAAACTCAATGCGTTGAGGCAGGTTTTTAGGAGACAAATTAATAAGCTGCCGGCCTCGTGATTTATGGTTATCTGGGGAGGAAAAAAAATAGAAGAGCAAGAAGTAAGGGTGCTTTCAACCTAATGCAACCCGCACATTAAGTTACTCGCAAGTTTTCTGTTTGAGCTGCGAGTGGCAAAAGTCAAGTGAGGATGCTACGTTGGCTGCATTTCGTCGCGGGTTGAATTTTTACAACTCATTGCGGTAGAAAGTGTTGCATATAAAACGGTGCATTGCGCTGTACGTGCAACCAGAGGAATGGAACTCCATCTCCATCTCGGGATGAATCCTGGCAAATCTCAGTGCACGTGCCGCGCAACTTTTGCCATTTCGGCGCCACCAGCGACTTAATGGCGGTTGCTCGCTCTGAATCCGAAGAATTCGCGTGGAGTCCGTGGCCTGACTTACCTTGTAGCTGTCATTAGCACCTCTTAAAATGTTGTAAAGTTTCATGTAAACGTAATCGCCGGCAAAGTAACCCACAGCCTGAAGGGAAGCCCCTGGCTGGAGATCGCTCTTGGGAGGTTTGGTACTGCTACTACTACTGCTGCTCCTGGTGCTTCCAGAATTAGAGCCACTAGACGGTGGGTGGCGGTGATTGGTGACCAGGTGATAGTAGATGTTCAGCATCTTGACGCTGTGACGCAGCAGAAAGTCCAGGTGTTGGGCATTCGGCTCACCTGAGCTCACCATCGCACCTGGATTGACGGAACGATGGAATAAGGGGCTTATTAATGGCAAATTAAGTGATCCCGCCCGGGCTAATTGTGTTAAAATGCAAACGAGCTCTTAAAATTATACAAATGCGGCGTAATTGCAGCTCACCAAATGAAAAACGCATTAATGGATTTGCAATTGAAAAATGCACGATTCAATGGGATTGCCATGGCAATATTAAAAATATATATGCACAGTTCTGAAGGCGGAAAAATAATGTGAAATTAAAACAAAAATTGCATAGGTAACAAGCGGAAAACGCTTCAAAGTACGCTATGATTTATCAGCGTTAATTAATGTGTGCGTGTGCGTGCATGTTTGTGCGAGTCGAGTCATGCAACATTTCAATTTATGTGTCAACAATGCAACATTCAGCGGCAATAAGCAATATAAATTTGTATTTTGTAGCTGCTGCAAAAGGAAATGGCAATGCAAAAAATTATTATTTACAAATAAATTAAATTGTATGCGCATAAATATTTATAAAAATTAAGTGTTAAGGGAGCCATTTAAAGAACCCCTTCGGGGCTTTGGCTGCCTCAATGGGCAAGTGGAAATGCCTGCGGCCCCCGGATCGCCGTTTGCATTACATTTACTAATTAATTGAAAATTGCACACAATCGCAATGAGACGCCGCCATTCTTCCGTTACCAATTTATATTTATTTATCGCACATTTCAGTTATTTTTTTCCCCGTTTCGTGCGCCAGTTCAATGTTCGATTATGGCTGGCAAAGGTAGAGTGAATTTTCACTGCTCACGATATGTAAGTAGATGAATTAAACCGCACGATATAACAAGACCATTCCATACATACACGAGCAATTGTGATAAATGATTCCCTAAGGCTCTTAAAAAGCATTTATTATTAGCGAAAACTTCAAAATTGCTTCATTGCCCTGTGCATTTCATACGCTCATTCATTTGTCTAACTTAATCATCTCGAAAACTCATACATATAAAACAAGAAAGAACGCTGTGGTCAAGCACCTCGACTATCAGATACTCGTTACTAGAGGAACTGCTTGCACTGCTTGCATCCATTATTGGTTCATAACATTTTAATAAATGGTTCGATTTTAAAACTTTCTTCTACAGTTCGATAGGAATTAATAAACAAAACAACACAAGATATAAACTGTTAAGAAACATTAATGGGAAAGGTAATACGTTTTTGTACAACTATGAGTTATCTAAAATAAATATTCCTTGTATATATATACCCTCTACATTTAACAAAAAAAAAGTGGATTTTAATCCGAATAATATTGAGGTTAGAACAAAAAATGTAATAAGAAATTATAGCTGTTTTTTAAACTCATTAATTACCCGACTAAGGAAAAAGGAAACGATAAAATGTACCGTTTTATAAATATGGATAAAACGACCTAGTTAATTTCCATCCCTGCCAACGACATCGTGGGGACTGCAGGTGGTTTAGTGGCTTTAAGCCATCGGTGAGCTGTGAATTTACATAGGCTACAATTAAAGGATTTTCGTTGGCCGTGTGTTTTGGTTCCGGGCATGAATTTGAAACTATTTGCATACATTTTGGCAACTGTCAAAACTTATCATGAAGCGCACGCGAGAGTGTCGGAAAACATTTGGCGATTCTGTTTTCAAATCGATGTCCAGATAGGCAGGGCACACGGACACACGGACAAACGGTCATACGGACAAACGGACATACGGACACACGGCCACATAAGTACACGCGGCTTAAATATTAAATTGTTGAATGTTGTTGAATGTGCGATGCATGCAAGCGGCACAAATGCAAATGCAAATTAGGAATGTAGAGGGGAGCTACATTCCCCAGCCGGCGCCACTGACACAAAAATTGTTTAACATCTAATGGTTTATTAATAATTTAATTACTTTTTGATTATGGTGGATTACATTAGCGCGTAGCAAATACGCGACTGGCATGATAAATAATAGAGAGGCTGTCGCCGTAGCCCTTATTCCTCCTACACGCCTATAATGCCCCTAAAATGTATAGCATCCTAATGCATGTCGACCGATCCGATGAAAACGGTTCGAAGGGAAAGGGATTTTCAATGGTTTGGCGGTTGTGAAAAATGCACTAATGAAATTGAGTTGAAGTTTGGTTTTCTGTTTGCTGTTTTTTTGCTGCGTGCTTATAAACATTTTGTAAATTGAATTGAAATGTTTATTAGTGCACTACTATCTGCATTGCTGTTGTCGATGTTGGCACAGTTGCTGGTATTTTTTAGATGCACTTTGTTAATGATGCTGTTCAAAAGTATTAAATTAAAAACGTGAAAGCCCCCTTTGTTTCCGCCTGTAAACTCTTTATATATAATGCCACATTTTGTCGCCGATTTCAGTTTGCACTAAAGCCTATTAGAATTCTTTGTCTGCATGTCACGCAAACCTGTGGCAAAATGATTACCACATTAATAGAATAATTTATACAATTAAATGCGTTACAGTGTATTTTATATTCGACCTAAATAGGTTTTCCTATTTTTTAATTGTCCCTTTCTTTTTTTTGGCTGGCTAAATAAACTTTTAGTGCAACGGAAATTTAAAACCATTTATGCTAATTTCCCCGTTTTTCTTGATTAAATTTAAAAATAATAACAGCTAAAAAAATAGACTGCGCCCAGTCACTTACACCGCAGCATGAAAATATTTATGCAAATCTATTTAATGACAAACAATTAATTAAAATGATTTATGCAAACGTTACCACAGCATTCATTACAGCATAATGCAATTAAATATGCAGTCTGAGACTAAAAATTACTGTTTTTGTAATTCCATTTAAATTAAATTAGCCAAACGAGCCACAAAGCGTCGACCGTCGACCAAGGACCAGTGGAATAAATCCAATAAATATCGGAAATATCGGGAGGGCATTCAGGCGCACAGCAGAGAAATCATCAGGCACACCAGCCAGCCATGAATTAATGCGGTATATGAATGTGAATGTTGGTTTAAATGGGTATGTAGTATGTAGGATGCAGTATGCCAGCAAGGAAATAACAGAGTAACCCCTTTTGCGATCAGGAGAGGAGCAAGGAGCGAACCCACTCACCTGCCATTAATTTGCCCATCACATCAATCAAATCGCTCTGGCAGCCGAGGTCCGCAGCTGTTGCATTGTTGTAGTAGGCATAGCTAATGCAAATTTCAACGAAATTGAATTCCAGCCAGGCCTGTTGATAGTCCACGAAATTGAAGTGCCTCAGCAGGAGGCGCAGCGCGTAAATTATGCCAAACTGTAGGGGGAAAAACGGGATGAAACGGGAGCATGAGAGATGGTCGATTCAGTTCGATTGGCAAACACAAACATTTACCTGCACATTTTTATCATTCAGCGTCATCAATTTATTTGTCAAGCGATACAAAACTTTGGCCAAAACTTTTTCCTCCTGCGCGATTTGACGTTGCGATGCTGCCGTTGATGCCAGGGCAAAAACATGCCCCTCGGCGATGCCGATGCCGTAACTTGCTTCGAAGTAGGCCGACGCCGCGGAGACTGCCGCTATGGATCCGGATGAGGCAGATGCCGAGGATGCCGATGCTGAGGAGGAGCTGGACGTGCTGCCCGATTCCGGATAGGCGGAGGCGGAGGAATAGGCCATACCCATTGCATCCAACTCAGCCAGAGGCGGCACAATCGTCGAACTGGCCCGGAATAAATTACGCAACGTCACGGACATGCTGCCAAATATGCGATAGTCGAAAAAATCCCACAGCAAATTGAAATTAGTTTGTTGAGTTTCCACGTTGACGTTGCCTTCGATTTCGCCTCCAGCTTCAGCATCCTCATCCCTCGCAACCGATGGATCCTGGCGCGCCGTTTGCATTATAAAGCGGCAAAGACAGCAGGCGGCGTGTTCCCGCACCCGCGCATCATCGTCGCCGAGCAGATGTAAAAGTTCAGCCAGAAACTGCGCCTGCAACGGGGAGCAAAGTGTTTTTGAGTCAGTTGACGGCACGTTGTAAATCAAAAAGTGAGCCAAGTTTTCATTATGCAGTTTGGCAGTTTCGAATGCCCCTGCAGATGCGGTTTGCCTAGTCGATTTGGCCGGGAAAGGTAGAACACTGAACAAAAAGGTAAAGCAATGACCCCAAAACTTTCTTAATAATTATAAAATTGTTTACATATTTTCAAACTAACGAATTAATAACCCAATATAATTTTAGGATTTATTTTAACGGGGTTATAAACGAAAAAAGACAGATAGTTGGTTTATTCAAAGTATTATTTCAAAATTTTATGAAATTCATAGGACAAAAGTCCATATCTTCTTTTGTTTATAACTTCGTTAAAAAAATCCAAAAATTATTTTGAGTTTTTGCTTTAAAAGATAGAGAGTTGCACTTGTCAGATGTTTGCACACCTAACAAAGTGTAAGGTAAATATTTTTTCTAAGTGAAAAAGGCATCAAAAATGCGGAATACCAAGTTTTGAACTTTGTGAAAACACAGTCAAGCATAATTGCAACTGCGATTGGAATACGAAATGCGAGGCAGCAGTTAAGCTCCTTTCATTCCTATACATTTTCTCGGGTATTCAGTTTGATCCGTCAATCGTCTTTGGGCTCAATTGTTTGCCGACTCTCGTCTCGAGTCGTTGTACGTACGTTTTCCCTCTCAGTGCCATTTAGTAAATTGCTTAGCTTTGTCAAAATAATAAATAAACAAATATATGTGTGCCACAAAAACCCCGAAGCGAAGCTCTGCGAGTTCCGCCTGTCAGTTCAGTCCGTCATGTTGTCAGTGGGTCCGTCACTCGGCATTCGCCATTCGGCAGGATGCGCTCCTCCAAGTCTCCTGCAGAATGCACAAAGAACCCGGCCACACACTTGAGTGCACAAATGTTCAATAAGAGTTGTCAGAGGAGCGAGGCACTCGAATTGCCTCGGATGCCTTTGGGAAGCTGGGGCGAAAACACACTCGTAAAATAATCTGCACAATAAACAAGCTGGCGAGCAGCGGACTGCGGACTGCCGACTGCCAGGGGGCCCGGCTGTAATAAGACGATTTAGCTGCTTACCTCATAAGTGCAGACAATGTCCTCGCCCTCCGCATCCGCCTCATCCCTTCCAGAATCGGAGCAGTCCTGCTCCTTGGCGCCGCCGCCACAACGAAAATTTGCGTAGTACGACCGCAGCAGCACGTAATTTAAATTCGAAATAACTTCGGCGTATTTATTCTGGACCAGCCAATATTTATTGTGATGGCAGAGCCGGAGTTTGCTCAAGAGCAATTTGGGTGAGATGGCAAACACACAGAAGGGTCCGAGATCGGGCTCATTACCCAGATACGCCTGCTTCTGCTCCTGCTGCATCCCAGTCGATTGCAATTGGAAATCATTCAAAAGAACAGCCAGTAGCTCATCATTATCAGTGGCCGAGGACTTGGCACATGTCCCGGCATCGTTAGGACGCCTTTGTTGCTGCTGCTGCTGCTGCTCCCTTCGACTGCTTAAGGCATTATCCTGGTCCTTTGCAAAAGTTTGTTGGCCAAATGTTTGCGCCTGGCCGGGACGCTTTTGTTGTCCACTTGAACGTCGTTGCAGGTCCTGCTGCTCCTTTTCCTGCTGCTCCTTCTGCTGCTGCTGCTGCTGATGAGCATGATAATGACATGGCGGCTCTGTCAAATATTTGGACACCACATGCGGAAATATCTTATCGAATGCATTCAACGCTTGTATAACCACTGTGTGGATCTCGTCCTCAAAGCCCTGCAAAAAGTATGGGAAGAACGAGAGTGAGCAAAAAGTTTATTCGGCTAAATTTCTTTATACAGGATCTCAAGAACAGGCATAAGACGTTGGCGAAGCGAATTTGTGTTTTATTGTTTGCACAAGCAAAAAGTTTTCCACAATCACACAGTGGCCAGCTCTCAGGCATCCCATCCCCATCCTTCGGATTGGATACCCTTCCCCCATCCATCCGGTCATCCATCTGAGAGTGTGTGCATTTTTAACGAATCTCTAACAAGCTTTTCCTAGCTGCAGACCCCGGCCAAAGGGCTATTGTTATCAAAGTTGCTTTGCCTTTGGCCCGGGTCTCTGGCCTGCTCCACACAGAAAGAAAATTCGATGTGAAATAGGGTCATTTCTATCTTATTGCATATCAATAAAAGCCGATTAATGTCAAATTGATGGTTCAAACAGATCAATTTGATATTTTATCAGTTCATAACATATTTAAATATACTGTTTCTAGTATTTTTTGAACTATTATTGTAAAATACGGTAAACATTATCTTCATTCATATCAAAATGATCTTAAAAACATTTTTTAATTAACCTGCACATATCAATTTGATCTTTTTTTTATTTTTTTTTTCTGTGCAGGGAAGATCTTCCCTTTCACCATATCCCCATGCCTGTAGCCACAATCCCTATCTCGTTTTGGCTCCAATTTTGGTATGCTGGCAAGTGCCATTGAGACGGATTTGCAGCCATTATGTAGCAGGCATCTAATGTGATTTTCAGCTAGCACGTCCTGCGTCCCATTCCTACTCCCATTCCTATTCCTATTCCCACTATATCCTTCCCGCTGCAACAACATTGCATAATCAAATTGCACTTTTGGGGAGGCCAGCAGCCAGCAGCAATTTAAATGTTCGCTGCTGGCCACTAAATTATTGAATTCAATAAGAAACCATCCCCGCATCGGAGCCCCAACTTACTGCCACGGCCAATCCCCAGACAGAAATCAATGTGCAACTTATGCGCACATTCTGCATACCGGAAGGGAAGGAGGATGGGTTGGGATGGACTGGTGGTTAGCTGGGTGAAAGTAAGATGGCAACCAACGGATGCACGCTGCTCCCTTTAGGGGCATTTGCACTTGCACATTGCGAAGGCGATAAGAATTTTCTTTCTTATTTTCAAATGAAAAACAACCAAGCAACCACACAAAATGCCGCCGGCTAAGCTCCTCCAACTGCAACTGGCTTGAGTTGAGTTGGTGGAAAGGAAAATATTCAAAAGGCAGCAGCCATTGATATGGACACGTGTCCGTGTCCCTGTGTGTAGTATGTTTGCCTGCATGTGTTAAAATATGTTAGCTTGATGGTTTAACATAGGAAAAAACGTACAGCGAAAAGGTGGGGGCACATATTTATAGATATAGAATGTTTGCGCAGAGGGGGAAAAAGAGGGTGAACTATGCTACTGACACAGAATACTCTGGGTTAGCTAAAACGAAGACGGAATGCCCTAAGAATCTTCATAGAAATATTAAAATTAGCATTTATTTTTTGGATGAAAAAAATTAATTATAAAATAAAAGTTTGTTGTTGTGCTTGTTAATACCTATCGAAATGTAGAAGAAATTGTTCAAATCGGACCATTCATTAAGAAGTTATGAGCGAAGCAAATATTGAAATTCAAGCAGTGCAAGCAGTTGTTTTACTGCATGCATTTCTCCATCTCTTTCGCACTTTTTTAGGCTTAGTACTGCGTTCTCTGCTGTTTTTTAGTGTCTTTATTAAGGCACCTTTAATAATGATAATATTCTTTAAAACTTTTACCAACTACCTATCAAAATCTCCATACCTCTTACAGGGTAAAGCAAATACTCTGTCGCACAACGTGGCGTATGCGTTATGCAAACACAGGGGAAGAAAATGGAGTAACACGGCGAAAGAGAGAGGTGGGCGTTCTATGACAAAGATCTAGTGCCAGATATACAAAGCGGGTTAGCATACATGTAATGTGGCTTACCATTAACCAAGCACCGCCAGATTGGAGCTACCCATTAAGGGAACTTTTTAGCGTAGTGCCTGTGGCTATGAAACGCTTTGTGTTCCAGCTTATCGACTACCGCTCACTCACCTTCAGCAAAATGGCCAGCATGTGTTGCAGGCCAAGATTACGTTGCAGTTCCAGAAGTAGACCAGCTCCACTGGATTGCAGAAAGAAGCCTACCACCTGCTGGACACCACCGCGCAAAATGGGATCGCAGTGATCGTGGAAGAGCAATACATCCGCTAGAGCCTGGCAGCCTTGACTTGGAGGCGACGTCCTTGTAGTAGAAGTTAATCCTGCCCTACTTCGCGTGGATTTAGTACGCTTGGGTGGTCGCGGCGGCAGGCTCAACGGAGGCACATCCTCCGCCGCCACAGTGGGTCGAAAAGAGCTGCCAATGATCTCGGACTTGGAGAGTTTCTCCTCGTTTGTTGATTTTTTGATTGACTGAGATGATGAGGTTCCACCGAGCAGAAGAACCGAGGCATCTGCACTGCGACTTAGCAGGTAATCTGGGCAGGTGCTGGGCCCAAAGTGGTCGTCCTTGATGTCCAGCAGAAGGAGGTTTTCCTCCAGATCCTCCGTTCGAATCAGGCTGCTGTCCAGCGAAGCCTTCTCTCCGCTTCCGCCCAATTGTGAGTTATCACTGCTCTGGGGACTAGACACCTGAGTGCTGTCGGTGGAGTTGTCCTGCTCCTGCTCCTCCAGCAGCTGCTGCAGTTCCCGATCGCTGATCTCCAGGCTGATTTGGAGCACCCTGGGAGCCAATCGCACACACTGGGCAATCACCGAGAGGGATAGACTCTTAATAGACACCCTGCTAACGCTATCGGGCTGTAATCCCGCCGCCTGTCCACTGAGCAAAAAGCGGGCGGCCACCAAACGAGCGGTGTAGTAGACCAACGACTGCTCCAGAATGCCACCAATTTTCACGGTGATCAGGGCACGACCAGCAACTGTCTGCCTGAGCGGCGAGTTCTCCACCAGAAAGGGATTAGCTGCGGAGATAAAGCTTCTAATTAGTGTCTCCTAGGTGCGACAGCCAAGCGACTTACCGTTGGGCGTGCTTCTTCGCAGCTGCGGTGTTTCGGCTTGAGGCTTAGGAGCAGCAGCTTCTGAAGCCTCTGGAGCCACCACATCCATCATGAGGGCCGTGGAGGCGGTGTGGGAGGCGGTCATCGAGCAGGATTCCTCCTCCAGCGATGTGGGCGTCTCCGCAATCGATGGCTGTCGCTCCGGTGGCTCCAATATGCTACTGCTGGCCAAGGAACTCAGCGAAAGCGTGAGCGAGGCCGTCGAGATGGCATCGGATTTGTCGGCGGCGGAGGAGGAGGCGCCGGGAGCCGACTTGGAGGGCGTGGACTTAGAGCCGCTTGATTGACGAAAGAGCTTACTGACCGACTCCGAAGCTGGAAGCAGAAGAGGAATAGCAGAAAGGCCCGAGTTAGTGCGCCCCGTCGAAGGTCTAGCAGATAACTTGGTTTGACACTAATGCCAGGCAATGGCGTTGGCTAATTTGCGGCCACTCCAGACGGCCAATTACCAGGCACATTCGTCTATCGTGGGCAAACTTTGTGAGCCATCAGCCATGAGCCATGAGGGCAAAGGAAATTGTAAGGAGAAGGTTTTTGGGGGGGTCGATGCACAGAAAAAAAATGTACATAAGATCAGAATGATATGTTGATAAGTTCATTTAATATCAAAATATTAGGAATAAGTTGAATAAGAAAAAAATGACAGAAGATCAGAATAATATGTGCAGGTTAATTTAATATAAAAATGATGTGATTAAGTTGATCTTAAAAAAAAAATTACCATTCATTCATATCATTTTGATATGAATAAAGATCATGTTTATCTTATTTTACATTATTCGCTCAAAAAATACAACATTTGGTATTGAAATAGTATTTTTAAAACTTTTTTGAAATAATATAATATCAAGTTGACATGAATTAAGATACAAATGACCCTATTTAATATCGAATTTTTTCTGTGCATGGTTCTGCGTTGTATGTGTGGATGAAACCGCTAAAACTATTTTCCTTAGCTACTTTTTATGTTGTTCTATTAGCTTGAAGCCGCGGGCAAAGTTGCCCGGCTCTCCATCTTGTATTGAAAATTAATTGAAAACTTCAATTTCATGGAAAGTACGAGCATAGTACTACGAGCCACTCGCTTTTCCCCCCACTGACCACTTAAGTGGGTTAAAAATGGCTGCATCTTTTAGATGCACTTGTTGTGGCTTTCGCCGTTGTTGTCTTTTGTTGTTTTTTGTGTTATTGTTCTAATGGATGTTCCGGCCGCATGCAAGTGCTGTAAAAATTAGAGCAACCACGATTCCACGACTGCGGCCAACGGAAGCAGCAGAGCACTTTATGGTCGAAGTGCTCGCATGTATTGTTCGGGGCAGATAAACTATGGTGGATGCCCGATCTGCAGTGCATCCTTAAACTAGAAGTGGTAATGCCACAAATTGGTTACTGATATACCAACAAGTTTAACACAAATTATCCTTGCCTATAATTTAAAAAAAGAAAAATTACAGGTTTTTAAGATTTTAATTCAAAATCCAAAATGATTTGACTTTAAGCAGCACTTCTAGTAATAACCCCCAGTTAAATTCTGATTTTTCAAAAAAAAACATTTAAATTTACATTGGCATTCCTTCAAATTAGAGAGAACTCCTCAAAAACCAAGGATGTTAAATTCAGTTCATAGTAATAAAAAAACATTTTAGTTTAAGCAGCACATCTAGTAAATAACAAGTGGATAACCCCCAGTTAAACTCAGATTTACCAAAAAATACATTCAAATTTACATCGGCATTCCCTCAAATTAGCAAAAGCTCGCTCGGTGCTCATAAAAATCCTCCGAAATCAGGGACTTTTATGAAACTTTCATGCTCATACACTCGCCAGTAATTATGTTTGGGGTTATTCGGGGGAAAGAGGAGGTTTGTACGCCATTTTATGCTTTAATAGTTTCGCCTCCATAAAAGTGAAAACGGCAGCAGCCCGGCAACTTCGGTCGAGTGTTTTCTTTTTTATTATAAAATCACGTTGAAAATGCAAACAAAAAATGCAGCACACAAAAATGGCAAATAAAACTTTGAAGCGTATAAGCAGAGAAGGGAACAAAACCCCAAACTAGGCGACAATGAAAACCGCGTAGGAAAAGCGCGATCTGGCCGGGAAAAAGGGAGAGAAGGGAGAAGGACTTCTCCTGGCTGCTACTTTATGCCCCATCCACACAGACGGACTAACCAGCACACATGCAAATGTTTTTTACAGCTCAAGTTGCATATGTGGATGCAGCGAAAGGGTCGAAAAAAAGGAAAACATAGCAAAGACAAGACCAACAGTGGTAAAAAATTGTTTATGAAAACAGGGCAAGATGGCTGGCCTAAGAAAATGAAAACCTGGATTCACTATCTACTTCTTAGCTCTTTTGGCATTAATTAAATAATTGTGCTATTACAAAATTTATAAGTGAACTTAAAGAAGTCCACCTATGTATATTTAAACAAATTATTATATTTAGTAGGTTTAATATTATTTAAAATTTTTCTAAAATAAGTACGAACTCACTGACAATTTGTCGCAATTTTTCAAACATATAAGATTAGTAGCGAAAACAGGAATTTTTTTGTGTCATTTTTCGTCGTAAATATTGTAAGTGTTTGGGGTTGTCGTACAAAAAAGGTGGTATAAAACAAGTATTTATTTTACCTAAAAGGGAGGCAAGTTTAAAAGAATTTATAATTTCTAGAAAAATACCAGATCACTCGGGTTTGTCCCTGAAGTCCTTGATAGAGTATACTAATCGTCGGGGCTGTAATGCAGATAAGGACGGGCTGCTGTGGCAACATATTTGCTACATATCTGAGCCCTAGATATATGTACCTACATACTTATAAAAAATAAAAACAAACAAGCGGCAATAACTACCGCGGACGGACAAGGAAAGCAGCGCAAAAAGGCTGATAGCGCATAAGTGCACAATAGCAAAAACAACTAATACGGCCCAGAAAGGATAACAACAACAACAACAGTAACAGGGGCAGCAGGCGATGGAAACAGCAGGACGAAAATAAAAACAGCTAAACGCGGAGCAGGCAAAGTGCAGCAACTGATGGCTGGCTCCTCCCGTTTTGGCTGACTGTTCCCTGGTCCTGGCAATGCTAAATAAACCCGTACACCCTGCACACACCCTACATGCACAGAAAAAAAAACATTTCGACATTAAATAGGGTCATTTCTACGTTATTTCATATCAATAAAAAAAATTAATGTCAAATTTATGATTCAAACATATCTTCTTGATATTTTATCATTTCATACCACGTATAAAATACTGTTTTAAAATACCAAATTTAGTATTTGCTGAACAAATAATGTAAAATAAGATAATCATATTTTATTCAAATCAAAATGATATTAAAAAATATTAAATTATCCTACACATATCAATCTGATCTCTGGTCAATTTTTTTCCTGTGTACACCCTACACAAATCCTACACCCCCGCTGAAAAACCCACACACTCACGTATACTGTGACACAACATGTAAGCTTGCATACATGCAATTTGAGTAACCGCATTTTATCACGTAACCCATTTGTCTTAACCACTTTGTTGCCAACTTGCAGTGTGATGCTTTGGCCAAGTGGCAGTGGCGGCACAAGAAAACCAGCAATGAGGTTGGCGGGTTTGGGCCCATACCATCCCATACCATAGCATCCCATCGCACAAATGCATCGCCATGTTTCAAGCTTAATCCGCATCCCTCGCAAGGACTTACACACACAAGAAATGCCGGATTTAAGCCCAACATTTACGTCAAGTAGATGTGGGTTTTTATACGCACCCCTCATTCCCTTCTAGGACTCCCATCCTTTCCAGGACTCGACTCCGCCCTCAACTCATTCGCTTAATTAGTACTTCCGGCTCAGTGCAGTACATTTCCTTTGTTTATTACTAGCCCCCCGCCCCGCGCACTAACTAACGACAGGACATGGGTCTGGCATCATGTCTGTCTGTCTGCCACTCGTCCCTCTTCGAATCCTCCGTTTATAGGTCAGGGGAAAAGTGTGGCATACTTATACGTTAACGTATATGCACTTGACTTGCGCTCGTTACTCCCAGTCGATTGCAGCAACTCCAGGCAGTCGAGCGATTTAAATATTAAAATAAATTATATCAAGGACGAGGCAATCAATATGCAGTGAAGAGTCAGCAAACAGCATTCAAATCAAAGTGGGGTTTGTTTGCCCATGTCAACTGACAAGACAAAGGACAACGGGAAGTTGCAACAAAAGATGCACAGAGGAAAATAAATAGGTACTTGGTATATCTAGAAATGTACTAAATATACTAGCTACCACTACTACTTTAATGTTAGATGTTCATTAAAAATATGATAGACAAATCAGATTATATTGACAAATTTTTAATAAAATAATACGAAACAAAAATGAGCTCTGTATAACAGGAAATAAGAAATTCTGTGTTTTTTTAAACTATTATTTTCCTACAATCAATCATAGATCTCTTTAGATCAACACTAAACTTTGTTACCTATTATATCTAGAAATATACTAAATATACTGTTCCAATTAAATATATTTTATATATATATATATTTAATGTGAGACCTTCCAGATAGATATGAAAGATGGGTTGATCTAAAAAAATCAGATGAACATAAATAAGAGTTTTCAAAAATAGATGTATAAGAAATTCAGTGTTCTATGCCTATTATTTTCCTAAAATTATTTCTATATCTCTTAAGATCAACACTGAACTCTGCTACCACTAATGATGCTCACTTAAATGCCTTCTTGGTGGGCGAAACTTGTGTACGAATTGCCTAATTTTACTCGACAACCGTGAAGCTGCAGCAGTGGCAACAATTACGCTTCATTAAATCGCAAGTGCAATTGGCAATCGAGGATGGCCTGCCTGCGAGTCACGTCTGCATTGCTGCCGCAATTATGCAAATAATGCCATCGAATATTGAAAGTAAATGCTGAATTGTTTGGCGCGAAAAACACAAAAATCAAAAAGGGAAGGGGGAAATAGAATTTCGGTGGCGACTGCGGTAGACCGTGAAATGCAATAACATCGAATGGAAATAGTTTTGAACTTGCTTCGCTGACTTTGAACTTTGCTAATGAAATATTTCTATCGAATATATATATATATTCATAGTTATGGCTGACTCACCTGCATTGGAATGCGAAAGGAGATTGTTGAAGAATGTGCCAATTGCTGTTGCGTCGCCGGATTCCACCGAATCATCCGCCGGAGGAGGATGTTGTTGCTGCTGCTGCTGATGCAGCTCTTTGCTGCCGGCAATTGTGATTTCGGCTTCGAAATCGATGCTGTTGAAAGATTCATTGTCGATGTCACTCAAATGCTGGGATTTGTCATCGCTGCCGGCGAGCAGATTCTGCAGAGATGACTGATGCTGCGGTTTAGGCAGCCCCCCGACAACGGCATCAACATCAATCAGTTTATCGTCCTGCGATGCTGTTGTTGCAGTTGTTGCGGGCAATTGCAATGCCGCTGACAGCGCCTGTTGTTGTTCATTTAGTTGCGACAGGGTTGTAAAGTCATCACACTCGGCACTCAGCAGCTCCATGTCGTCGTCGTCATCATCATCATCCGCCTGCTGCTGCTGCTGGTGTCCTTGCCCCTGCCCCTGCCCCTGTCCCTTGTCCTCATCCGAGGCAACGCATTCGCTGATGCTGCGTGCGGCATTCCTAATGTGGCAGCGCTGCTTCTCGCCGCCTGCAAAATACAAAAAGGGTGTGGGTTAGCCTTACAATTTGTGTAAATATTTGTGCAGGATTCCGCTGGCGGCAAATGCAAATGCAAATTTGGCCTGACCTCGTTGCTGGCGCACAGAAACAAAAAAATCGATATGAAATAGGGTCAATTCTACCTTATTTTATGGGAATTTCGTATCAAACATGACAACATGATATTTTATCTTATCATATAAAATACCAAATATAGTATTTTTTCAACAAATAATGTGAAATAAGATAAACATAATCTTTATTCATATCAAAATGATATTAATAAAGATTATGTTTATCTTATTTTACATTATTGAATGTTTTATGATATCAAAATGATAAGAATAAAGATTATGTTTATCTCATGTTACATTATTTGTTCAAAAAATACTAAATTGATCTTAAAAAAATATCAAATTAATCCAGCACATATCAATATGATCTTTAGTCCATTTTTTTCAGTGCATTGCATGTGCCGCCGCCTAAAAGCATGCACTAATAATTTTCATATGTGCATTGTGTGTGGGTATGTGGGTTTGGGTCTCTCCGTCAGCCTGTGCAATTGCTCAATTTTCTTGATTTCGGCATGGTCTGTCCGTTTGTCCGCTTGCTCCGCCCCCGAAGGTCCCACAAGTTGCTCTGAACGTCTGTCAGCATGTCACATTTCCACATGACTGAGCGCACACACTCCCAAACACCGAACACCGAACACCGAACCCAAACCCACATCTCGACTTGCATTCTGCCTTATTTGCCATACCTTCATCAGCGACGGAACTTGGAGCCTCGGTCCTGGCATCTTCCCCGGCATTAATTCCCAGCGAGCTGTTGTCAACCTCGACTTGCTGTTGACACTTCGCCTGCTGCAGTTTTGCATTTGAATTCTTTTTCATTTGCTCGGCAGTGGCCCCAGCCAACAGCTCATCCTCATCCTCCAGTTGCTGCTGCTGTTGACTTGTCGCCACTTCGTAATTTTTCAATTGGAATATTTGATTCTTTAATGATTTCCTTCGCCGCAAATACTCATTGTGCTGCAGTTGTTGATTGCACAACAGTTGGCGCAAACTTTGGCCCAGACTCTGGCCGCATTGGCCATCCAATAAAGATGGGGCATCCAGCGACTGGAGTATCCCGTTGATGACCTCCAGGGTGGCATTTATGATGGCGTGATTCGCGGTGTGCTGCGTGCTCAGCAGGTGCAAACAATAATCATAAATCTCAATAATTTGCCGGCAGTCGGAGGTCGTTGTCTGCTGCTGTTGCTGCTTCCTGCCGGCCAAGGACTCCGAATCCTCGTGGCTATCGGCCGAGTGGCCCCGTATGAGTTGCGGCAACAGGAGACGCAACAGACCCAAGGCTCCTAGCACGCTGCTCGTTTGCTGATCCGTCAGCAGGAGTTCTGCAAGGAGAAATAATAAGGATAAGTTGGTTAATGGAGGAGAAACTTATGGCGGTTCGGTGTTTGATACAAATTAAAAACGCTCTTCAGAACTTTTCTTTCGCAGCGTGCGCTGGCAATTCCAATTTGCTCAATAAGCAAGCCATATACCGATTCCAAAACCACACAGAAAAAAATTCGATAGGTAATAGTGTGATTTCTACCATATTTAATATCAAGCCGATATGATAATTGTCAAATTGATGATTGAAACACATCAACTTGATATTTTATTAAAGTTATAAAAATACTGTTTTAAAATAATAAAATGTAATTTTTTAAATAATTATCATGAAAAAAAATCGATATTAAATAAGGTCATTTCTACCTTATTTCATATCTAGCTGATATTATTAACGTCAAATTGATTATTCAAACATATCAAGTTGATATTTTATCATTTCCTAAAAGTTATAAAAATACTGTTTTAGAATACCAAATGTAGTATTTTTTAACCATTATTGTTAATCTCGTTATTCATATCAAAATGATCTTGATCTTTAAATAATGTTAAAGTAGCATATCAATCTAATCTTTTCTCAATTTTCTTTCTGTGCAGATATACAGATACCTTTACCCACTTCCTTCGGTTCGCTTTGGCCGGCCAATTGCAGTTCATACTTCTTTCGTGTTCTTGCCAACTTTTCCCTCATATGTTTTGCAACAAATTGCCTCCAATTAAATTTATCTCGTTGAAAACTTTCCATCTGATATTTATAGACTCCTCGGCAAACACATGCAGCCACCCACTGGGAGGGAATGGGAGTAAGAAGCTCGACCTCCCGCAGTTCTTGCTTGCTGCTCTTGTTGTCTCCGCTTATTTGTCGTTTCATTACGTATACGCCACCAATCACAAAACGCCATGTTGGAAGTTTGTTACTCAATTAGTTTTCATTTTCTTCCTTTGGGGCGCAAAATTGAAAACACTTCTCGCCGGAGAAACTTTTTACATGGCCCTCATGGCAGCCAAGTGACTTTGCCGAGCACAACTTGCGGCCTGTTTCCATGTGTATCAATTAATTGCGGCAGAAGCCGCAAGAACTTTCTGCAAAATGGGCGACCCCGAAATGGTAAAGTAGTAGAAGGCGGGGAGTTGCGAAGAGGCGTCATTCTGGGCACGTTTAAAGACTGCAATTAATAGCCACACGGAAAGGTGTTCAATTTGAGGTCTACTTATTGGGCATCTCAGAATCCAAGTTAATCGGTGTCTCAAAAAATCTAAAACTATTGGAATATCGAAGAGGTAGTAGGGTAGTTTCTGGTTTTTTAGTAATAAACCTCATTAGGTATCAAATTAAAATTGTATGAAGTACTACTTATTAGGGATCTCACAATCGAAGTTAATCGGAGTCTCAAAAAAGCCAATTGTATGATAAAATCGATAAGTAATAGAATTTCGAATGGAATATCAAATGTATCTTTACTGTTTTTTTGTGTGTATAATTATTACTGAATATTATTTCTGTTTAAGAAAATCTTCTACAAATGTATAACTAACGTTTGTATCAAATTGCAGTTTCTTATCGAAATACCACCTCAAAGACAGCAAGTAATCACCAGTGGGGATGGGAAGACGTACTAGTTCGGGCCTTAGGTAGAAGTCCTTAACAATCGTTTGACCCTGAATTAAAAATATGTTATAAATTTTAACAAAAAAATTGGCGAAAACTACCACGTAAGGACATGTGTGGTTTAAATTTGAAAAGTCCTTAAATAGCCCGTAGACAATAGTTGCAACAGGATCGTTGGGATGCCTCAGATAACGACACACTTCTATCTTTTTGTTGACCAGCCAAGGTCTGTAGCCATTAGCCTTCTTAAAAATTAAAGTGTGCACTCGTATATCGTAAGCTGGGTTTAAAATTGTTCCACTGAAATTGAGTAGAACCTTGTCTCGACCCACAGCTTTCAAGCGACAGTTGTGGAAGACATACCAGGATGTGTTGTAGCTGTCACAAGCGACGTTCGTAAACTTAAAGACGACCGCCTCCTTCAAATGTTGGAAAATATTATCTCTGATTGTTCTAAGGGGAGGACTTACGTTTAATCGTACGTTATAGGTGAACAGCACTTCGAAGAGAGCCAAAATGACCAGTTTACGACGCATCGCGCTTATTTTTGATCTCGACAGTGCTTTAAATAAAAAAAACATTACTGCATTTACCCTTTAAAATTACTTCCTTAGCTGGCACTTATTTTATAATTACACAGTGCAACACGACAAATTTTGGAGCATTTTTTTTGAAAATTGATCAATTAATTGATAAATAAATTAATGATGGCGATCTTAAGATGTAGGACTTTAAATTACATGTCAAATTTGCGGTTACGCTTAAAACCTTAAAAATGTAGCACAGTGTTAATAGGGCCAGCTCAAAGCGTAATCAAAATGAAAATCGTTTATGGGTTCGTGGCAACTATTACTAACTGAACGCAGCTTTAGATTTTAGCTGTATTAAAACAGTAATTTTCGTCTAAAACCTATTGAAATTGCACGGATGATTTAGCGATTTGTTTCTGCGACTATAAAATTCTCTCTTGTTTTTCAAATGTTATTATAAAACTCATCAAATCAAAAAATAATTGGTAAAATTAAATTTAAAACAAAAATAATATACTTATTAATAATAAGTAAAACCTAAAAACCATGCCATCAAAATAGTTAAAGTGTAATTTGTCAGCTGTCGAGAAGTATTCAAATCCCAAATGAGGTCAAAAGTAAAATGATTACTTTGACACTCACCAACCAGATGAAAATGGAGTAGACTTTCAAAGAGATCAGCAGCGATTTCAGAGAATGAATTGGTCATTTGGCCATTTTGTGCTGCCCACAGTTGACATGCAAAAATAATTTGCACTTTTTGTTTAGCTGGGCAACATAAATTTTGCGAAAGCTCCCTTCTGCAGCTGTTGGCTTTGCTTTGCTTTACTGGCCTCCTCGTTCGGCTGGCATTTGTTTACAACGTTGATTATCCGCTTTAAAGCTGCACAGGAATGAATATCTGATTCAATTTCGCATGAATTATTGCATGGAAGTGTCCAAGTGCATAAATTTCATTTCGTCTACGGGCGGAGAGACAAACAAACGGATTTTGGCGAGGGCGGGGCAGCCTTTGGGGTCTAGGATCCCAGTTCGGAGCTATGAGTTCCGAGTTCTGAGTTCTGAGTTCTGAGGACTAAGGAGCGTGGGCCGCACTTTGTGTCTGTTTGTTGGGGCATGCCAGGAGGATGCCAGGATGCCTCTGTGATGGGTGCCCATAAAAAGAGGCGCCAGACTGTATAAGGATGCGCTGAAGAGTTGCCTGGCATTGTGCCTTTGCCGAGAAGTGGCATAAAGTTGACACAGGACTAGAAGAAGGAGCAGTCGGCCCAGGAATAGAACCAGGAACAGGAGCAGGAGGAGCAGCTGAAGGAGTTGATTTGAAGGTAAACATTTGGACAAGAAAAGAGCAAAAGGTAAAGTCAAGTCGAAGCTTAATTTATATGAACTTAGGTGAGGTCAGAACTCAGACGGCCAAATATGTATAATCCGAGTAAATGAATTAGTTTTTCAACACAGAAAAAAAATTGAGAAAATATCAGATTGATATTAATTTTAATGAATTTAATATCATTTTGATATGAATAAAGCTTATTTTTATATTATTTTACAATATTTTTATAACTTTAGTGAAACGATAAAATATCAAATTGATATGTTTGAATCATCAATTTGACATTAATCATTTCGGCTTTTTATTAATATGAAATTAAGGTGGAATTTACCCTATTTCATTTCGAGTTTTTTTTCTGTGCAACCCGAACTGCTTCTCACTTTAATTGTTTGCAAAAGCCAAACACTGGGCTCTTCTAAAAAGATTTATTTAAAGAATTCGACTAAATGCATTTTCAGTACAGCAGATCATAAAAAAGCAATGGCAACTGTAACTAAGGTGCATTTACCTCTTCGTCGACGTTTGCCAATAATATTTTCATGAAAATTCAATAAAAAATGATTTGTGTTTGCAATTTTTAAGCATTTTCGACTCATGGCTCACGTTGCCATGACTTTTGTTTTTGTGCGGACTGCAGTTATTGCTGCATGCTAAAATAAAAACTGCCCGCTATCGTCGTTGTCTAAAATCAAAACAAATCTTAAAAAACCCTACATATATATTCGATGGTTCGTCCATCGATTGCGCGTTGGTTACCAACGGCCATGTAAAAATATAATTTATATCAACTGTCTAGTTACTTTTATTGTGCCCCTGCCCCGCCCCCTTTTTGTGCGCCCACAGACCACAGACAAACAAACCCATGGCCGTGATTGCATTCACAATGCGAGTTTGAATAAAATCCCAAAGCCCTCCTTTCCCCGCTCACCAAGTTCGCAGTTCGATGGCTTTATATTTTGGTAAGGTATTTTTCATGGATTTGCGGCTTTTTAGAATATTAAAAATATTTTTTAGCCCAACCATTTTCCATATATATGCATGCAGGACTATGTGAGGCTTAGTATTTGGCCGTTACACGCTTTTTAAACACCACTTTCATTATTGATGAGAATATAAAGAGCGTTTCGCTGGACGTGAAAATGCGTTAAATAACTAACAGGCAGTAACACGGAATTGAGGATTTGTTTAGCCAAATCTAGACGAACAATAAAGGTTTTATGAGGGCAGTTGCAATTTCGAATTAGAGGGATTTACAAAGTCGTGATAGAAATACAAAATGAGTATTATTTCTCTAGATTTAATTGTGACTTTTGGTTGATAAATAAAAGGGTTATTTTGTAGCTCAATAATACAATAGTTCTTCCTTCCTTTTCCTGCTTTTCTTTTCATTCTTTGGCAATTAAAAAGCCCATCTGATTACTAAGTATTCCGCTCTTCTAGCAGCCTCTTTTCCATTCCCATCAGGCGCTTCATTTCCTTTATCCTCCGGCTTACCCATCACTTTGTTGACTCCATGTCTGGCCATAAGACTCCTATTGCGTGCATGCTCAATCAGACTGATGCAATTTTGTGCCGAGCAGCGTCGCTTTACAGCGCAATCGGAGCTAATGTTGTCCAGAAAAGTCTGCAAGGGGTAACAGTATATATTTAGTAAATAAGTAGATAAAATAAAGTACAAAAGCCGCACCTCGAAGAGCTTGCAGGATTCGCTATCGCTGAGGCCCTGTTGCAGATAGCGGCCAAAGTGCTTGACGAAATCGCAGAGGGTTTCCTGCAGCAAAGTCTCCTTGCGCTGCGAAATGGTGGTCATGCATTGCAGCAACCGCACGGCATACCACTTGATGTGCTTCTCCTTGATTTGAGGGGCATAGTAGGAGAAAAGGTTCAGACAGATTCTCAGGGATCTAGAAAGATTATCTATTTAGTATTTATATTTTTGGGATATCTATTTCTCCTCACCTCTGATTACCATTCCTTTTAATCTCGCCATAGAGATCCATGAGTATTCTACTGACTCGGGTTTTTTCCAGTGCCCTCAAGATCTTATTGAGGTTCTCCTCGGCACTCATCCGCACCACAGAGTCCACATCCTCGCAGAAGAGCAGCAGGACGTTCGTGGCGGTGCCGCAGTGAGCCGCATAATTGATGTGTCCCGCCAGCGAGGGCGACATTATGCACTCGGCAATCTGCTGGAAGCAGGTGATCTTCTGCTTTTGACTGTGGGAATTTCAGGTGAATAAATAATTAGTACAGGTATTTGGCATGACGTCATAGCGAATGCGCTTTTGGTTTAAGGTTAAACGAATGTTTGTCTAGCTAAATCAGTTAGTTGGTTTCACGGTGGAGCATTTATCTGTATAGAAAATCCCCCTGACACCCGAATTTAATCAATATTATTATTCCGTAATGAGCAACAAACTGTTGCCGGTTCCCCTCCCCATAAAAACATTCGATGCAACCGAAAATAAACAAATTTTTGGGTATTACCCACCTGCATTCCGTATTGCGCAGCTGCTCCACGAAGCCCACGAACTTGTCGTACACGCTGGACCGGGATTTGTCCATTTTGGCGTCCGATGTTACGGCCAAAAACGCTATTTAAAAACAAAAACACAGAAAAACATTGCTTTGTTATGATTCCAATCAGCTGCAATTAGAGATGGGATTTCTCTTAGAGATGGGCAAGACAGAGGTTTTTAGAACACATTTTCAGTTTTTGAAGAACGGTCACACCCGATTCGATAGTTTCACTCAATTTCGTGAGTCACGGCATTAGCGATGGAATGTCTATAGAAGTGGGCCAACCAGAGGATTCGATAGTGATTCGATAGGATTCGTGAAGATGTCACTTGGCGCCAATTTACAAATAAAGCTTTTTCATTTGGGTTTTATATCAGATCTGGAAATAATGATTATTTTATGAGCTTTATTTTTCTCTTGAAATATAACGCTTAACTTCTGAATGAATAATAAACCTTATTCCTTGAGTTTTTTTTTTTTTTGATCAAAAGTAGACCAATTTTTTTTAACCTAAGACGGTTTTCTTTGAAAGTGGTTAGGAAATATACTATTAGCGTCTTCCCAAAGTGAAAAAATGGTGGAAAGGATGAGAAATTTCAAAACTACGCGCTCTTTGCGCCTTCTATCGATGTATCGATAACTATAGAGGAATCGAATACACCTGTTTGGGCAGCCCTGGTCCGCTGCTGTTGCTATCGATTTTTTGGCATCGAGTACAAGTGCAACAACAATGTTTAAGTTTACAATTCGTTTAAATCGCCTGAAAAACCCCTGAAAACGAATAAAAAGCAGTGCAGCTGCTAAATAACAAGAATAGGGTGCCTAAGAGATATAATAAATCAACGGAACAACACCACCGGAAGCGCAAAAGTAAACACAAAATCGGAAATCCGAAAAGTGAATCAGAATTTTTCCAGCTCACACACACAGGCGCACGCCCAGCAAACACACATGCAAACGTACGGAACCAGTCGTGTTGTTTTTGTTGTTGTAAATAAGTGCAAGTGAATAAGAAGCAGAAGCTGCGATCGGAAAATTAAGCAAAAAGCGTAGAAAAGCGGTGGAAAGTGGAAAGAGGAAAGGCTGCAGTGCAGCTAGCACGCTTCGCTGACTGCGCGACAGCAGAACGCCAGTCAAGCGCCAAAAACCATTAGCGTAGAACCCCATTTCCATTATTTCCAGCTGGAGCGGCACAAGAAAGCAATTTTCTGGTAGCAGAAAGCCCCAAGAAACGCGAATAATTGGCTAGAAGTTCAGAAAGACAGCAGCGACAATTAGCCGGAATCATCGGAATGGAGCTGAAAGTTTGGGTCGAGGGCATTCAGAGGATAGTTTGCGGCGTTACAGTGAACACCACATGTCAGGTAAAGTTAACTTATAGCTAGGGTCACAATAATAGCACCATTGGCACTAGATTAAAATAAAATATTTAAACCGTAACTATAAAAGAATGAAATTTTTGTTAAAAATTGTGTTAAAAATGTTTAAAAATTACAACGCAAAAATGTAGTATTTTTTACAAATATTTTATAACTTTTTCTTCCTAAAATTTTGTTTATAAATTGCATTCGAAATGTTTAAAAATTTCAAAGTAAAAATTAAGTGATTTTTAAAGTATTTTCTTTCAGCATTTATTTTTTATAATTTTAATCAAAAATTTTCCAAAATTACAAGGTAAAAATACGACATTTTGGTAATTTAAATGCAGTTTTTATAAATTTTCTAAAATTCCTTGCTAGTTGCATAACAAAATTAAAAAATATTACATATTTTTAATATTTTTTACATGACCGTTGCTATTATTTTGCCAGACACTGTATAACTCCTATATATTATTGATTTTTCCCTAATTATCCTTTTTATTTCCCACAGGATGTGGTCTTTGCCTTGGCCCATGCCACTGGGAAAGTCGGAAGATTCACTTTAATCGAAAGGTGGCGCAACAACGAACGTCATTTGGCCCCCAATGAGAATCCCATGAAGCTGCTGCTCAAATGGGGCGAGTATGCAAATGATGTGCAGTTTATATTACAAAGATCCGAGAACAAAACGCAGCAGCAACAACAGCAGCAGCAGCAAAACAACAATAATAATAATAACAACAACTATGCTGTGATGACAACGAAAAAGCCGCTGGGCCCAAACAATAATAACAATAATAAGCCAGCGCCCACTTTGCAAAAGCAAAAGTCGAACGTCGAACTCAGCTACCGCACAAAGGAATTGAAAAAGAGTTTTAGGTGAGTGGTTTTAAAAAATTAGATTAAATATTTACTTAATCCTAATTAACAATATTTCGTGCAGCGGCTATGATGCCAAACAGTTTGACAACATTGGAATTGTCAAGGGGATTCCCCAGCAGCAGCAACCACCGACTTCAGGGGCTCCGGTGAGCCCACCAGTTGTTCCACAGGAGCATGATAACAACAATGCAGCACCTTTAGTGCCCAAACACGAAAAGTCGCTATCAAATCCACTGGAAATGACCAGCACGGGCATCAGCAATCCAACAGAATCGACAGCAAATGGCTACAACGATTTCTACAACAATAATAGCAACAGCAACCAGCATATCTACAGCCAGCTGAGCAAATCCAGCAATGAACTCCGACGTTCCAGTCCCAACGAGATGTACTACACAAACAATAATAACAATAATATCAACAACAATAATAATAATAACTCACCGGAGCTGTACAAGCAAACGCCGACGATTTCCGCGAATGGAGCCCTAGTCCCACCTCCATATCGTGATCCACCGCCGCCAAGGAACAGCCCCATGTGCCAGGGACTTCAGGGACGTTTGCCCAGCAGCAATGCGGACACCATGTCCAATGCCTCCTCCTCGACGAATCCGTTCCTCAGCGACTACGATCAGCACAGCAATCACAACAATAACAGCATTAACAACAATAGCCAGGCCATGGAGGAGGGCGAGACCATGTTCCAGGCCACGCAATACAACGATTTGTTGCAGCTCATCAAGTTTCAGCGGGAGAAGATTACGGCCCAGCAAATGGAATTGCAAAAGGTAAGGATTTGTAAAGATCTTAAATGATTTCATTCACCAAACATTCACTGTTCCTTTCAGTTCGATACGGAAATAGTATATTTGGAGAGCAAAGAACGCGACCACGCCCACGAGCTGGAGGCCATTTCGCGCGAGATCTCCAAGGCGGATCAAATCTTTCGGCAGGGCAGCGAACAGCTGCAGACTCTGCAGTATGTGGAGGAGGAAAACGAATTGGTCAAGCAGCAGGAGAAGACGCTCAAGTCGGAGATAGCTCTGCTGCGATCCAAGTTAGCCAATTGCGAGACTGAGCTGCTGCAATGCAAGAACAAGATGCGCTTGCTGATGGATGACATTGAAATGGAGCAGCAACAGCAGCAGCAGACCAATCGGTGAGTAAAATGTTGATACTTAATTTATCCAGCCTATTTTACACTCCTTCATTATTTCAGACAAACTGTGGAGCGTGACTTCCTAATGGAAATGGAGCGGATACAGAGCGAAATCGATCAGGCGCTGCACAACACCGACACTTCGAACAAGTCGGCCGAGGGCCTGAAGAAGGAGCTGCTGATGATCGAGCACGCGATTGCCGAGAAAAAGCGGCAGGTGGAGCAGCTGGTCAACGAAATGAAGGAGGTGAACTTGCAAAGTCTGACTGTTACCACCACGGAGGAGATCAAGCACCTGTTGGAGGGGCCCAATAAGCAGGGCAGCAGTCGGCGGATCATCGGATCGCCCAGGCAACTAGAAACGGCTGTTCCAACCAGTAAAAATCCTCACGGCGTCTGGGTTTAAGTCGCACTCCGTACTCCCTAGGCGTCGAAACTATTTTTCTAGACATTTTCCTCCTCCAACAAATAATCTTTTTGGGAACAAAATTGATGAACATATCTTGAATGCATAATGGAGTTGATATGAAACGGATTCCATATGAATATCACAATTTTACAAAATATTCTCTACAAATTTACAATGATTAACGTGCTTAATTGCGTTACAGTATGTTTACACTCCAACCACACACTCTATGGATCTCTTAATGCAATGATAAATGTTACAAATTCGTAAACACTTCCCACACATGTCTCCACATTCCGCACACTGCACTTTGTATTTTAATGTAGTTAATGAGTCCATAATGCCCCTAATTTTAATTTTGTGTGCTATATACTTTTGTTTAATTTTTGTTGCTAGTCTACATGTTAACAAAAACCCTTTTCAATCTCTACAATTCGCCATTAGTTGTTAATTTAACAATGAACTTTAATTGTTGCAATAACTCAAGAGTATCGTAACTTGAAACGCCTTTTAAACATTTAAGTAGTGCACTTAGTGATTTGTCTCCCACTGAATTATTCATTATAGAATTCACAATTCGAATTACACAAAACTTATTGTACTTAGCAATTAGCGCAGCTTTAACAAACGAATTACAAATTAGCAATGCTTTGTTAAAAAGTTTCACTTCTAAAGTGCTTAGCCTTAGCCACCGGATATCGAAACATAGGCCCGAAAGGTGTCACGCATTAGTATATGCTCCTTATTTGGTAGGTTTAACGGATAAAAAACTAAAAGACAACCAATAAGACGCGTTTGTGAATTATGTTTTTAATTAGCAATACTTACTATTTACACAAATTGATAGTGAAACACAAAAACACCAACCGAAATGCAATTTATTGAATAATATACATTACTATTAACTTTAAACTAAAAAGGTTTTAGAACAAATTCTAATTGCATTATATCTAATTAGCTAATAAATGCATTTTTATGATTTATTTCTTTAAAACTCGAAAAAAGATGATGTTTTCTTTTGGGATTTCCTATAGGAATTAAATAAAATATTTAATGATGCGCTGGGAGTTGAACTCTGGACCTTCTAAGCGGTTGAAAGCGACCGGAAAGGAAAGAAAACCGCAGCCTTTGGAACTCAACGGTCAGCCGAAGTCCTTTTGATACCCGAAGCTGCTCGGCGCTTTTCTTTGGCGAAGGAAAACAAAATCAGCAACACATGCTGTTACCAGCTTCAGTTGGCCGCTGTGCGTGGACGTGTTTGGTCCTTTTATCCCTTTCGATTTCCGTCGTTGCTCTGGAAAAACAAACTTTTTCCTGGAGAAGCGCGCGCGACTTTCGATTTTCAAAACGAAAAAAAAGAAACAATAAAGTGTTTCCCACTTAACGGGTCAGTGAAAGTGGCCCGAAAGGAATAAAGAGGCGAAGGAACACACATTTGAATGGTCTGTTTTGGGGCCATCCTATCGCATTGACACAATCTACAAAGTGGTCGAGGGAGCATTAAGTGGCCCGGCAGCAAAAAGGAACCGCTTTTTATGGTCCCTTTTCCACACCAAATGCTGTTCAATTGCGATGATTGCGATAATGAGAGTCCCCGTTTCGGTTTAGGGATCATGCATCGCAGAGACAATGTGACCTTTTGCGGAAATTATGATTCGTCTCCGGCTGACCTTGAGCCTTGCTCCTTGGAAAGCTGATTCAATTAGGCGAACTTTAATCAGAAAAGGGCCTAAATATTGCCGGTCACATATTGCACTTCCATTTGGCAGTTTTATAACCTTGAGTTTAACTTAATGTCTTGCATAAATTAGGAAATAAAAGTGGCTACTTAAAAATAGAAGCACATGAATGAGGGCCAAATGATTCTGAAATTATTCATCTCGATTTGCCAGACTCAGCGGGGGAAATAAATATATAGCTAAGGTTTATGACTTCCTCGGCATACATTTAATGCGTTTTTTCTTAAAGAAATAGCAACTTTTATAGCAAAATTTCTTTTATAAAAAGGTTAAATTAATTTAATCCATTAAAGTTAAATTTTGTTGGTATTTAATTTTCCATTTTTTGATTGATTATAATCCCAACAAATATCCATTTGCATTGCCAATAACTTTTAATCCCTCTGAGAAACTTAAACCCGACGTCTGTCAAAATAGCATTTTATGCATATTTTTTATGGACATCAAATCAATTTTATCCAACGCTGAAATCGAAACCCCGCCAAGTGTAAAGCACTTGCCATCCAAAATATTAATTTTGAACTCCCCTTCGCCCAGCTTTCCAACCTCCTTTCGCTCCATCTGCTGTGTAATCCCGGCACTTAAAACTCTTCTCGACGAGCTGCGAGAACATTAGCCAAATGAAGTGACAAGAAATTAACAAAAAACAACAACAAAAAAAGTACGATATAAGAAATAATAATATAAGAACCCAATGAGTCAGCACCGCATCGGTTGTTTTCGCTGCGATTGGGGGTGTGTCCGGAGTGGGAATTGAGTGCTCCTAATGATGAACTCGGTCAAGGAGCCAGTGCAGCCACGCTGGCCAAGTAATTAGATAAGCGAGCTTGGGAAACAGGACCAAACCGATAAATCGCAATGGTCTACGGGAGGAGCATAGCGGTAGGCGTCTGCCTGATGACCGTGGTCCTTCTGCTCGCCGCCGGGATATTCTACTTGAGTCTGGGTAAGTAACAACCAGTTGAATGTATAATCTGGAAACCTATTTTAAAATATCTGAAAAATCATTACCTTATAACATTATTTTTAAAGAAACTCAAAACCGATCATAAGGATTCGAAGGCATAATAACGGATTAATAACTTTTAACTAATTTATAAAATATATTTCAAGAGTTCCAGAAATCATTACTTCCAAAAGGTGATATTAAACCGAGCCTTAATATACTTATTGGATTGAATCAGTTATTATGGTATTCGTATAATAATAATAATAATAATAATAATACTTTTTTAATATTTTATTTGTTATTTATTATTTATTTTTATATCGTTTATTTATTTCTGCCCAATTGACAGTGTTAAAAGTTTCCTATAAATATTTAAAGTTCTTTAGAATCAAGCCAGAAAATTAAACCAAAATGCTTGCGGTAAAGTGTGTATACTTTTCGCATTCTTTAATTGAAAAGCCCCATTGCTAAAAGGGGCTTCCATCGGGCCAAACAAAAACCAAAATCAAATTCCAAACTGCAAAATGGCTATAAATTTGATACTCAAAAGTATTTGAAAGTAATTTGTTGTATAATACGATAAAAATAGGGCAACAAAAAAACGCTTGGGAAAACAACAAACGGCTGACCATAAAAAAATAAATACCAGTACGAAGCAAACTTTGTCTTGAGCACAAAACAATTTTCGCACATCCATAAACAAGAATATGTATGAATTTATCTGGGGCCTTTTTACTCCTGACTGTTTTGGTTCCTCGTTCGAGGCTTTTATCTTGTTTTACGAGTATCAATATCGAGAAATTTGCGCTGCTTTTTGCTGCCGCCTCAATATTATATTTTTTATGCCAATTTGCGTATTGATTTGCCATAGCAGCAGAGATATAGGCAAAACATGTTTGATTTATGCCCTTTTGTCGCCTCGGATTCCAAGTACATGCATCACGACAAATTATTTATCTGCCAGAGAGCATTCGTCCGGCTTAGGTTAAAATCAGACGAGGAAAAGGAAATTTAAAGAGGGGCAAATCGGGGAGACAGGATGTGTGTTAACATGTGTCCTTGTCGTAGACACAATGAAATTGAAAGTCTCTCCTAATGCACAATGGCTTTACTTATTTATTCCTTTAGGAAACGAGATGAAGAAATAAATCTAAGCAATTTGGTATAAAGATAATGAAAGTGCTTAAGGATTAAGGATGGAATAGTCGAATCTTAAAGCTAATTTTAATAAAAAGATAACAAGTTAGGATTTTTATATTAAATTTTCAAAGACTTCGGAAAAGTGTAACCGCAAATTTGTTGTATTAATTTATATCTATCGAAATGTAGAAGAAATTTATTAAATCGGACTATGCGTTAAAAAGTTATGAGGAAATAATGGAAATCAAGCAGTGCAAGCAGTCGTTCTGCTGCATGCATGTCTCCATCCCCCTCGCACTTTCTTTAGCTGAATAAGGGGTATATGATAGTCGAGGTACTCTTGTGAAATATTTTCTTTTATTCAATGGTCTGCCAAACGGGTGAAGAGAAAACTTTTTATGGGATAAAATAAACAAACCACAAAAAAATATGTTTCTGACGCAATCCTTGCAATTGGATTAAAAGCTCCTCAAGGTGCTCAACTTTCACTTTCATTTGCTCATTTGTCTAACGAACTATGTTCCAATTTTTGCCAAGAGTCTCGAGTCGTGGCACCCAAACAAATCATAAAAATGATAAAATGCAAAACAAAAATGTCATTTCGTTTTACGACAATTACCCAAAAAAGTTGTAGGCATTCAGGCAGAAAAAAGTCTCGGGATAAATTAAATCTAAGCGTAAGGAATAAAAGTTACTTTGTCCATCCCATCAATTGTTAAAACTCAGTTCAACTTTTGAAGTTAAATTAGCTCCAATGGCATTTTAATTTGTAACCAGCCATCATTTCGATTCATGTACTTGATTTCGATGGTTGAAAAAACATATTGTTAACAAGGCAAGCATCTCAAAAATAAAAGAAAAGACAGCCAAAAACTTTTGTGCACATTAAGTTTAATTGCCATCTCATGACAAAAAGGCAAACAATAAACTGAAATACTTTGTTTGATGGAGGGTATGACTATATAAGAGCCCACAAATTACGTTGTCATCTTGAGTTTAAAGTTTGCCTGGCAGCGATTAGAATAATTACTCATACGCAGCGTTGCCCATGTGGAAAGCCTTGTATAAAAAGAAAATTGTACACTTATAAATTTGGAAATATTCATTTCTATAAAATTTATTGAAAATTAAAAACAATTTAAAAATAATCGAAGTACAATGTACTTATGTGTTTATTTCGAAATTTTTTTAAAAATAGTTTTTAATCAAATATATTAAAAATCCTATAAGCTTATAATTATTTTGAAAATCTACCTTTATAAGAAGTTATTATCCGGAAACTCATCACCTTTTTGTAAATTAATTAAGAAACAGAAACGTTCTTTAAAATTTCCCTTGAAATGTTTTTCTAAAATTAATCTAGATTTTAATAAATGATAACTGATGCGTTAAAGGCACTAGTAAAATAGCGAACTAAATCCGAGGAGAATGCAATTTGCTGCGCTGACCTTGGGTGATAATTAATTTGGGATCTGCTTGTTGTTCCTTGCTGTTCCTTTCGCAGGACCCTGCCCCACAGGCAGCTTCGCCTGCGACAACGGCACGCTGTGCGTTCCGAGGCGCCAGATGTGCGACAACCGTCACGATTGCGCCGACAGCAGCGATGAGAATCCGGTGGAGTGCGGACTCCTCTACGGCAGCAAGGAGATTGCCGATAAGATTGTGCGTAATGCGATTGAGAAGAAGCAACAGAGCCTAATCTCCGCCGTTTCGAATGCGAGCGGCCTGGATTTATCACCGCCGGTGGTGCAAAGGAATCAAAGCCAAACTTTAAGCTTGACTTGTGGTAAGATCATTGTTTTTTTTAAACACTATTAGTTTTCGAATATTTACAAAATATTTTATTATTTTATTTTTATTTAACTTGATAGCCTTCTTTATATATTTTTTAACCCAGCTCAAAAAATATTTTTATTTACTTAGATATCGTCACATATCCTAAAACCTGTAAGTGCGGCCAGAGAACAATTATATACTGCGGTCGCTTTGCGAAGTTGCGTCGATTTCCAAGGATCAGTTCTGAGGTCACGAATCTGATCATCATTCGCAACAACCTGACCCTGAGAGACAATATCTTTGCCAATTTGACGCGTCTGCAAAAGCTGTAAGTATTTTATTATTGGTAATTATTTGATATTAATCCAAAGAAATTAGAAAATGTATTTAATATTAATTTAATAAAAATAATTCATGTTTTATTTTACTGTTATTTCACCTGATTTTCCCCAATCCTTCCGCAGGACTCTCAAGTACAACAACATATCACGTGTCCCGCTGGGCAGCTTCAATGGCTTATCTAATTTGGAGCGCCTGGAGCTGAGCCACAACAACATCAGCCATTTGCCCCACGGCATCTTCCTGGGGCTCCACAGCCTCCAGTGGCTGTTCCTGGTGAACAATCAGCTGCACCACCTGCCCATGGAGCAGCTGCGATTCCTCCATCGATTGGAGTGGCTGGTCCTGAGCAGCAATCACCTCACCCTGCGAAATGTGCAGCTGCCGAAAATTCCCTCGCTCTACGAAGTGTGAGTAAATCGAAATGAGTCTCTATTCTATTTGCTAGATTAAAAACTGAGCAGAAATCGGGGTCTCGGTCCCTCGGTCTCCGGACATCCAAGCTCCGCTGAAGTATTCAAGTGTGAAATGCTGTTAAAAGCGGTGATGGGTATTAGGTGTCCTGCTGAATTGCCGGTTAGCTAGAACTGACACAATGTTGTCAACGTGGTTGCACTCACTTAGTGCCCAAAGTATCCCATTGATTTCCTTTAGTTTTGAAGTCCACGATTTAAAGTTGCAACCTTGGAATTTTTAGATCATCATTAAAAGCATTTTTACTGTATTTTAAGCTTTGCCTTAAATTAATTTTTTTTTAGAATTAATAAAATAATTAAATTGAGTTCCTTAAATCAGGATGTAAAATCACAAAGCATGCCTGCGGTTACACGCCTATCTTGCGTTAGGCACACGACGTTAATCTTATTTTCTCGTCGCTAATCAAAACGCAGTTGCACCGCCTTAAATCTTCGAATCTTAATTTCCAAAGATTTGCCCCTTTAAAGTCTAGTTGCCCATCATGAACTCTGATAATCTTACATCTTTTAACCAAGTTACATTCCTCACTTGTCCACACAAGCACACACAAAAGGCTTAGAAGGCAGTCCTTCTACCCAAAAAAAAACCCAAAAATTTATAAACAAAACTAGGCCTACAGCTTAGCCAGATTGTTGGATGCCTGCATAAATATCTCTTTACTTTTACAGTTATTTGGATTTCAATCGTATCGAATATATTGGCGAGGAAACTTTTTCCCAATTGGATAATTTACATTTGCTGTAAGTAAAACAATCAAGTTTTTCCCTCCCCCTTCCACACACAAAATAAAAAAAAACCTAGAAAATGCCAGCAAGTGTCGAAAAGTCTATTGAAATATGTTGTACTTAGATTTTATGGGGCGTATGCGTAATTTTTACTCTTCGTTGCATTTTGCTTTGGTTTTTTTTTGCTTTACTTGTTTATTTTGAGAGATTTATGTGGGTTACTTTGTTGCTGAGACAGTGAAAAAGAGAGAAGGAGCATTGCGTATACGCACTGTTGACATGACAGTGAGCTGGATATTCGATACTTCGACACCTTCGACACCGGCAAACCAAAAACAATTGAATTTATGCACCAATAACCATAAATTGGCACTTTTATTGTTTACGCAAATAACATATGCTAAGCAAATATTTAAACGAAGAGTGACAAGGAATAACAAGGCGGAAAAATGCATTTAGTAAACGAAGATAGAAATACCCTGGGTTTTTTAATTGGATTTTTTTATAATGGTTTTTATGGTTTGATTTTAAATATTTTATATATTATTTAGTCTCAAAAAAAATCTGGTTATTTCATGTTATTGAAAATGTATCGCCGTATAACATTAAAACTTCGTATGGCCATCACCTAAGATATTATCAGAGGTCTCTCACATGTCCTGGGCTCTCTTTTTTTTGCCTTCAAAATCCCCGACTGGTGGAGCATACATAATCATTAATTTATGCATCAATAGCTGACAATATAAGTCAATGGGTCGTCTGGGTGCCCGACGCCTCGCAGCTAACTGAAAATAAATCAGTTACCCAAATTGCCCAACGTAAATAAATGTGTTAACCTTTACAGACATTGCAAACGAATGGCAGCGATGAGATTTGGATGGGATAAATTGTGTCGCAATATTTGTGCCCATCATCGCATCATATGTGTCGTCAATTTATCTTGTGATTTGAAGCATATGGGAAGTTAAGGGGAAGAAAGAAAGAAGGAATATATTATTTATTTTTAAAAATAAGAAGTAATAGTTAATATTAGTTAAATAACCCCGACAATTGATATGAATCGATGATCTATTTTACGTTTTGTGGTATCAATTTGGACTTGATATGGTATGAAATACCAGAAATTTACCATGGGCATATCGATTTACCGAGTTTTCTTTGTGATTCTGTGATTTTAATTTTCTAACATATTTTCTATCCCTTCGCAGAGATCTCCAGCATAACCTCATCACCCACATCCATGGACGAGCCTTTGCAAATCTAACCAATATGCGAGATATGTGAGTATAGGGAGAAAGGGGTAGGGAATGAGTTCCTTTATGGATTTGTGGAACTTCAACACCGACACTAAGCATGAGTTATGGCGACAGATAGTTAATTAGCATAATAATACGAATAATGCTGCTACAAAAGTAAATGAACTCGAGCTCTGGTCAAACACAAAGCCGCAGGAATGTCCCCAAAGTAAATCCTAATTTGGCAAAGGATTTCAAGCAGCCAAGCACCCGAAATTCCCGCCCCTTTCGCTGGACATTTGCTTTGTGATTCAAAATCATATTTCTATGGTATTAATTTCAGTTCATTAATGCGCAATTACGTATTCGAAATGGGAATCTCTCTGTTTATGAAAAACCAAAGTTGAAAAGTTTTGCGCCCACAGACAGATAAATAATAACAAGGGAACGGATGCTTAAATCCGAAACAAAAATTCCCTAAAATTGCAGCGTTAGAAATATTTTTTTATGAACTTGACCACGCCCGCGCTATAAAAAGTTTACCCCCTTCGGGGCAACTAATCTAACCTTTATGGTCATAGTTTATTTTTATGCCGGTTATGTTATGGGCCAACTGTAAAGTAAGAGGGCAAATCTATAAACGGCAGTCGTAAAAAAGAAAACAAATTGTTTAACGCTTTGAGGAAGGAATTTGATGAGCGACAGACAGACAACATGGCGTATGCTCAATATTTAATAGTGAAAACCAATGAGATCTTTAAGGAATTGTATGTTACTTTCTGGCTTTCATAACCATATATCAATGGCATATTCAATAAATGTCTCGGGCAACACGGCATCCATCGTCTAGCATCAAGCTGTGGCCTTAATAAATTTACCAAACCCATCATCCAGCATATATATTTGTACATACATCAGCATATCAAGGATGATAACGGACAGACAGACACCAAAAACACTCTCCTCTTGACCAGATTGGTTGTAATACAGAACGAACTGAGTTTTTGGCTTTGACTTTGGCGTTTTTGTATCTTTTGGGACCTTTGACTTCAGCCAGAGAGCAACAAATAAACAAACATTATTATGACCAAATAAAAATGCAAATAAATTTGTATTTTATGTGAAAACAATTTCGCCAAAGCCTTGGCCAAGTAACTGTGTAACTGTAACCAACTCGGGCCAAGTTGTGGGCCAATAATGAAGGAGTTTATTGAAATCGACTCGGGGCAGTGGGCGGTGGTATTCCCCAATCGTCATTGCTTCATTAGATCTTGCCACTCCCCCTTATTCGAGCTGCGAATCCTTTACGCCTGTTGATGACACCTCTTGCCACCTCTTACCACTAAGCTAAAGCACCACCCACTTCCGAACACCGAACACCGAACACCGAACCCCATGCAAATAATCTGCCCTTTGTTGGCGTGCTAGGAATTTCTCAGCATTCCGGAGAGCTCGTATGCCAAGTGAAAGACTTTTATAGCCACACGGAAAGAAAATGTAATTCTAAATGACCATCGATTGGGTTTTAATTGAATCTGTGAAAGAAAACCTTATCCTGGGATGTTTAAAAAGATATAAGTTTGTTTGGTAAACTAAAAAATGTATATTAGTTAGAAACTTAGAGGCATTTTAAAACTGGAGCTCTGATTTCATTGGGTATGATTCTTTCGCTTTTAGGATATTTTCATTTAAAATTATTATTCTATTTTAATATGCATAAAATATCTTTGAACCTCAAAGATGGCCCAGCTTTCTTGTTTTCAAGATCAAATATACTTCCAATAATCCTAATATGAAGAAAATATATAATTTCTGAGAAACCACTTCTTAGATTCTATATAGTTTAAATTAAATTTTTTGTTGTGTGCACCGACAAAAATAAACTGCACAGAAATTCCTTTGGCCAGCGCAAATGTATCTGTAACTGTGTCCGTGTATTTGTATCTATCAGATACGCATCTAAATGCTGCTCATGTATCCTGTCTTCCTCCAGCAATTTCTGCTGATTTGTTTTGTCTCTGGTAACGTATCCCCCAGGGCTTTCGGGGAGGGGGACGTGGCCATAAAACAAACGAAAGCAAAAGCGAAAATATTTGAGAAATCGCTGCACTAATTTGATTCCTGCTGTCAGGCCACTGAGCCACTGACAGGTCATTACGGAGATTTTTTCGGATGCTTTAAAGACCTTCAAATCCTGCATTGTCCTGTAGACATGCTCGTGACGTTAATTATGGTCAATACGAGCCCCGCCCCCGCAGCAATGCAACCAAATGCCGCAGCAGTACCTTCGCAGAGCACATTGCCCCAAAAGAATCCACAACTGAAACGTGTCATTTGCAAGGGAAGCGCCAATGGCTTCATTTGGTTAATATGCACTCATAATGAAGTGGGGTACTTGGAATAAGTTGTCAGGTAAAATATAATTAAGCAATAAAATGATCGTTCCTATTAAATTATAAATTAATTTAAGAAGTATTACAAAAACGTCACACTCAATTAGATGTTTCAAAGAAAATAAAGTTATTTTTGTATTATTTTTACATTAATTTTTTTTAGACAGCTACATAATGAAGTGGACAGATTTTTTTTATAAATATAATTTGGAACTCTGAAATACTTAAAATAGTTTTATCGCAGAGTAGAAGAGAATACTATTAAAACTAGCGAAGCAATAATTTGTTTTCTATAATTTTGTATACATTTTTTAATTGTTCTTATAGCTGCATTATACATAGTTGTCCAATTTTTTTTAAATTCAAAATTCTGAAATGTTATGATAAATATATTCTGAAGAGTTGAAAATAATAAGTCAATAAAAAACAGAAGCTAGAACGTTTTCTTTTTCCAGAACTCTACAGGTAGAGTGTTTTGCAATCGGTTCGAGCCACATTTGTGAAATTTCTCCGCCATGATTTTTCGCTCCTTGCACGTAGCGCACAAACCCAACTAGAGGCATTTATTTGTCATTTTCTTAAATGCGCAATGACCGCCATTCCAGCCCAACCAGCCCTCCATCGTTTACTCAGTCCTTTTGATACTGACGCATTTGTGATGCCCCCGGAATGGGCCACGTGTAGTGTGTGTGGCCACTGGAGGATGTGCTCGTCCATGAACAATGGGCATTACCCGGGGGCTTATTTGGGAGGCCCAGCAACTTGTTGCCTTGCCCTCCAGAAGAAATATGTTAATTGTGGTCGTGTGTCGTCGTGTCTGGTTTGGCCGGATATTTATGAAGTTATTAAGTGCGGACCCAAAATCATGATGCCGGCCGATCCGAGAGGCCTGTCCCTCAATAATTAATCAGAAATTTACATAATAAAAATCATTTGACCGCCGTTGCGCCCATTTTGGCGACGGCTCAATTTGTGGCCGCGTTAAATATTTAGTTTAAGCTTTTGCCACGAAAAATGGCGCTGCAACTTTATAGCCAGCCAGCAATTACCAGCAATCTGTGGCAGCTCCTGATGTGGGTGGGTGTGGGTTCTCTAGGGGGTTTGTGGCCATTGTCTTATAGCGACAATCCATAAAAACAAACTGTTAACAGTTGGCGCTCGGGCATTGATTGACCAGACAAGTGCAAGCAATGGAGCTACAAAGCAGAGCTCAACGTCAGTGTATCCCTCATACACATCCCACATCTGCCACACCATCTCCATCAGATTCAGTTCCCCGAGATCTCACATCAGCTGCTGCAATTCCCATGGACGTGACACGGTGGAACTGAATCGAAGCTCCCCGGGATTGGGGGGAAATATTGAAGTTATTATCCCCCTACGCGATAAACATAATAATAAAGCAGAATAACTTTCTCCACACGGAGGGAAAGTGTCGCCAAAATAGGTCAATAAATTGGTAGTTCCTTACTATGTTTCAAAGTTGGTAGAAACATCTTTAAATACTAAAAATAAAAATAATAAATTTGATTAAATCAAGAAATTTAGAGGCAGTAGGTACATATAATATTTTTAAATAACTTAAAAACCTTTAAACATTGGGTATATTAAACATAGTTTCTCTTATACTTATAGATAAATTTCTAAGAATTCAAATCTTTTCGTTATCCCAGAAATTAAAAATTTCTTAAAATGGATTTATAACATACAACTGTGATCAAATTTGAAAATATTTCGAGTTGTTTTTTAACCATATATTTGTAAATAACTTGAAGACCTTTAAACATTATACAAATAAATTTCTAGGATACTAAATCTTTTCCTTATTCAAGGCTTAAAAATTTCTTTAACAGATTTCTAACGAATATTAAAGAGTTTTTTTGTGCATCGTTTTTTAAAACATTTTGAATAGTTTTTGAACCACTGTGCCGCATCCTGCATCCTGTCTGCCATGAATGATGCGCCCTTTCCTGCCAGAACATTAAGCCCCGGCCAGTTGCATCTATTCCACACATTGATAGACAATGTTTGCGCGCTGATTTATACTCAGCCAGCTATTAAATAAGAATTTTCGTTATTATGCTGCCCAGCGGGATTTTATTATGTGACTTTCAAAAGCCCGGAGCCAACTTGTTGTGGCTTTGGCTTAAAGTCGCCGCCAAGGAGAAAATTGTTTTCGCTTTTTTAAGAACTTTTAAAGGCGACAATGTGTGTGGTTGGTTGCTATCTTTATCAGCACAAAACGCAGGGCCATTATGCGCGGCTCACGCGGCGTATGCGTAACCTTATATCTGCGAATAATTCTTAGACGTGCATTTCGTTTTACAGCCGCCTTGTCGGTAATCCCATTAAGGAGTTATCTGGCGAAACATTTCTGCACAACACTCGACTGGAGGCGCTGTGAGTATACTCGAAGAAACGTTGCTTGTTTGGTTTTTATAAGGACTTAAAATACTTTCTGCACTCATTAGTTCGCTGGCCCAAATGCCTATCCACATCAGTCGCAGCCTAATGGAGCCCCTGAACATATCCTTCCTGAATCTCACGGGCATTCGTTATGATCACATTGACTTTGCGGCCATAAATGCCATGCGTAACCTTACGTACATCATCTACGATCGGTTCTTCTACTGCTCGATGACGCCGCGGGTGAGGATGTGCAAGCCCTCCACCGATGGAGTTAGCTCCTTTCAGGATTTGCTCAGCAAACCCGTCCTCCGATACTCCGCTTGGGTAATGGCCACTTTAACAATAGCCGGAAATGTTCTGGTTCTCTGGGGACGCTTTATCTACCGGGATGAAAATGTGGCTGTGACGATGGTGATCCGAAATCTGGCCCTGGCTGATATGCTGATGGGGTTCTATTTGGTCACTATTGGTGTGCAGGACTACCGCTATCGAAATGAGTATTACAAGTAAGTTGGAGGCGATTCTGTAGATAAATAAATAATATTATAATAAATATTATATCTCCAAGGGTTGTGCTGGATTGGATAAGCTCGTGGCAGTGCACACTGATTGGCACCCTGGCCGTCAGCTCTTCGGAGGTGTCTATGCTAATCCTGGCCTTCATGTCGCTGGAGCGCTTCCTGCTCATCGCGGATCCCTTTCGTGGCCACCGCAGCATCGGAAGTCGGGTGATGTGGCTGTCGCTGATCTGCATTTGGATTACGGGAGTGGGTTTAGCGGTGGTTCCAGTACTTCTGTGGCGTACGAGCACCCTGCCCTACTACGGATCCTATTCGGGAACCTGTAAGGGAAATATTTTTATGATAAAGTGAATTATAACAAGTAATCTTACTTTACAGGTTTCCCTTTGCACATCCACGAGGCCTTTCCCATGGGCTGGCTGTACTCGGCTTTTGTCTTCCTGGGCGTCAATCTGCTGCTGCTGGTCATGATTGCCATGCTCTACACGGCCCTGCTGATCTCGATTTGGAGGACGCGAAGTGCCACACCGCTCACTCTCTTGGATTGCGAGTTCGCCGTGCGGTTCTTCTTCATCGTGCTCACCGACTTCCTTTGCTGGGTGCCCATCATCGTGATGAAGATCTGGGTCTTCTTCAACTACAACATCTCCGATGATATCTACGCCTGGCTCGTGGTCTTTGTGCTGCCATTGAACTCGGCGGTCAATCCACTTTTGTACACCTTCACGACGCCCAAGTATCGAAATCAAATCTTCCTGCGTGGCTGGAAGAAAATTACCTCTAGGAAGCGAGCGGAGGCGGGCAATGGTAATGTGGCCACCACTACGACGGGCACAGCGACGGGATCCTCGCAGCATCCGGATGACTCCACGGCACTGGCCAAAGCCATGCCCTTGGCTCTAACGATGTCTAACTGAAGGATTCTTGCGGGGCGAAGATCGAACTTGTATACCATCAGATTTAGCAGCATTTATTTTGTCTATGATATCGAATATCTCTATATATATGTATGTGAATATCTAATCCTATCTGTGTAAGATAACCAAAGGAAAGTGTGAAATAAATTGAATGTGATATTTGTAAGGCAATCTTTGAGGATGCAAATTAATTATTAGGTTTTAGGGCCGTTTTCTGGACGGACGAGAAAACGGCCCTTAAACTTTTTAAATCTATACAACTTTTAACTTTTTAGAACTCTTTAATTAGAAGTACAATCGCTACTCTTTTTGGGACTGCTGTGTGATTCTTCCTGCCCTGCATAAACGTTAGCCATTACTAGTTTAGAGCGAACTATGTGAAATTTGCGCATTTCTTCCAGATCTTCTAGGTCCACATCCATATTATGCTTACGTTCCAGGTGGACGCGCAATCTGAAACGAGATTAATCATTTTTATACGCATATTTTAAAGGATTTTTAGAGGAAAACCAACTTATTACGTGCTGGAAAACTCTGCTGGCAGTGGGAGCACTCAAAAGGCATGGCCGTGTGGGTGCACTCGTGATTCCTAAGCGACGAGGACGAGGTAAAGGACTTCTGGCAGTCGGGAAACTCGCAAATGAAGCGGGATCCCGTGTGCTTCACCTGCTGGTGGACGGTCAAATGGGATCGCTGGGCGAATCGTCGATCGCAGAGATCACAGGCGTAGGGAAAATCCCTGTTATGATAGCGTTTATGAATCTCCAGGGCCTTGGCAATGGCGAACACCTTGCCGCAGGTGTCGCAGTGGACTCCCGACTGCCGGTGCTTCGTATCCACATGGACTTTGAGGGCCTGCTTGGTGAGGTAGACCCGGTCGCACTGGCTGCACTGAAAGTGGGGACGATTGGCCAGGTGGATCAGCTGGTGCTTGGCCATGCGGGAGTGGTTCTTGAACAGCTTGTGGCAGAATTGACAGCTGAATTGGCCTAGATGACGATGGCGGGGTAGGATGTGCTCTAAATTGGGTACTTTCTGGTCCTCCTGCTTTTCTGGAATCTCCTCCAGGGGGAACTCCTCTTCTAGCACCTCCTCCTCAGCGCTTTCGGTGACCCCGAAGATCTCCCTCAACTGCTGATTGGCAATGGCCACCTTCTTGTGGAAATCGTAGGCCCACTGGAGCTCCACAGCACATCGTTTGCACAGGGTTCTGGGCTCCTGGCTGGGATTCTGGCGGAGATCCTCCTTGGTGCAGATCTCGTAGCAGTCGTAGTAGCTCAGTTCCGCCTCCTGGTCATAGATGCTGGTCATGTCCAGCATTTGGTGGGGATGCGGCTCCTCCAGGCACAAACGACAGCAGTTGTGGAGCTCCAAAAATGAGACTTCTTGGGGCGCAGTTTGCAAGGAAGCTTCAGCCGCTCGCTTTTTAATGGTGAAAGTAAGTGTTTGGACGACTTTATTATTTTGCAGATCCATCTGTGGGTAGTTAATCATTACCAGGTTGGTTATACATCCCTAAATTACTCAATACTTGCCTGTTTACAATTGAAAATCCCCGCTCAAAAACACTAAATTCCAAGAAAAACTAAACACAGCTGTTGGAGAGTTGCCACCTGTCCGTCGATAGTCTGGCAACGCTAGGGAGCGCTTAAATATTAAAAACTTTTTTGCTCCGCTGTTTTACTGATTTACTTGTAAATCCCCCCGAAATGGAGCAGCATTTTGAGCCGGAGACAACCGTAAAGAGTCCTGAAACGGACATCCTGCATCCCGACGACGCCCAGTACATTTGGCTGCCCATTTCGGTGCTCGTTGGCATTTTTGTTCTGGCTGCTTTGGTGCGTTATATTCCTTATCGCCTTCTGTTTGCTCAAGTGCATTTACATTTGTTTAATTTATGCATTTGGGTCTCCACACAGGTCTACGTGATGTCTCGTAGTCGCTGTCGGATTTCCTGGGATTACCTGAGACGCAGGAAGGCCCCGCGAAGTGGGTACATCAATGTGGACGAGGAGGATTCCGATGTGCCCATGGCCTGCGGAGATGAACTGGGGGATCAGCAGATTACAGCCAGCCTTCTAGCCGGTCGCCTGCACATTCAGGATGTTAGTAGTTCTATATAATATCTTATAACTACATATTATAACCCTAACTCTTCCACAGGGATCAAGTAACGCCTAGACTTCCAAAAACTTTATTGTCTCCAAAACGGTGGTCTTCCTCGGTCAAGTTACTACTACTGCAAACTACGTGCCTCTACTACAAGTACAACGAAAATAGCCCTAATCCTAATGATGATCCGCACTGGTTGCCCCCAGTATTCGGGTCGTTAAGTCGTAGAAGCCAAAGAAGAATGCACCGCCCAGCGTGATCCACAGCACCCGCGGCACAAAGCCAGCAAACAGACTGAAAAATACACATAAACATACATTAATAAATGTAAACATAATTATATAACTAAAGGGGATAAAAGAGTTTTCAAGTTCTAGTTACTTAGGAACACATATTTCATAATATTACTCTTATTTCTACCTGTTTATAAGTTAAATATTATAAAATATGCGATCCTAAGTAACCAGAATTATTACTTAGGAATTTAATAAATGTAAACATAATGATAAAACAAGGGCCTGAAGAAGTTTTCAAATTTTGGTTCCTTGAGAATTCATATTACACTTATTTCAACCTGTTTATGAGTTGAATATTATAAAATATGTGTTCCTAAGTAACAAGAAAAATTAAGCTAACGCCTTTCAAATTCTGGTTACTTAAGAATACAAATTTTATAATATTACTCTTATTTCTACCTGTTTATAAGTTAAATATTATAAAATATGTGTTCCTAAATAACCAAAAAAAAGGAGCTAAAGTAGTTCTTAAATTCTGGTTACTTAAGAACACATATTTTACAATATTTCTCTTCTTTAACCCAGTTTTAAGTTCAATATTTACCCTCCAAATCCCTTTTCCAGATAAATGCCATGTAAAATTCTCCTTGCACTACGACGGCGGTTCAGACTTTCCTTTTCGGCCAGCATGATTCGGGTCTTGACCACGTCGAGTGGTGTGGTTAGAGCCGCGGAAATGCCTCCAGCAACGGCTCCACAAAGAGCCACCGAAAGGGGACTGGAATCGTAGCCGGTTAGGGGCGTCCATTGCAGCTTAAAGTACTCCCAGAGGGGGAATTGTAGCAGATTAAAGGGAATCTCCCGCATCAAGGTGGAGCCAAAGCCCCGATAGAGACCTCTTTGCAATCCCTCAGTGCGATAGGCCCGCAGGAGGATTTGCAGACCAGACTGTTTGTTGCCCACCAAAGTTTGAGAGCGCTGTTTGGCAATCTCCACGGGAACGCGTATCAGGCAAGCCAACTAAGGGATAGGAATACATATTAAATCTATAAACAAAAGTATCTCTAGTTTCTAGGATATCCCACCACTTCTGCCGCTGAAGCCGCTGCCATGTGAACATAGGGTGAATCTTTGGTTTGGGTGAGGGAGCTGAGGAACTGCTTCCCGCACTCGTAGGTGCAGAAAAACAGGGCCGCCGTGGGAGCACTTCCTGCAGCCGCTGGAGCCAATCCTTTGTAGATGCCCCTGAAGCCTCCGGCCCGCCAAAAGCCCAGTTCGCTCTGCAGGCGGGTCTTGACTGTGTCTATGGGAAAGAGGGCTATGTCCACCACCATGCCAGCCACGCCTCCAGCCTGAAAAACGTAACTTAAGATCTTGATTCTCATTTAAAAATTTGAAGTACTTACAACAAGAGCATGTAGAAATTTCAATTTGTTGACCGGCTCCTGCAGGCTCAATTCCACTGACCCTGCGGCCGCATCTAGACTTAGTTCCGCTGACATGTTGTAGAACCTGGTTTTAAACACCCAGTTTAAGTCATGCCGCCAGGATATTTCCTTTAATTAATTAAATAAACAAAAATATGAAATGCGGTTGTTAACGTAACAGTCAGCTGCTTTTCGGTGGTCTGGCAACGCTGCGCATAACAGCTGTTTTGTTGTAGGGTTGTCGACGTAGCTCAAAATTACTTCAATATTTTATTCTTAAAATAACAATTTTTTTAAATTTAATTTTTTTTAAATTTGATTTTTTAAGATTTTTGTAATATTATTTTTTATTTTATTAGAAGTATTTAATACCCCTCATGCGCACTCGACAACCCTGACTAGCCGTCGTTCTTGGGAAGAAGAAGAGCAACAGCAGCAACGATTTGGCCAAGTGGAATAGAATTGGCCGTGATTTTAGCCGATAATAAAAGCTCGAGTGCAGCAGCAGAAACCAATAAAACCAGGATCGAATCATGGCCCTTCGCTTGTCCCAGAGATTGCTGCAGACGCAGACGCCGTTCCTCACCCGCGTACGTTTTCTCGGCCGACTGAAATGGCCAACAAATGGAAATTACATAATGCGCGGCAGGCAGATCCTAAACAGATCGTCTTTAACTATTGTTATCTCTCTAATTGCAGGGCTATCCCCTGCTGGTGACCAAGGAGAAGACCGAGGATGTGGCCCACACCAAGTCGACGCTGCACAAGAAAGTCACGGTGAGTCTGGAACTCGGTTTACACCACCTTCCCTTTGAGGTTATAGCATTATATATCTTATATATTCCTGAACAGGGCACCGACATACCCTCGGCACAGTACGGCGGTCGCCATGCGGTCACCATGCTCCCAGGCGGCGGCATTGGACCCGAGCTGATGGGCTATGTGCGCGAGATCTTCCGCTACTGCGGCGCCCCCATCGATTTCGAGGTGATCGACATCGATCCCTCCACCGAGGGTAACGATGATCTGGAGTACGCCATCACCTCAATCAAGAGGAACGGAGTGGCGCTCAAGGGCAACATTGAGACCAAGTCGCAGACCCTCTCCGAAGTCTCGCGTAACGTGGCCATTCGCAATGAGCTGGATTTGTACGTAAATGTCGTCCACTGCAAGTCGTATCCGGGCATTCCGGCTCGCCATCACGACATCGATGTGGTGCTCATCCGCCAGAATACCGACGGCGAGTACGCCATGCTCGAGCACGAATCGGTGCCCGGCATTGTGGAGAGCATGAAGGTGGTCACCGTCGACAATGCCGAGCGTGTTGCCCGCTATGCCTTCGAGTATGCCCGCCAAAACAATCGCAAGAAGGTGACCACCATCCACAAGGCCAACATCATGAAGCTCTCCGACGGTCTCTTCCTCGAGGTGGCCAACCGGGTGCACAAGGACTATCCCGAGCTGGAGCACAACAACATGATCATCGACAACACCTGCATGCAGTCGGTGTCGAATCCCCACCAATTTGACGTCATGAACATGACCAATTTGTATGGCACCATTGTGTCTAATGTGCTTTGCGGTCTCATGGGAGGAGCTGGCCTCATTTCCGGCAGGAACTACGGCGATCATGTGGGTTGATCTCCCTCCTATGTAGTATCACCTTTTAATTACCCTACACCTTTTACACTTTTAGTACGCCATTTTCGAGCCGGGCACCCGTAACACAGGAACCGCCATTGCCGGCAAGAACATCGCCAATCCGGTGGCCATGATCAACGCCAGCATCGACATGCTGAACCATCTGGGCCACAAGGAGCACGCCAATGTCATCCAGGAGGCCGTCTACCAAACGATTGTCAACGATGCCATTCGCACGCCAGGTGGGGTTCATTCTTATTTACCAAAATCACCTTTATCATCCTCCTTTCCTCCACAGATGTCGGCGGCAGCCACTCCAGTACCGATGTGGTCGAAAACATACTCAAGATCTTGAGTGCCAAGCGCGTGAATTGGTAAAATAATCGTCTGAATTTAGAGTAGCTTATATGTTCTTTTATCGCGCTGTCTCACAACCGAGTGTTGTGCTTTACCTATTTAGTTTTTAAAAACAAACAAACATCTATCGCTTGTCCCCTCTTTTACTGTTGCGATATTGTATTATAATTTCATGCTCTGTTACTGTATTATTTTACTTACTTACTGATTACTTCAGCAAAACTGTAAGTGTTATTGCCGAAAAAGGCCTAACTACTGTGTCCTAACCAACCAGCACACCCACAGACTACACTTAACAACTAACTTTTTGGTTTCCTTATGAAAATATTGGGATATTGTAATGTAATTGGAGGTAATTTGTTACCTAAAGTTACCTTCAATAGCTTATAGATTATTTTTCGATATATATGTCTTAGCAACTGCTTCGTTGAACTCTTTTCTGTTGTACATTTGTCCTAAGTAGTGCTCCAGTAGATCACACCAACCCACCACACACATTCAGTACACACAAGTATGTAGTTTTCGTTTTGAACGTGTAACCAAAAATGTCCTCGTGCAGCTCTAATCAAAAAAAATTATTCTGTTTTCTCTCCTCTCCCCCCGAAAATCCAAAAAACGCTTTACCGCTCCGCAGGCCACATGGAAACTATTTTAGCCAGGTTTAGGCACTATCGCACTACCGAACTACTCAACCAACTGCTAACAAACTCAGCAAGACAAACCAAATCGAACCCAGTTTAATACCAATCAAAATTATATTAACCCCACAACTAAGCCAATTCGAGACATCTTGTACCCCAAAAAGCAAAAGCGTTAATGTGATGCCCAGAAAGAAAGTGAGGTCGAATTGTTCCGCTGCTTAACCCAAACAAAATATGATATGTTACCCCGGCTAAATGTCCATTGTGTGTTCATTCGATGTCCAAGTGTGATATTCAGGTAATACAAACTTTAATTCTATTTCAATTGTATAAATTTCGATTCTTTTGAATAGAAACTAATCCAGTATTTTCTTATATTTCACAGATTTTCTTGCCGGCCCTATTTCTGCACTCTACTCTTTTTTTCTAACCCCCTACTGAGAGAGCTATACATTTTCTTTTCTTAACTTTCGTATCCCAAATACCCTAAGGCAAACAGATGATGTACAACAAGAATAACACACTTTGCGCTCTTGAAAAGCCAAGCAAGTTTCCAAAAATAGTCAAACAAAGCGATATATAATTGTAATTTAAATTTTTCCAAAATGATTGTAATATTGAAAAGTTGATTCAAACAAAATGTATTATTCTGTTCGAATATTTATTAGTAAAGAAAAAGTAAAGAAAGACACTGTAATTATTGAATTTTTCGATTCGAGGGAGGAACTATATAAGCATGATCCTTATTTATAAGCAAATATTAGCTATTTAGAGATTTAAGGTTTTTGAATGTAGATTTTTAGGATCTATTGTGAAGATTTGAGGGAGGAACTATATATGATCATAATTTATAATCATATATTACCAATTTTGAGTTTTTAGGATTTCCGAAAGTAGATTTCTTGGATCTATTCTTTAGATTTGGGGGAGGAACTATATATGATCATTATTTTTAACCAAATATTGCCAATTTAAGTTTTTAGGATTTCCGAAAGTAGATTTTTGGGATATATTCTGAAGATTCGGGGGAGGAACTATATATGATCATTATTTATAATCAAATATTACCAATTTTTGAGTTCTGAGGATTTCCGAAAATAGATTTCTGGGATCTATTGTGAATATCGGACGGAACATGGTCTTATACGAAGATACAGATGGATTACTTCGGTTTAGATAGGCTTTCAACTATTCCAACTTTATAACATGGATTAAAACTTAGTTCCATAGGCATATTTGCCCCACTTAACACACAAAATGAAGGCACACTTTCCACAGTTTCGGTCAGTTTTATCAGAATTACTTCTTTGTTTATTAAACCTTAAAAAGAGCGACAATCCAGTAACCAAGGGTGGCGATTGACAGCTTAGAAACGCAGCTTCTGGAAGAACCACTTGTTCTTGCCCTCCTTGTAGACGGACTCGAACTTGACGCGGGTCTGGAAGCGGTGCGTCTTGCGCTTGACGGGGTCCTTGAGGTCCTTGGGCGACAGCTTCTCGAAGCTGATGTCGTGCGCCGTGTAGCGGGTGGGCATCAGGTGGTTGTAGTTGAGGCTCTTCAGGAAGGGCTTGACCTTGGACTTCTTCTTCAGCTTGTTCTTGCCCATCTTCTTGGTCACCTTGCGCGGGTAGCGGTCGATGCCGGCGACGAGGGCGTGGCCGAAGGGCTTCTCGGGGGTTCCGTCGTCGGAGGTCTTGACGATGATGGCCTTGCGACCGGCGTAACGTCCGCTGAGGACGATTACGATCTTGCCCTGCTTCATGATTTTCCTCATCTTGGCGGCTTTTGCTCTGTAAATGCAGGGAAAATGGTACAGAGTTAGTAAATCATCAAAATGTCAAAAATAATATGAACTAGAGTTATTAGGTAAAACTAATTCCAATATTGATAATAATATTCGATATGGGTAAAAAATTTAGGAAAAACAAGAAATCTTGTGATATACTTGCAGTCTTATAAGAAGTTCTTTTAAAGAAATTTATAATAGTAGAATGAAACAAATAAGTTCCAATATAACACGTTTTTAGCCATTCCCGTGGAAGCTATAGCATGCCGATTTCCAATGCCGCATGTTATTATCTCCAGAAACTAAGAATTAACCATATTTAAACTGAGATAGATGGTTTCAATCAAAGGTTAATAGGTATAGTCAAGTAGACCATGCCAAAAGTTACATTCATAAACTTATTATTTGGATTTTTCATGGGCACAGGTTCACATTGCCATCATTGAATCTTTGATTCTACTTAAAAGGCTGAAAAACATCCCGTTACAAGCATTTTAAATCATATTCCCCTTCGAGAGGGCATAGTCTGCACAATGTACACCACTCACAGTGCTAACGAAACGCTAAAATAGATATTTTTACTAAAATTTAACTAAAATTACACGCGGAGCATCCACTTACCGGAAACGGGCGAAAAGAAAAGAAGGCAAAAATCAGTGTGCGATTCAGTGTTAAAAATACTTTATATACCAGTTTTATTCTCTCAAATATACCAAAAAATACTCTATATGGTCACCCTAACAAATTATGGTCAAATATGGTCACATTCGCTTAGCGAGTGCACCCACCAAATGTCACGTACCGATAGTATCGATATTTATTTATTTATTTATTTATTTATTTATTTAAAGTTAGCAAATATCTGCCAACATAAACATAGTACCCTACTCACATCAAGTGGAAGGGGGCAGGGACAGGTAGGTTAGGATGTTTGTTACAATTAAATTAACAGAGCATTCCGAGAATATCAAAAAATACAGTTCATTATATTGCGAACATAAAACGCGAAATGGATCATGTAACTCAAAGTTAGTTTTACAAATATCGAGGGCAATTGGTCGAAAGTGCCGAGTAGACCTTACAGGAATGGAGAAACGAATTTGACCAAGAAGGTAGCTTGAATTTACAAGTCCAGTAATTAATTTGTGCAGGAACATAACACCATGGCACGTTCGACGATCCTTGAGGGAGGGCAGGTTAAGTAGACGCAGTCTATCCACGTACGATGGCATGTGTCGATGTGTTTCCCAGTTTAAACCACGTAGAGCAAACAAAAGGAACTGTTTCTGTACCGACTCGATAAGGTCCTGATAAATGGTATATTGGGGTGACCAAACACACGAGCAATATTCAAGAATTGGACGAACCAAGGAAATGTATAAATGTTTTGTGGTGTAGGGGTCCTCAAATTCCTTCGACCAACGCTTAACAAAGGCAAAAACGCCTTTTGCTTTACTAACTATTATACCAATGTGATTAGAGAAATTTAAGTTGTGGTTGAATAACACTCCAAGGTCTGTAACGGAATTTATGCGTTCAATATTGGGAATATTTTTGAATTTTAAACTATTTTTTAAAATTAATGTTTAAAAATAAATCCATAATTTTTATATTGACCATTTCTAGTCGCTTTCCTTCGAACTTTCCTTTGACTGTTTCCCTTTTTATCTCAATCAAATTTTAAATAGTTATAGTTAAAACTCTTATATTTGTTAACAAAATAGATTTATTTAATTTTAGATGGTAATCATTTAGAAAACACAATACATACTAATCATTGCTTAAGGAGAGTAACTACTCCTTTGTAGTTTTCATAGATATTTATATCGGAAATGCCCGGTCCTACGTCTTCTTCTGGATAATCTTAAATGTATTATGCCGATTCAGGACGTAGCTGAGGGCAGTGGCAGCCGTGGTTAGGCCAGTCAGATACCAGAGGCCATGCAGAGCGGGGTGATCTGTGGCAGGAAGATAAAGATTTGGTTATTACTTGGTTTCATTAGTAGATAAAAACCATATAACTCACCCAAATAGTTCCAAATGGGAGCCCCCAAACTGAGGCCAATGGTGGCCAGCTGCACGCCCGTGTTGATCTTGCTCAGCAGCGTGGGCTCCAGTTGAGCGGTAACATGGGTGGCATCGAAATAGCGCGAAAAGGTTTTCTATGAAAAAAGGAAATATATTATTAAAGGGTTAACTAGCTAAATAAACCCTTAACTCACCGGCGGTGGCAGACTTATGTAGCGTATAACAAAACCAGCTCCCAGCAGGAACACATCCCGGAAGACCACAATTCCTGTCAGCCACATGGGCAGCAGATCTGTGTAGCACAAGGAGATGACCAGCGAGCCCATCAGCAACTTATCGGCCATGGGATCCAGGAAGGAGCCGAACTTGCTCGCCTGCGAGGGCCACCGACGGGCTATCTGTCCATCCAACTAGGGGGATAGAAAATCAGATATTACTTACTATAAAAAATATTTAACATATGCCGAAAATCAACAAATATAAGTAGCTTTTTCTTCAAGATAAACAAACTATTTATGGGGCCTTAGTCTGGAATATTTAGGTAAAAAATGCAGCATTATAAATAGACTCTTTGAATTTAAAAGGTACTTATTCTATATATTTGATTGTTGAAATAAGCAAAGACGGGGTAAACATAAATCAATATATGATGCCAAAAATATACTGTACAACCTGTTTTGTTTGGGATACATCTTCCCCTATTTCAGATATTTATAATATTAAAATAAAGGTTAAACATCTTCAGAAATAAAAAGAAGAGCTATTTGTTAGATAAACAAACTATTTTTGGGCCTAGGTCTGGGATATTTGGGTAAAAAATTGAGTATTATAAATAGATTCTTTGAATTTAAAAGGTATTATATTATAATATCGTTATGTTATCGTTGAAATAAGCAAAGATCAATATATGATGCCAAAAATATACGCTGCAACCTGTTTCTACCTACTATTTAGCTTCCTATTATACAGATATGCTCCCTAACTCACCAGATCCGTGAATCCAGCAAAGGCCAGCAGACTCATGCCCAGCGTAAAGTCGCCCTGGACGATCACATAGCCAATGTAGGGCGACAGGAAGGCGCGACTGATGGTCAGCATGTTGGGTATGGTCATGATATTCTCGCGCTCCTCCCGGATCTCCACGATCTTCTCGCGCACCCGCTCCTGGACCTTGTGCCTCGCCTCCCGTATATCGTCCACCAGGAAGTTCTTCCTCTCGATGACGCCCTGCAGCAGATGGCGACCCTGCAAAGTCCGCAGATGCAGCGACTGCTTCTTCTCATCCGCGTAGAGACGCAGGCGGGCCAACTCATAGTTCCTCCTGCGTTTAATGTCCAGGAAGGAGATGCGGATGAAGCCCGTGGCGGCGGCATAGCGATTCAGGCAGTTCACGAAGCTGCTCCCGCCGACGCCCAGGACGTGCTCCAAAGTGGCGGCTCCATGGTGCAGGGGCCGCTGCGCCTGCCGGAAAATGATGGCGGGCAGCATGGGTTAATCGAGGTCCAATTTCAGTCTGAGTTTCGGGTGCTGAAATGATGAGTAAAACCCACAATCAGTTTGAATTTATTGAGATCCGTAACCTTGATGTTAAATAGATCGGCCACCGACCCTTGGACAGTCGTCTTATCACCCGCTTTTAGACCCACCATTTGTCGGGAATCCTTTATTATTTGATGCACCTCTGTGCAATACGAAATCTGGTACAGTATCCTATTACAAATTAATCAGTCCACGGCATTTACGGAAATTTTAATTTTGTGTTTTTATTACACAAGTCGGCTCCGATAACACTATCGATACGGCGATGACACCATCGATACGGCACCGATAATTCCACGTGACGGCCAAAATGCACTAAAATTGGACGGTTTTATATGTAACGGTTTTTTGAATTGCCTGACAGAGATTATAACTAGAGAAATTTTTAAATATATGTTTCCTTTGATAAGCAATAAAACATAATTATGACGTTAATTCTTGTTACAAGCTGGAGACCTCACTATCAGCAGTTATTTATGCGAAAGTTCTGCAAAGTTCTTGGGATAATAACTATTAATTGATAAATAAGAGGATTTGTGCGTCAAGCTTTTATCACTTACCCCAAATGATAGAAACCAAAGGATTTTCTTATGTATTATGATTGCGAATGACTTTAACAGCCTATAAAAACCCAATACAAAAGGAAAACCATAATAGTCAACATTTTCTGTTGGAGCTGAAGAGTTGTTTTAAGAGGACAAAATGCGACATATTCTGCTACTTTTTTTGATCGGAATCACTTGCCAATACATCTTCGCAAGTGGAGAGGTGAAACTTCTCAATAAATCTTATAATAAAAATTAACTTTATTTCCCTTAAACAATGACAGGGGGAATCAGATGAAAATCAAGATTTTGAAGAATCCACGTTTAACAATATGAGGCTCGAGCAGGTGGAACTGCTTTGGTCAAACCTGGCACTCAAGCTAACTAAGGAACTGACGCCCAAATATGATAATCTTTCTGACAGGGTTGATAACCTGGAGCAACAAATCTCAGAATTACAAAGGGCTATTACAAACAAATTAAAAGCGGAGAAGTTTGAGAAGACGACGACTGACCAACCAGAAACTGAATTGGAGGAAGTAACCAAAAATGTATCCTCTTAAATGTGTATGAAACTATTTCATTAAAATATCGCAAAATATATTGAAAAAAACATTATTCATTTATTTGTTCTCTGGTTAAGAGGTAATTATAAATTTTCTATAACCTGAAAATGATTTGTAGGTATAGCTACTGTGGCCTTAAGCAACCAAAAAAAAAAACATTATTATTATTTAATAATTTATCTTTGAAAAGTTACTACTTCTTGAAATTTTATAACTTCCAATTTACAATTTATTTGTTTTTTGACTGTATTCCGATAAAAAATTTTGAATTACTGTTTAATTTTTTAAATTTTCATCTGAAAACATTAAGCACTGCCAAACAAATTTAAAGGACTTTCTGTGCTTAACCTTTGTTTTAGGAAGGAGAAAATTTTCAATTAAATTAAATGATTTTCTATTCAAATCAATTAAGGTAAATCTCTTTCTAACGCCCCAGATACGCGCCTGATATTAGTACATCCCAATATGTTAAAACAATAAATAATTAAAAACACTTTTTAAATTTTTTTTCAAATTATGTGAAACCATTTACTTCAACAAGGTTATTTGTCAGATAATTTTTTTTTTTTATATAATATTAAATTCATGTATTTCGTCACAAAATATTAAATGTTAGACGATGGTCGACGTTCCATAAAATTGGCCTCGCATATGAAATAGTTATTTTTGAAGCAGCTTACGTCGTTCATGGAATGGGAGTCTGTATCAAATAGACCCTGTTGATCTCGCATCTCAACACAATTTTCGTCATCAAGTTGATTTGGCTCGCCATAAGACCATTTTAGAAAAGGTGCCTTTTCTCCAGTCGATTCTGAAATAAATTCGCCCTCGGTCGCTTCGTCATTGATATCCACCCAATATTTATTGTAGTGACGCAGGTTTTTTGTAACATTCCTCCACTCTTCCTCATTTCGGAGGCTAACAAGGTTACTATCCATCCTTCTACATCTCGAAACAGATTCGTACCAGTTCAGTTTTTCCTTGTTCTCAATATGATAAAACTTTGATCCAATCTTTTCGAACTTAACAATCGGCTTATAAACCTTTTTAACTTTCGTGAACCTTTGTAATTTTGTTAATTGATTTTCTGTGCTGGCGATATTTCTTAATAGTTCGCTGTGGTTGGAAAAAAATGTATCGATCTTCACTTTTAGGGTATCATAAATTGATTTCATTTTTTCAATCCTTTCCAAAAACAGAACTTGATCAAATTTGTCTTCTTCTCTTGTGAAATTTTTTACGATTGAATTTTTATCGGGGATTGTTTCTAATTTTTTTAAATCTGGTTGATCCTGATCAAAAAAGTATAGTTAATTTCATGTTTTTTTTTATAAATTTTAACTTACCACTTCTGCAAAGGAATTTTGCAATGCGATTCCGATTAAAAATAGTACTAGAATGCGTGCCATATTGTCCAACAATTAATGTAGACTATGATTTCTCTTCTGCGGGTTTGAGTTTTTATAGGTTTGGAAGTAAACTCAGAATCGGAAAATATGAGAGTCCTCTTAGCGATAAAAAGAGTTTGACGCACGGGAACGTTTGACTTATCTGAGGCCTTTTTGAACTCTTAACATATTTTCTATTCGTTTTTCTTTATTATTGTTATTGATTACATTAATCAATTAGAAATAATTTTTTTCTCAGTTAACTAAGTATTCTGAGAACTTAAACCGCACGAGAGAACTTGAAGATTATTTAACAAACAATTCCTGCGTCAGCGCTTATATCTTAAAATTATAAATACACAGGATATATGTATTGCGATAATATTTACATATATACCCAAGGCCTATAAAAGCTCAATGCAGCAGAAGAAAACCCAGAGTCAACATATTTTATTGACTAATAGAAGTTGCGTTTAGTGGTTAATATGCGGCATTTAATAGTGCTCTTTTTATTGGCATTCGCTTTGCAAAATATCTTTGCAGAAGAAATGGTAAGTTAATTTATTCAATTTTAACTTCATAAGTATATATCCTAAATTAATCCCCATTAATCCCCTGAATTAATCCCAGGGAACAACAGATGTAGATAAAGTGGAGACAGTAACTGAGAAAGAACTAGAATCGACACTCGACAAAAAAGACGATAATTTGGCAAAATTAGGAAAATGGATTGCGAATGTGGCTTCAAAGTATGCAGCTGCAATTGAAAAAGTCGCCACCTTAAAGGAGCAAATCAAGAAACCCATTAAGACATTTGAAGAAAAGCAAAAATTGCAATTCGAAAGAGAGAAATGGAGTTTGTCGTACCTAAAAAGAATTGAGGACCAATGGGCGAACCTAGAGAAATGGATTATGGATTTTACTTCAAAATACGGCGGATTAAATGAACGCCTCTCTATCGTACAAAAACAACTAAAAGAACTACGAAAGGTCACAAATTTTGATAAGAATACTCAGGAATAATCTCTGGTTTATTTATGATTTTGATTTATGTGGTAAAGAAATGCTTTCAATCAAATGTGTTTTGCAAAAAATAAATTAACTTTATAAAATTAAATTATTGTTGAAACATGTTTTTGTTGTGGTTTTTTTTTGCATTTTTGTAAACATTTTAGTAGTCTAAAAAATAATGACTATTTCAGCAAAAATATCAATGAAATTTTAATGTTCTTAAAAACCAGCTAAAATATCTTAAAAATTACTAAATATTTTTTTAAAAACATTATTATAGAAAACTCAGTTGTACTACTTATTAAGAACACTTTACATAAGAGCTTGATAAAATATAGACAGTTTGCTATTCTCTATGTTAAATATTGGTTTTCCCTTAAAAACATTGATTTTATCGAATTAATATTGTGAAGTTCTCGAAAATATCGATATTTTTTAAGCTCTCTCTTGCAAATGCGTTAAGCTAGCATTATGTGAGCCCTAGCAGTTGGCGTAATATTTTGAAATTGCAAATTTACTGCCCATCTTTCATTTAATAACATTTTTCCCGAATGAAACTAGGTCCGGCTTGGTGGATATTTAATGAAGCCACCATTAATAAGCCTGACCGCAAGCTGCTCTGGACTTGTCAGTCGTTTAATTGGATTAAATTTAATTACACCGGCACTTAACCCAGGCTACCAGAATTACTTTCTTCTCGGCCGTCTTGGATATGCAAATTAATCCGCGGCTAACGTTTATTACTTAATATAAACTTTGGCAGCGGCTCGACGACCATGACCTGACCCTATCAGCTGGCTAATGAATTTTCCCGAAAGTTGCCAAGCCGAATCTGTTCCTCGTTTAATGGTCACAATTAGGGGCATGCCATCCCAAGTTAGTAAATAATTATGAAAGACTGCCAGGTTGCATTTTTGCCAAGGCTGCTGGCGCACAAAACAAAAGTATTGTGGCATCTCGTTTATGTGTCACGTCCTGGGCATCATAGTAATTAAGGGTGAGGCGACGACACTTCCTGGAATTTTCCCCATGGGTCCTTGGGCCCCCGAAAAGACAATGCATCGGCATTAATAATGAACTGCAGGCAGAGGTGTTCGGCGTTCGGTGTTCGGACCAATAATGTCCATGGCATGTCAGCCGTCAGTCTGCATGTTAATTTCCAGCAACCACCTTCCATTTTCCCGCTTTTCCGAATGACACTCAGGGCTACTCAGTAGCTGTCTGCCATAAACAGGAAGCTCCAGCAGGGCGGGAAAGCGGGAAATGCGGAAAATGCGCGCCTGCGGAAGAGATTGACAACTTTTTGTGATACCCTTTCTAGAAGGAAGTGCACTAAAGAGTTGAACACTTTTGAAACCATTTATAAAAGCCTGATTTATGTGGAGCTATAATGGATATTATTTAATTTAAATAATAATAAAAGTCAAAATAGGCAAGTTTTTAGTTTTACAAAATTTTTAAATTAGTAATTTTTAATTTGTCTTTAATTAACTATTTTTATTTGGATAAAATTGATTTAACAAATTAATGAACATATTTTAAATAATATAAGGATAATTTAATTAAATAATAATCTAATTAATTTCAAAATTAGGTAGTAAACTAATTTTAAATTAACAAAACTTATTTAAATAAAATTAATCAATTAATAAAAAATAATTTTGAAATAAAAAACAAAAAACCTTATATTTAATAAACTATCCCTTTTGGGAAAGGGAACTTAAGCTTGGTGTTCGATTTTTACCTT